GAAACTTCTAGATCATGAGACAAAATGTCATATAAGAGATACAACGTAAAGGCAAAGGAAATTATTATCACCAAGGACGCCCTGGGATGCAATGAGAATCGAAAATGCAGTTTTTGTTGTTGTTTGTTGGCAATACAAGAAGTGATGCGCACTCAAAAGTAAGCGAAAAGCTGGCAAAAGGGATAGAGTGAAAATGCGTGATCCAACCGAGGGCGATGAAGACTTGCTGCTTGATGATCGCATTTTATACTTGTTTTGTTTCCTCATCGTCTCGACGCTGCCTTCTGTAATGATAAGTTTACTAGATAACGCAATTCATGGGAAGCAAAATGCATGAGAAGCTTCGGGGAAAATCGCGTTGCCGCGATACTCCCGCCCCACCTCAGTTATCCGGGAACATTTAGTTCCTCGCGGAGGCGCTCGAGTTTGTTTTTAGCGGAGCGGAGGGCTTTCCGTGCGCGTTCCAAGCGTCTCCGTACTACCTCGCTTCTTTCTGGGAATTCGCACACCGCGGAATGATGTCCATAGATTTGGCAATGGTAGCACGGGTTGGCCCATTTTCTACACCTCCTGCCCCCAGGACAAACGATCAGAAAGGACCTTGAAGCACATGTAGCAACGTCGCTCCGAGTCCAAAATACGCTTCCTTGATTCCGCGTCCCGGACCTGGGGGCAGGAGTCCGAGTAGTGCTGGCCGGCGGCGTCACAGAAGGCACAGCGCAAATGCTTTCACTTTCTCGGTGGATGACTAGTATTGAATGCGCGGTGGGGCGCATGTCGGGCGCTCTTCCAATTCTTCAATGAGCATGCGTAAATCACTTGTGGCTTGTTGCGTTTGGAAAGATTGAGTGTGAAGCTCTCGTTTCATTCTCTCATTCTGTTCTGCTTCTTCTTCTCATGCTCAGCGGGTTATTTACCCCCCCCCCCCCGCCCCTAGGCAAATCTTAGTGCAAATTGTAGTTTTAACCCGATATCATCGACATGCTCGTCATGAATACCACAGCTGGTCGTGATATCATAATTATGGGTTACGTAGGCATACGGTACAGGGCCACGGGTCATTTGTTCTTGAAGCATGTCTACTTCCTAGCCCAAATTTCAGGGTTATCCGTGGTTTTGACGCCACCATGTACTAGCGTAATCATCATCATACAGAATGATATTTGTATGCGAAATGGTGCTTTCGTGAGTATAGAGATCAACAAGGGATCACAAGTATGAAGATCGATCATCAACCGACAAAAGATCGTTAAAGGGCAGAGTTTGCAAAAATTCCCTCATTTTCATTTGGAAACAGGAGATGAGAGAAAGAGAAAGGTCTGCAAAAACACTCAGAAGGAGATTTAGATTGATCGAACAAGGCATATGAGGGTTGAGGAGGAGTGAATCCACAATCGAGGAAAGCCTTCAAAGGTTTCGAAAAAAGGACGATCGGCAAAAACTGCCTATGCTCGATAGCCGACTCACAGAAGCATGATATTTTAAATAGAAAATCTGCAACCTACCTGCGATTGCCCTTGACGGCCCTGGTTCTGCTCCGCTGGATTCGATGTCGGGCAACCCTACAAGCATAGTCTACAGTGAAACTATTAAAATGTATACTAAGAGTGATCAAGGATTACCTCTCCCTCGTTTAGCGGCCTCTAGAAGTGGTCGAACATGCTCGATCTCGAGCTGAAGCTCACGGATTCCTTGCTCGAACACTCCTGAAAGTAATTTGTTGATAAACACAGCTCCACAGTATACATTAACTTATCGTCCCCTCCACAGATCGTGCTACCCTTGTGGCGTCGCGGACGTGCCACGTGTGACTAACACATTGGCAACGTTGGCAGCAACACCTTGGCAACATGCAGCAACATGTTGGCGTGGCCAAAATGTTCTGCCAACATGTTGGGGCATGTTGCAAACATGTTGTTGCCACGTTGCCAACATGTTAGCCACACGTGGCAGGTCTGAGACGCAGACCAAGAGTAGCACGATCTGTGGAGGGGACTATACTCAGGGCCCGGCACCGATAGTTTGGGGTAAAACTGGACTTCGTTTTTTGGGATTAGAAGCAACGAGGACATCGTTTTTATGAGGTCCTGGAGGAAGCCCCAAAAAAACACGACGAACATGTCAGGTTTCACGAGTTGAACGTGTTCTTTCGCAAGCGCGCGAATTTCAAATGCAAGACTCAAACAAACAAATGGCTTGTTTACAGCGCACAAACAATCACATGGCTCCGAATTTGGGCTATGTGTATACAATGTTACTCCAAACTATGTTATGTAAAAAGTTCCCAAAACTTATGTGTCCTAATATCCGTTCTCGAATTTGTTGGTTTCTAGACCAACCACCAAACCAACTGGGTTGGTTCGGAGCATAAATATCGGAGAATTCACATAAGTTTTGGACCTTTTTGATTTAGACGATTAGAACGGTCAAAAATCTATCATATAGCGAAGAGAGCGGATCAAACCGTTGCCTCTCCCCCTTTTTTGAGTCAAAAGTACCTACGCGTTGATAGATATCCAATCACTTGCGGTGTCCTTTGCAATATGTGGCGAAAAATGCATCGCAGGATTATTGAGGTTACAGATTTGGTTGGCCTAGGAGATTTTCGACATTTCCAGCATTAAAATGGTACTATACCCAATGGCAGAGCCTTTAATCGACTCAAAATGTTTTCTTTTTGCTTTTTTGTTGTATTACATACCTCAAAATGCGCTTTTTTCGCTTTTTTGTTGCTAATTTGGTTGAATTAGGGTTTCCCATACTGATTTTCATGTCGAGAGGGACTTCGTAAATTTTCGCGAAGTCATGAGGGACTTCGTTTCCTAAAAACCTCCAAACCAACGCGTGCCGGGCCCTGACTATACTTCCATGTATGATTATCACGCTTCCGAACGCGAAATAAACGAACGTAAATCAAGAAAACGCGAGTTGCACACTGGAAATATGACGGTAATTAAGCAATTTCATCGTAGGAGAAAAGAGCAACAAACGAGTTCCAAATCTGGATTGGTTACGATATCCTGAGGTCAAGATGTCGAAATTGTGGTATTCATGCACTAGATGTCGAAATTGTTACGACATCTAGTGCACTGTAGAAGCGATTTTGTGCAGCTCGCGCGTTTGGCACAATAGAGCGGCCGCCGGGTATGATGTTTTGGAGCGGTCGCCGGCCGGTATTTAGCTCCGCCCAGATTTAAGAAGCGGTCGGCGGCCGGAAGGCCGTCGCCGGACGGTCGCCGGCCGGTGCGAGTGTTTGAGTATAGAGACCCAAAAAGAAAGAGAACCGGGCCCCGGCACGAGCGCGCGTGCGTCGCCCCGCGGATCAATCGCCCACTCTGCCGCTACCGGTCCTTGGCAACTTTCTTTACGTTACTCGGATCCATTTTCTCAACAAAAAAAAGGATATCGCTTTCTCCTTTCTCCAGATTTGCTCAATGTATTCCCTCTTGTGAAGTTATGACGAACTTTTAGCGCTTTCATTTTCATTCATTTCCTGCCACGTGTAAACAGAATTGACATGTCATCTACATGTTTGTCAGGGTTTATTAGCAGGGCCCGGCACGCGTTGGTTTGAAGCATTTCTGGAAACGAAGTCCCCCATGACTTCGCAAAAATTTACGAAGTCCCTCTTGACGTAAAAATCAGTAGGGAAACCCCTAATTAGTCAAAATAACATTGAAAAAGCGAAAAAAGCGCATTTTGAGGTAACTAATTCAACAAAAAAAGCAAAAAAAAACATTTCGAGTTGATTAAAGGTTCTGTCATTGGGTAGTGTACCATTTTAGCGCTCAGAATGTCGAGAACCTCCTAGGCCAACCAAATCTGTGGCCTCAACAATCTGGCACTGCATTTTTCGCCACATAGTTCAAAGGACACCGCGTGTGATTGGAGAGCAATATCTATCAAGGTGTATAGATTTGCACTACTTTTGGCTCAAAAGAAGAGGAGAGGCAATAGTTTGATTCGCTCTCTTCACTATATAATAGATTTTTGAGCGTTTTAATCGTCCAAATCAAAAAGGTCCAAAACTTATGTGAACTCTCCGAAATTTATGCTCCGAACCAACCCAGTTGGTTCGGTGGTTGGTCTAGAAACCAACAAATCCGGAACGGGTATTCAGACACATAAGTTTTGGGAACTTTTTACATAACATAGTTTGGAGTAATATTTTATACTCATAACCCAAATTCGGAGCCATGTGATTGTTTGTGCGCTGTAAACAAGCCATTTGTTTGTTTGAGTCTTGCATTTGAAATTCGCGCGCTTGCGAAAGAACACGTTCAACTCGTGAAACCTGACATGTTCGTCGTGTTTTTTGGCGCTTCCTCCAGGACACCTCATAAAAACGATGTTCCCGTTGCTTCTAACTCCAAAAACGAAGTCCAGTTTGACCCCAAACCATCGGTGCCGGGCCCTGTTTATTAGGCTTTTGCCTAGCCTACCTACCAGTGAGGGTAGCAGTTTTAATTCAGCAGTTAAAAAATGTACATTAAATTATAATGATAACCTTTTGTATTTAACGAAGACATTAATGTTTGCCAAAACGGAAAGGTGAGCTATTGTTCCACCATTCAAGCCTCGTAGCGGCATATAGATACTTCAAGCCTTTATTCTTTCTCGGCTGAATTCGCTTGGCGGAAGCGAATTTGAATCATTGCTGAAAGTGACTAAGATGTTCTAATTGGATGGTTTTGCCTTCATTAAAAACCACTGAACAGCTTCAAGCCATTTCAATATCTCGTACCTCTCCGTAAATGGTTTTGAAAAAGAAAACGAATGAGCGTAAACGTATTTTCATCCTAACTCGTGGCAGGATGACAGTTCTCATAGAATCTTAGGAAAAAATCTCCTTGGCTACAGTACGTTTTCATGGGAACTTTTTGACAAAGTTATGCATAACGAAAAAGTACAATCTAATCTTCATGGGGTTCGGGAAAAAGGTAAACCAGAATTAGAAATTTACGAAAGATGTGCCACCAGTACCGGACGCATCTCTCAAAATGAAGGTCGTCAACATGTCATCAAATTCAGTCTTTGGTTACGAAGGCAATGGGATTTACGATGGCCATGAAGTTACAACGATTGCCGTATTCTACCTGGATCAAGTGGGTTTGTCAATTTTCTTCAGGTTCTTAGCGCTTTCATTCCTTATTCATTTCCTTCCAATAAGAGAAAATACCAACATGGTTGGCTATTGAAGACGTGATAGACTAGAAGCGCTTTTGAACGCTGCTTATCTGCTCTAATTTTTGCAGACCAAATCATTGAAAAAAAAAAGTTATAAGCACCTGAATCTCAAAAATTTTCAGCTTCTAATGACATAAAATTAGCATTTAAGCGCTATATATTCTTTCTGAGAGTTGTTCCAAAGAAAAGGAAAGCAGTTTTGGGATAGCGTTTGAAGACTCGTCTAGAGATGTACATCTCTAGACGAGTCTTCAAACGCTTCATCGCCATCTTATTTTGGCATCCTTCCCAACTAAGACAGGATAGTCATAACTTCTATAGTGCTTAACTTGCTCTACAGCACCAATCTACTCTTGCCACTTTCGGATCTTACGATTACAGTCAGTTTCATCCCGGATTAGGCGAGATATTCTACGTGGAGCAGCGCATGCGCATCGCTGGAGGCTTCGCGAGCGCATAGCGCTGGCATTTTGCCAAGCAAAGACTAAGGAGATTGAAGAGACGCAGACATGGGTTCTCAGCAAGATAGGAATTTAGTCGTCCTCCCCCCACTAGACACCTAGTGGATGGATTCGAATTTGAACTAGAGCACGCCGACTGCGGCAGAGCGCGGCATTGTCAACTCCAGTTCAACCTCATCTAATATTCTCTGGTGTTTCTTCGTTGTTGCATGGTGATTTTTTGTTTCAATGATGTTTGTAATCAAAATCGACGAAATTGTTGCTGCTTAGCGATGTTTCGTGCTACTATGCTCGCTTCTTCGGTTTTTATTTCAGCTAAATTTGAAATCAGAATTCAAATAACGAGCATAGTAGCAGGAAGCATCACTCAAGACTAACAAAGTCTACAATTCAGTTAAGAAGACTGCTAATGTTCAAAAAATAAAATGAAACGTTCCGAAAACACAAAAACGTCTGTTTGAGATCAAAGTGAGGGCTGCAGGTACCGCGCTCTGCCGCAAACGGCGTGCTCTGCTTCAAATTCGAATTCGTCCACTAGGTGTCTAGTGGGGGGAGGACGACTATACTTTAGCTGCGAAACGGCGCGAGCTGTTGCGAGGCGGACTCCCGCCAATCCAGTTTCCGCCTAAAGCGGGTCAAAACCTATTGTACCTCATGCCCAAGTGCATTTCTTTTGTAATGGATTCTCTTTCAAAAGAAATGCAATTGTCTCATCTTCTTGCGCATTGCTTAAAGAACCCTATCATCATCTTGGCGATTCATACGCAAAACTGCTTTTGTAATGGAATGAAACGCAGCAGAAAATCTACGAATTCTGAAATGAATTTAGCGGTGCGAAAACCTCACCTCACTGATCAATTTCAAATTCAGGCAGTGTACACACCGGGGAAGTACGATGATCTTTATAATAAAGCACTATGTAAGCTATCAGTTAGGAAAAACTGCAATTTGAAGCTTGAAGTTCGACAAGTATATGTAGCTAGAGGTAAAAGTCTCATCTTTGTTTTGCTTTGAGTAATTATGAAAAACATACAGTTAGACGTCAAGAGGACATATTCGTGCTCAAGAACTGCAAAGCTGTCGAAAGATGGACATCAGGAGCGAATCCTGGACATGATCTTGGATGCATCTCATTTCACAATCCCGGAACCTACAGCGGAAAACATTTGGAAAATTTCCTTTGTCGTTAACCAGTAAACACTTCTGAACTAACGCGTGTGTCATAGAACAGATGATAACAAAAAGAGCTGGATCTGCTTACTGAACCGACATTTTTCCATAAAATCTCGCACTTTAACGGCTATCTCGCTTTCTGTCTAGCATGTCTTGTATGGGGACTCGCTTGCTTCGATTTGCTAGCAAATGTTTTTGATCTTCGCATTTCGTTTTCAATAGTCCCACAACGAAATCTTGTTGTTATAGACATCTAATTTTTGTAAGGACTTTAGATAAAGTTCATGTACAGCCTTTGTGTATTTTGCGACTATGCGAAAATGAAGACTTTTGGAAAAGTTATTCTAGAAAAGTAAGCTAATTGAAGATGCGAAAAAATTCCGCTGCATTGCACTTTGTTTACGCTAACTAAGTACTATAAAAGCTTTTCCAAAAGTTCACACGAAAATTCGCCAAAGTTGGGCATGGTGAAAACCATGGGTTTGAAATCTTGGCAATACACTTTCTGCACAGAACCACAACCGCAAGACACACCCTGCGACAGTTTCCGCCTGAGCAAAACACAAACGAAGGGAAGATTTGCCGCGTGCGTTGTGTGTTGTTGGGACAAGTCATCAGGGTGGCGCTGGAGAGGGCCGTGCGAAAAGACCGTCTCCCGTCCCATTTGCTGTAACCATAGGACATGATACAAGCTTTTGAATGTACCCTGCGATTCAACGGGATTGGCGGTGGAAGGAAACCGGTCGCTCTCGCAACGCAGTCTGCGTATCTCCTGGAAGCGCGCTCTCTAATTACTCCCTAGCCTTGATTAGGCTAATTACTCCCTAGCGCGTAATGGATACCAGGTTATTGCTATACAAGATTAAATATTCATTATTTCTTCCGATCATCTCACATTTTCAAAGTCATTTATCTTCCTGAAAAATCAATGAGAACGCCGCAAAATTGTATTGAAGATATACCACGTTACTGCTGAGCATGTTCTCGACAGAGAAATGGAATTTGAAGATTTTGATTTTTTCGATAATCCCTGGCTAGCGAGCAGCGGTTCATCGAAGATTTTGATATTTTGAGATTCCACTCATTTCTACCATAAACATGTTTAGCAGTGCTGTAGTATATCCACAGTACAATTTTAGAGCATTTTCATCGAGTTTTCAGGAAGATAAATAGCTTTGAAAATGTGGGGGATCAGACGAAATAGTGAATATCTAATCTTGTATGGCAGTAACCTGGCATCCGTTATGCGCAGGTATCAGTGTATGAGAACCTTCAAAACCAAGACAGAGAAAGAAGAAGAAAGATACATAGACTGGCGAGATATGAAGCTTCCCCTCTCCTTGTCAGATCCCCTCCCCTCCCCAGTGGGGATGTACGTGCATACGGGCCTAAAATGCTAATCCGCCTCCCACTACAGTACAGCCTGTGATCCACCACACCTTTCGCGAATTCATGTGAAGCCATCTGATGAATTCTTCCTCTCCCTCTCTGATTCCTCGCGGACTTGCTGTTTTCTTTAGGTCGAGCAAGAACTCAACTCCCTCGTGACTGCTTCTCAATATACCGTCAATAGATGCAATAATCCAGTCATTTGTTTTTACTCCTGCATACCACCCCCCCCCCCCCTCCAGCGAATACGTGAGAGAATGGCGACCTTAGCACATCTTCGGTTTTGAATATTTTCAGACATTATGGTAAGAAACATGCTCCATAATTTCCAGAAATCTTGGATCCTTTACCTGCGTTGCTTGCAGGTGAAAACTATTTCTTGAAAAAATTTTGATGAAAAATTATGAGTCGGATTCCACGCCATCTATGGCGATTTTCATTCTCAAAGGGGTCGACTACATGAAAAGACAATTTTTTAAAACGCTTTATGCTTGAATAAAACTAATCCTAGAAGATCAAACATTATTATAGTTAAATCAAGCAAGTAGAAATTTGTATGAAACCATAGCTCGCTTCTTTTCATATGTTTGAACTCAGCATCTTACATGAGTGATGGCAGTACATATCGCATTCTGTTGAAGAATGTCTGCAAAAAAATTTATCTGAAAATGGGGAGAGGTGAGTGGAGGAATTTCTAACCGCATAGAGCCTTGTTGCTTGACTGATGCTGCTAGTGTCAGCCATTTCACGAATGGAATGCATTGCCAACATTGGGCATCCGACATCTACCGTTCTCATGCCAAGGCGTGCAGCCAAAATCGGGCCAACAGTTGATCCACACAATGAATCATTGCGAACTACAACTTTCTGAAAACTTGCGAGTATGCAGCAGATTTTAGGGTAAAAATAATGGTTTTTCCTACCTGCAAAGGAACATTTGCTTCTGCAGCAATTTGTTTAATGACCGCATGAGTGGTAGACGTCGTAGCATAGCGTTGATTGACATTTATTTTTACAATTACACCACCATGGAATGCAGGACGATGGTTATCCTAAAATTGTTTGTTCAATGATTCCAGAAAATAACTCATGATAGTTGAGTAGTAAGTAGTGTGAAACTCAAGATGTAAGGGACAAAGACGTTCCAAAAAATCTCTTTTGGGGCGCGGGAGGGGGTGGGGGTGGCAGAATTTTTTTCCGAATAATGAAAAAAGACGTTAGCCATGCTGGGATGAAATTTGGGATGCATTTGCGGGCCTACGGTTCCAATTTCTAGAAAAAGGTGACGACAAGAGCTACAAGATTAGCAAGCTTTTTATTTTATCAGCTATTAAAAAAATAACTTTCCTAAATTTCTAGAATCAATTGAATTTTCTAATACTGGAATTTGTTGTAAGCTTGCAGAACATCAGTGAAGCTCCCTACAGAAAAGAGTGGAAAAAGGCATGCATTTTTATGTGAAAAATGAAACGGCCGCTCTCTCTCCCCCCCCCCCTCGTTTTCTATGGGCTGCTTTGACGCCGACATAACAAGCGCTGAAGTCAAAACTTTTAGGAGAAGATAGATCTCCCATTTTTCTTCATGCAAAATTGTCTATTTATACCCTTCAAGCTAACCAAAAGCCACACCACTAAACGCAGGAAAACATACAAACCTCATGTATTTTTGGATAGTTGGGATGGCAAGCATGTGCTTGATCAGCAGAGATTAACAAGCTTTTTCCTATTGACTCTTCAAACGCCAATGGATCTCCTCCAGCTGATAATCGTCTCAGGACATATTCAATGAAAGATGATTGTGCTCCCATAGCTGTTTGAGATCCAACCTGAAACAATTGTGCTAACTCCAGTTTTGCTTGAGACTACTATTTAATTTTACGGATGGTATACTACCCCTGCGATACTGACAACTGCGCGTGAAAAGTAATTATGAGATGCAAAACTTTACGGTGTGTGCCAACAACCATTTCTTACGCGCAAGTGTTGTTAGCACCGCGTGGACACTATCAACCGCTAGATCTACAGGACTATAAACTTTACCTCCTCATTATCGAAACATGCAGCCATGCGGATATTTTCATCATCCATCAGCAAACGCTCATCAAGCAGTGAAGCTATCAATCCCTGCATAGTTGTGAAGGTCCCAACAAGGTTATCAAGTCGAGCGCCAGTAATAAATTCATCATGAATACCACCAATTCTCTAAAAAAAAATTTAAATTGATTTTACGCAAATATTTATTTTCAATTTTTCGTACCGCTGGATTAGCATCGTAGAGGTAGAGGTCCATGTCTACAATTTGCTCCGCACTCGCATTAGCTGCAGCTGCTATTACATCCAAGAAATTATAATGATGATCAGCGACAATATCTCTGGGGTCCTTGCCTACATCAGTGCACTGAAAAATCGAGAATTACTCTGAAAAGGGGAAGGAGTGCAGAGAAAAGCCTCACCGCAGCTTCCTTCTTATCCTTTTGGTCATTGATTCCTGCAGCTGCTACAGTTTCCAGAATTGGTCTAAGGTCTGTTTCCTTATTGCACGTAAAACTATCACGATCTTTTGCAAAGTGTATTGCCAAATTTGGAATATACAGTATAGGATGTTCGATATTGATAAGACGTCTGGCTAGTGTGTCACCCTTAAATAAAATTATTTAAAAAAATATACTGAGTTGTTTGGAAGAAAAATGAAAGGTGAAGTGTATTCGCAGATAAAGGCGGATGCCTAGATGAGGTGAGAACGCGAGCGCGGCGCATATCTATTGATTCTCAAGTGTCTGTCGCTAAAGTCCGCTCCAATGGCATAGCTGCTCGACCGCCGCGCTCACGCCCGCGAGATATCGTCCAACTGCCTTCGTGCGGGAATAGACCTTAACTTACCGCCCTGACAACAACTTCTCCAGCTACGGAAAGATCACGATCAAACCATGTGCGCCATAGTCCTCCACCATATGTAGAAACGCCAACCTGGAAATGAAAATTTTCTAGGCGCAACTGGCTTTGGCCAAGTGGTGCATACCTGATTGAATTTTTCTGACGTTATTTTAGATACAGGTTTCACCCGTAAAGCTGGACTATCGGTATGACCAACAACTATAGAAAAACCATTGCCCGGTACAAAGGCACCACCAACAGCAAAGGCGATGATGCAAGTGCGATTTCTAAAAGTCGAAAATATCTTGCAGTTTGGCAAATGCCCTTTGAGCGAAGCTTTTTGTAGACCAGGGTCACGGACTTGTGGGTCATGAGAATTTTTATTGAATTATTTCCAACTACCGTATGCCTACCGTACTTTTTTCCAAAAGGCGGGATCTCCCAGGAACTGACCACAACAGCAATGTGCAAAAAGAATGGCAATCAAACAAATTTTAAAGACTTGATATTTTAACCATTAGTTAATACTAGTGGAGGTTCCAAAATGTTGTGTGAAGGGAAGAGGAGGGGTGGGAAGAAAGATTTTGGTAAACGCTATGGCATGGCATTAGTTACGCTTTCCGATAATTTTCGAAGTTTCAAAGTTTCTTGTAAGCTTACAACTTCAAAGCTCATTGTTTAAAAAAGGCATGAGGATGGAATGGTAAATTTAATTCTCAATGGAATTATCTGCAATCTCACATCTCATAAATCACTACAATCTTTACAATCAGTCACAAGTTACTTGTATAAGACTAAGACTCGCGTACAACACTTCGAAAATTTCAGCCTCCCCCTTCCCCCCTTTTTTTCGCTACCCTACTATGATTGCCCGATGTGCTACTTATGTGAAAAAATAGCAATCGCGATCTTGCAAAATACAGATATCGCTTACTTAAATTTTTTTCGTGTTTTTTGGAGAAAATGAAACTGGGGTGCTTACTTGGTGACGTAATACTTTCCTCCTGGTTTCACATCCCAGTGTGCTGATTCTTTGAGTTCTTGAAATCCTGACTGCAACAAACGTTCTCGGCACTCATGAACAGCTGGAAGTGTCGATATGACCGTAACCTTTGGTTCAACTGGCTTGGCGGTTGGAAGGCGAGGCTTTGTGACTTATTAAGGCCGCTCCGGCCCGCGACGCAGTCAGCGTCTCTCCCGCTCCGTGCTCTCTGATCATTACTTAGCCTTAATTAGGTCACGAAGTCCCGCCTTCCAGCCGCCAAGTTAGTTGAATCAAAGGGTATGCGCAAATAGTGTAAGTTACCATGAAACGGTGTGACGGATTTATTCAGGAAAGAGATAAACTCTTCAGCTTCCTTCCGTATTTCTGGACCAGCTGGGCCTAAAAGCTTTCATTCAGACATATAAATTACAGTATATTCGTCTCAAAAATGTATTATTGTTTGGTGCATGGCACAAAGACATACTCATCATGGAAGGACCACTTTTAAGGTAGCAACCATCACTGGCTAATTCATCTGAAACTCATTTTCTCCCCATGGTGATTAATTGTTTGATAAAATTATACAAACTACTTATGAAAAAACTCACAAGACATTTTCTTCGACTTTTCGTCTGTTGAACAGAATCTGACAACTGTTGTTGAATAAGATAACGGAGAAGCAGGACGAAATGACGCAAAACTCTGCAACGATGGTATTTATAACAAAAAGGACGCATTGCTTGACATTTTCATTCTGCAACACTGAGCGCAGTTTTCTGATTACCACTTCAGTCGAAAGTTATGGCAGAAATGACAATAGCAATCGAGCTTTTTTGCGAGCGCTGTTTTCGTAGCTGAGGCTCAACTTTCGTTAGTATATACTGAGCAGTTTTCTTGAAGAACCTTGATCTTTGTTCTCTCTTATGTTTGTTTCTGATGTCATTCACGGGACAACCGCACGAGTATCATACAGAGTGTTGCAAAAAAAACCTGCACACTCAAAGGTCATTACTTTTCATGTTTCTGTCTTTTTCCGATCGTTAGGAATCATTCTGTAGAGCAGAATACGACTTAGATCTAAAGTACGAATTACGACTGTTTTTTATTTTTGCAGGATTACGGTATGAATCTTGGACAAGGTGCTTCAAAAGCAGTGTCCCGCAAGTTTTCGTTTCAGGATTTGGCACAGCTAGCCCGGGTCAAGCTAATATCGATTTTGGTACAAAAAGAGAAGGGATATCGTTTTTGTGGCCAAAATTTGCAACGTTCTTTTTTTGTTCAACGTTTCGTTTTTTGAGATTTTTTTTACATTTAGGGTGTACGGTAAAGGGGAATTGGTAAAATTTTAGGAAAGTAAAGGGGGACTTTGTTTTGAAATTCTCCTGGTGCCAGCTCGTGCCGAGCCTTGTTTTGTTTTCCAGTTTTCCACTTCTTCGAAGCCTTCTCGCCATGAGGATCCCATATCTGGGCTTTTCAGCACATGAAAACAGTGAAAATGAGCTTTTCTCGAAGCTTCAAGTTCGCATTCAGCGGAAAATAAGCGCAAATGGGCGGAGTCCGAAAGGAAGTAGAGCGCGGAAGACTTCCTAGGTATTTTCAATGAATGTGAACCTGAAACCTTCAAAAAAGGCTCATTTTCGCCGTTTTCATGCGCTGAAAAGCCCAGACGGGTTAGCGAAAAGGCTATGAATAGGTGAAAAACTGAAGAGCAAAATTTTGCCAAAACGCTGCCTTTAATTGTAAGACACTGAGAGTCACATTTTGCCTCAGCAAGGAAAACAAACACTCTAAAACTTTGATTCTGAGTTGATCGTATGAGTTTCATAATTATTCCTTTCTTTCTCGGTTATGCTAGTATACCGTACAAACGCTTCTTCGCTGTTACTCAGAAACGCGACTGCACCAAAAAGTTGAAAAAAAACCAAAACGCTTACAAAAAAATTGTAAAAAGTTTTGTAGAGATAAACTTGAACGGAAACAGTGGCAATTTTTTTCAAAAAAAAAAAACAATGTGCAGCACACTTTACAACGGCGCTGCATGCTGACATTAACTACCCTAAATCTGCAGTAATGAAGAACATAGGTAATTCTCTAAGTTGGAGCCAGGAACACAATGGTATCATAATAATGCAAGAGACTTCAGAGCAAAACAGTGGGCACATTTTTGGGGCATTTATATGAGATGTCCATCGAAAAAACATAATTCATAGGTTTTCTAGTCCCTTGCATATTTTGTGAAACAGTTCTTAACTTTCTATTTTAGAGACTTATCGTCAGGAGAATCTACATCATCTGCGTCCTGATGTGTGCTTGAAGATGTCAAAATTTTCCTAAGGTGAGAAAGTTATGCAGGTTTAAAGAAATTCTGATGGAGGCAACTGCTAGTTTTTGCCGGTGTATAGTACTATTTCAGCGCCATCACTGGCGATGTCATTTTTTATGAGCATCGATTGTGAGCGGCTGGTTGTCTTATTTGACCGCTTCTAAGCCGTAGTATAGAGGAATGATCATAATAGCAATAATCGAAGGATGCCACATTCTTTTGGGAGAGCTTAGAGAGAGTGGTGGATCTTAAGAGAGTCTTGAAGCGGAAACTCAAATTTTTGGATGAAGCAAATCAAGACAAGAATTTCAGTTTGATAGCAATGAAGATAAGATGGAACTCTCATGTTTGAAAATGTCTTATCGTTGAACTTTGTGCGTTAGGAGACTCTATACTTGACCATCTCAGCTGACATGAAAAGCAACGTAGTTGGCGCAATAACGTTTGATCAACTGGATGAGCTGATTTGAAAAAAAAAACGCCGTACAGAGACAGTTGCGACAATTTGTTGGGAGAATGGCGACATTTTGTCTCTTCAAAAGAGTGCTTATCTGTCACTATCAGCGCCCAATGGCAAAAGCAAAAGTGATTCAGATTGTAAAACAACCCCGTTGCTCATAAAACTTTCATCATAGAGTTTGAATGACGTGGCCTCGTAATTAATTACGAACAACCAACCAGTTGTGTAGTGAGACAGCAGGCGAACCGCCGACAAGCCAGGGTACTCGAAACTGAAATGTTAATGATAAGTTGTAGATCATCTTTGTGATAGATGTTGATATTAAGACCAGCCTGGCGAGTGGCGAAAGTAAAATGAAGAGTACTTGAGGTTCTCCTTTGTTAATATTGAAATCTTGTTGAGTTTATCATCATTATCATACTATTTATTACCATTTATCATAATGATGACTATTACCATCTTGCTAGGTTTATCTTATTTATCAGCTGCCAGAGATTGTGACTGTGGTATGTTCTACATCAACATCAACAGTAATGTTGTTCTAAACTTCTGCATACGTCGCCCTTGTGTGCAGATTTCAGTAAGAATCCCAAACATTAGATTTTCCTATATATTATCACTTGGGATTCGTACAGGTGAAACTGAAGAGGATTCCTAAGCTACTGATCAATAAGTGCTACGAACCTCTAATAAGCACTACGCTGTCATCAAAAATTCGCCGTTCCTCCCATGCTTTGATAAAATCTAAATCGCGATTGTATATGTTATTTTACACATTTTTCTCCTTTGCAAACCTTATTTTGAATAAAATTACTGAATGTTTCAATTTGAACATATTAAATCCTAAGGAAAAATTACTAGTCTATTGTGAATACTCTTCCATCATAATTCCTTTTCTGTTTTTTCATGCATGCTCTCGCTTATAAAATCCGTTCATTTTGTACATCGGTGCCTTTCTCCGAAAACATGATGCTTGCAGAAATACTGCTCATTATGATATGATTTTTGAGAATTTCTGAGAAACTTCAACGGTAACATGAACTGATGTTATGTCTACATCTTGCGAAGAGAATTCATACGCAATGCGATTACGCGACTTTTGTTCGAGAGTGGGTCTAAAATTCCAATATTAGAAAAGAAGTGCCATCTTAGAGTCCAGAAAATAAAAAGACGCAATCTCTTGCCTCCTCGTGGAAAGCATAATCGACAACTTCTTTAGACTTTTACTGCAGAAGTTTCTAGCGAAATCTCGTGAATCACAGGTTACCACCGAACATTAGCTACACAATGAGAAAGTTTGTGCTAATTTTTTATAGAATTTGGTAGGCAGTATTCGACGAAAAAATCATTGCATTGAAGTTATAATGATATCTCGGAGATGTCCAGCTAGTCTTTTTATGGAAATTGTTATGATAATTCAAATTCTTTCAGAAGCGAGGGTGTTTATGAAACAATCCAATACATCCTAACACCGTAGCAAAGTTCAAATACTGTGGTGCAACACCAGATTTTAACAAACAAGACACGAAGTATTGCATTTATTATAGGTCTTATAGCATCTCACTGGGGAAGTATAATATGGGTAAGTGATCAATTAAGTCTCAGGACAATCAGTGCAACAGGTGCCTCACGTCTATAAGATGCGCAGAATAAAAATGACAAATTAATTCCGAATCGTATAAGTTCTCTATGAAACTTGAGCAGATGAAGTGCGCAAACTAAGACGTGAAACTGGCATGAACAATAGATCAATAAACTATACAATCGAATAAAAGCTAATAAGCAGTACTGGCGGCCTAGAAATTATATCAGCTCAAGGACATGGTCAGGCAAGGGATATCATAAATTCTGAGGTATGAACTGACTAGAGCATCAAGCTATTGTATACAAGGAAAACATAGAAGGCTAGCTTGGGGCTAGAGTTAAAGTTTAGGCTAGAGTTACTGAAATAACTAATAGTCATAGAAGCTTTCTTCAGTGAGCAAAAATATTTACAGCTGTGTATGAGAATGAATTTTTCGAAACATCCTTCTGCAAATGTCGGTTATCAACAGTTTATACATCAATTTGGCGCAGCGGCCGCACGCACCTGCGCACGCCCGCGACAAAATCAATAATGAGAAGCAGCATTCCTGAACGTGAAGGCGTGCCGCCGGGGGCATCGCAGCTGCAACTGTCATGAGTGGAAAACACTCATAAGCCACACACTGCAGAAGGATGCGAGTTATAACAGTTCCTAAAAGTCCGTAAAAGGGGTCACTTTGGCTCAAGAATGGAATGATAGATTCGGAATAAATAGAATTAGTGCATATTGTTGAATAGAGGAACAGATAACGCATGCACCTGCACCTGGATTACTGGCCCTTGTGTGGTATACAATAGCAATAGCATATGCGAAAGGACCAGTAGTCCGCGAAGGCTAATTTTACCAGCGGTATTCGTTATTCTACCGGCAAATGTGGGGTGTAATCAATGTATTAATCCAACTCAATAAATCTGTAACTAACACATAGCTGTCAAACAGTGAAAAGATCTGATAGCAAGATCACTGGCTAACACTCACGTCCAGACTAGATCTACTGGCATTGTCATGGCTAGAAATCACTCAAAACTGATAATTTCAACTGGGTTGTTCAACAACCCGAAATGACTTTGATAATCCAATTAGGCAATTACTATAGTGACTGAAGTAACCAAGACGATAAGTGCCTTCCGGCAATGGAGCGAACTCGCAAACAAGGTACTGCTGTCCTTGTACTGTCTGATCAGAGCATGTAGCGATCCACATCCACCGAAGAGGTGTTGTGCAGTCATCAATCGATGCCTGCATACCAAAAAATTTCTTTTTGGTAGCTTTACAACAGTGTATGAGCTTTACATACCGGGTAAACGCCAACCCAGTCCAAGTAGCTTCCTCGACGTGACCAATAACCATTCATATGTTGAAACCGACCAATGAGAGGCACTGTAGCATACCAAGTGGGTAATTGCTCAAAGAGCACATCCCAAGTAATCGATTGCATTGCATTCAACTATAATCACATATGAAAAAACTAACCGCAAAAATGAAAAAAAAGATCAACATACCTTCACTATAAAATCTGCTTGCACTGGCAGGTGGTCGCTAACCAGTACCTCATTATTCGATGTATAATTCACTGGCGAGATTGTATCACCCTGAAGACTGAGCTTGCTTTGAAAAAAATCTCAACAAAAAGTTTTTAAAAGCTTCAAAAGAATTGCTGAGGAAACCAGCTATGGTCAAAAAACGCACATGAATTTGGTGCATATGCGGAATGTCTGCGCTCTCCTCTAATCAATCACCCTCTCACTTCAAAAATCGCATGTGATAACTTATAATATAATCAAACATAGCCGAAATTAGAAGAAAAAAATACAAAAAAACCTTTACAGGATTATTCAAAAAACACAACAAGGATATATCAACGTACTTTGTACAAAACTCGATCACACCAAGAAGGAGTGCGCTTCAAATCGTATTCCGTAGTACCAACGTAAAACCTGGAATCATTAACGTGCTTAGAGATTAGCGTGTAGTACCAAACGAGGCTCCTGATAGAATCATCACCTGTATGTTGGTGCAAAGGTCAGCGGTTGTTCGATGTAGTCGACAAAGGCTTCTTTCTCGCGCATCGCTCGTTTTAGCTGTTCATGGGAATCTGAACAGGATAATTCCGTGAATACCACGAGACTGCCGAAATCTAACCTAACAACTCCTTCTCCTTTTTCGCCTTGATCATTTCCGTAACTTCTTCTGGGTTTTTCTCAACCCGAAAGTTGAGGTCACCCAGCCAGAATACTGCTCTATAAAAATACGCGTTTCTTGCGCAAGACTAGTGAAAACTGGAAGCACATACTTGACGTCATCGTCTTCCGGGAAGCTGCAGATTTTATTCGAATGAAATTGAGCAATCCGCTTGTCATAGGAAATGACATCATGGATGAAGTGACTAACGACAAACACAACGGAAGCATTATTCTAAAGAAAAAACATTCAACAAATAAATCAAGAAGGTGAAGTTTTTTATTTGCTATCTTCGTTCTCAATAAAATGATAGTGAAAAAATTTTTCGTTTATTTTTACGAAAACTTGAAGTTTTTTATTTGCTATCTTCGTTCTCAATAAAATAATAGTGAAAATTTTTTTCGTTTATTTTTAAGAAAACTATTTCACATATTTGTCATTTGTGTTAGCATACCTGCAATGTAATTTTGACTCCAATGGACCCTTTATGTCCAGTCAAACCCCCCATAGTGCTACGGCTGAACCGGTATTGAATTCGTTTTACCTGAACATGTAAGTGTGTTTTCAAACAAGGATACGAATAATAATACCCAACGATCAAAAAGTAAAGCATTAGCTCTACAATGGCTAAAAAGCTATAACATGAACTAGATGCACTAAAGGACATACAAAGGGAACAAGCGTCCGCTTTACAAACACTGTCACTTGATTCGTCATTTGATAGGTTTTAGCCAGCAAAACAAGCCCATCAGTTCGAGTATTCATCCATTCAAACATTTGACGCTGCCATGTAATGACTGTGCCTCCAACCACTGTTTCACCATGTGATACTTCCTGGAATGAAGTCAATTAAGCCGAAAAATTCCGCTGGAACGAAATTAAGTTATTGTAAGATATTGATTGTAACAAAATAAAAAATAGGAAAAACCGCTAGAGCCTTTTCAAACTTATCGCTAGAAAAAATAGCGATTTCAACGACGATGCAAAGCTGCACCTAAGGCCTCGGGCATAGTTCACGCGATTTGTCGCTCGCGATTCCCTCAACAAGATAACTGTGACGAGTTCATGCATGCTGATCCTCCTGCACTTCGGTTGAGATAGTTTTCCAACACGATTCATCGTGACTAAGTACCCAACCGAACTGCAAGGTGATGGCATGCAGTGGACTCGCAACTGTTGTCTTAAAACTGCGAGGCGATGAAATGGCGTGAAATATGCCCGAGGGCTAAGGCATACTAAGGGATCGTTCAGAACGCGCACAAAGGCGCATGAAGGCGCATGAAGACGCATGAAGGCGCACGAAGGCGCGTGTGAGTGTGTGTGTGTGTGTGTGTGTGTGTGTGTGTGTGTGTGTGTGTGTGTGTGTGTGTGTGTGTGTGTGTGTGTGTGTGTGTGTGTGTGTGTGTGTGTGTGTGTGTGTGTGTGTGTGTGTGTGTGTGTGTGTGTGTGTGTGTGTGTGTGTGTGTGTGTGTGTGTGTGTGTGTGTGTGTGTGTGTGTGTGTGTGTGTGTGTGTGTGTGTGTGTGTGTGTGTGTGTGTGTGTGTGTGTGTGTGTGTGTGTGTGTGTGTGTGTGTGTGTGTGTGTGTGTGTGTGTGTGTGTGTGTGTGTGTGTGTGTGTGTGTGTGTGTGTGTGTGTGTGTGTGTGTGTGTGTGTGTGTGTGTGTGTGTGTGTGTGTGTGTGTGTGTGTGTGTGTGTGTGTGTGTGTGTGTGTGTGTGTGTGTGTGTGTGTGTGTGTGTGTGTGTGTGTGTGTGTGTGTGTCGAGAGGAACGAGACGAGACGATACGCGCCTTTTCGCCTTCATGCGCCTTCGTGCGCCTTTGTGCGCCTTTGTGCGCGGTCTGAACGATCCCTAATAGCGGTTTCACCGGTTGCTTCAAAAGATGTGGATAGCACGAGCACACGAACAGCAGAACACGTGCTCATTGATGTCAGATTATGCGTTATCCATGCTCAGGGAACAATGACGCAATAAATCTCGAATAAAGCCAAAGAAAAGTTGAGACATTGGCATGCATGAAAAAGAGGGGTTATGCCACCAGACACAACCCAAAATTCAAAGATTTAGGTTTTCCTTCGAACGGCGACGGTTTTTTCCTGCTGATCATAAATATGACGCTGCTCCTATGTGAAATTTCGGTAAACGCAGGGTAAAATGCAAAAATCCTGGAATTAGCAATCTTCAAAGATGGGACCCACAACAAGAAGTGCAGAGAATGAAAATATTGTAATTAGCATTTGAAGTTACAGTAAGATGTGCGACCCTCTCTAAATAGTATATAAAAACCGTGAATGAAATTCCATTTAAAAAAGGTGAACTTTCTTACAAACACTTTTCTTCAAAACTCTTCTCACTGGAGACCAAATGAAGCTTAAAATAGAGAAAATAAAAACCTGACACAATTTGGAAAACTAGCCTGCATTCCAACTACTAAGAAATGTGGATTGGTAGCAATCGCTGGCGCCAGCAACTTATCGATATCACTCTCTTCTCCTCGTTGCATATTCACATTGTAAGTAATTATCGCCACTCGCCAGTCCATCTGAAAGACATAAGTTTAGATATTCCAGTGATAATTCAATCCGTCCAATGATACTGATAGAGGTGATGCAAGAAGAGTATGACTACGCACTTTGCGGTTTTGCATATTCTACGATCTCAAGTCTCTTCCAAGAACAGGGAACCAAGATCGGAACTGCAAATCATTCTGAGACTGGGAATTTTGCGTCTGCTTCAGAATTAACCTATTGGAAAAGAACTTTTATTCCTTGAAGGCAGTGGCTCGCCAAAATATACCCCTGCCAGATTTTGTTGGTATCAGGTATCCCCGCCCCTCCTGCACAGTAGTCCGCGCCCGACCTGCCAGTTCAGTGCAGTTCATTTGACTTGGCTCATTTTTTACGAGAATATGAAAAGCATCATCAGCTGAGACGTCAAAGTGCCTACCCTACATCAATTATATCTGAATGTACGATCGTCTCCACGATTCGTGTAGAGGTGTATTGCAGACATTACCTGATAGCACGGGTAAAGTTGTTAAACCTCCACGTCATAGCATTGTTTTTCGTACTCTCTCGCCACCAAAAACCGCCACGCTTTGAGTTGGCAAAAACCCGCCTCTACACGAATAGTGGAGCCGATGATACAGTCAAGGGCGTGCGCTCAGCGCCTGTTCGCAGAAACGAACATGAACTATGAACACGCTGTTGAAGATTGGTGTGTTTGATGCAAATAAAATGGATAAACGCAAACTTGTGATTTGCAGAGGGGATCGAGCGACAGGTCAGCAAGAGTCGATGTTGCGATCAAACGGATGCCACTTCTTCGCATGATTTGTGAAAATTTCGGTGTAAATCTGAATGAATAAATTGGGAGTGGCATTCGCTTATTGCAACATCAGCAAACTGAAACTAGCGCTCACCCCAAGACTGATTTTGCGGCATAAATCATAAGTCCTTGACAGTTGTCTAAATGACCAAAGTTCATATCGTCGATTCGTTGACCGCACGGACTGCTCAAGTGCTGCGGACCACACGCGGCGCGGCTGAATTGTCGCGAGAGCACGACTTGTACAATAGCGGATTTGACTGGGGCAAGTGTTTCACCTCGCGGCGCGTGCTCCGCAGTGATGTCCAGTCCGTGCGGTCAACGAATCAACTAGGGGGGCACGCGGAAGGCGACAATGCGAGCAAAACGCAGGCAGTGTAAAATCACCCCTACTAACTTTTACAGAATCTTACTTGTGGCACCGAGTCATGTATCTGCCTCCACCCCCCCCCCCCCTACCTTGGGGCCGTGTCACTTTGGCCCCGAAGAGCTTTGAAAGACACAAATTTGGGAATTGTCGCCTTCCGCACCACACCCAATCAACTATACTTGTTTATTTGCACGTGTGTGCAGGAAACCCCCATCAAGAACTTCCATGATTGCAAACTCGTGTCTCTTATAGAGTTTTGTGGATTTCATTATCGGAAAAGGCTCGACAAAGAAGCACCCGTAACAAACTCCACTCCGTGCGTCAAGAGGTAGCTCAGTTAGAATGAAGGCGTTTGAAATGAAGGAGAGACTTACTGGGGGGGGGGGGGGGGGGTCATGGTTACCCGTACTTTAAAACAGATCTAATCAATTCAGATGTGTCACGAATATGGGTAACTAAGACACCTAGTGCTTCCCAGCTGACTTCCTAGAGATAATAATGGTCCACAGGGCCAATTTTTGAAGTACATAACCACTCCATAAGTCCCAAACCTACTCACCTGCACCTCCGACTTTGAGTACAACAATAGTTCATCTTCTTTGCTTACCATGTCCCTGTTGTGAAAGACTAAAACATTTGAGAAAACTTGTCTTGTGAGATATTTCAAATGCAGAACCCCACATATGAATGCCCCGAGTAGAAGTGCTCCGAAGGCACCAATGAGCATGCAACGCGTAATACACCACTGCAGACCATGTGACATAGGAAGTCAGCCGGGAAACAGACTATGAACAACGTGAATCGAGAGCAGAAAATACCGATCTGTGACGATAAGCACATGAATAGATGCCAGACTTGTATCAAACAAATGATTTCATTAAAACGCACAAAAAGCCGAATAGACACATTTCACTGATGAACTAATACAAGCAATGTTATCTATATACACACAAAAATAACGTTTTTCTTCCTTTGCAATTCCTATGTCTATTGCAACACAAAAAGAAGGCTAATAAAACGACAAAATAAAGAGAAGATACATAATAAATGATAGTAAGGCGATAAGCGATATTTTACGCAACACTGCGCACGCACAATTTTACAGCTAAAGAAGTGAGAAACGTTTCTTGAACATTAGAACGAAAAACAGAATTAATGTGAACTCCCTCGAAATGAAACTGAAAGAAACTAGCAGAGCCGTTCTGCAAAGACTATTGTAATTGTTCAAGTCTAAACTACAACTGGGGATAAGGAGATAAGCAGGCAAATTTCGGAAGGAATTTTAGGGAATGGATGCTTGGATATTGAATTGTTCAGCTGGACAAGCACATTTTGAACCAAACAGTGGAAGCATACGATGATCTCGACAGCGGCGATATAAAAGACAAATTTTTCAAGATTTGTATACCGTGGCTGAACATAACACATAGTTGCTAAACTTCAGTTGCAATGTAAAAAACTCGGAATCCCTCAAAACCCAGTCAGTCGAACACTCAAATTCCAGCATCCACTCTAAGTGCCTCGACAAATAACCTGTACATAAGCCAAAACTTTTGTAAACGCTAGTGACATCGGAAACTTATGCAAACTATCCATAGAGTTAACATGCGAAGGCGATAAAACAGCAGAAACCAAAAGAGAGAACAAATACTATTATCACAATCATGGTGCATGACGAGTCCCATTCAAACTGGTTCAAGGAAAATTGTCAGTGGCATAGGTAACTAGATTTCAATGCAATGTGGAAATGTCACTACGCCCATAAAAAAGGAATCCGAACCCGTATGCTTCGATCACTTCACTGCTTTCACTTCACTGCTTTGTGCTGACACATCGACGCACTCGTTTCCTGGCAGGGCCCTTGCTTGAATTGCTGGACGCTGACAACACCGCTTCCAGAAGTTCGTTGGCTAATTCGTAGCGATCCTAAAGCATTAATAGATTGGCTACACTGAAAATCCCACAAAATACGCTCGAATCAAAGACGCTACCTTTTTCATTGCCCGCCATTCAGGCGTACGTATAATATTCTTGTGATGAACCGTAAGATACCTGATAACTGCCTAAAATGCAAAAAATTATCCTGGAATCAGAAAATGTTGAAGCAAATCTCACCTGCTTTAGTAAGACTGCACTATATGTATCAGCGAACACCGCAATGGATGTGATATTTTTCTGATTGATGGTATTTGAAATAAGTCGCTCACATTGTTCTTTTAGTGGCAGCACTTCATACTTGTCAGCTGGAAGTAATATAATTTGGACATAAAGTACAAAAAAAGAGAAAGAAAAATGGTTGATGACAAAGAAAAAAGTCACGGGAAAAAACGGTTGATGACCCACCAATCGCGAGCACTTCATCGACTGAGTTGGAGTCAACTGTATCCATCGAACCCGTATACATAAATTCTACCATAGCCCTCACCTGCAATCCAGCAAATCTCTAATGACGAAAGAAAGCAGACTAAAATATACCATCCAACAAGTGTAGTAAAACAACATACCGATTCATACTTAGCATCCTGGATATCGATGATGCCTTCCCTAGCTTCTATCATGGACTCATTATTGAACATAGAGCGGAACACGGGTGAGTGTTGGCCAAGAACACATCTATGCGCTTTGATCTCCTTGCTTCCAACCTTACATTAAAAGAATAGGTAGAACACAAAAACCATGTAAGCTTGTTTCCCACCTTGATTACACAATCTGTGAACAGCTCCGACTCCCACATTTCCCTATTGCTTTCCCGTATACTAAGCTCTACTTTCTCATCAACATCTTCAAGCGCACATTCTTCATCATCGGCAGGTTCCACGGAGATTTTCGATCCTGGTGTGAAGTACTCGACCTAGAAGAGAAAACTATGCCATCATTTTGCGGATGTTCTCCGACAGTGTGCATACGCAGCGCAGACTATAGCGCTGCGAGCGGAAAAATTTACGCCAACGTCTGATCTGTGCCTGATTGGGACAAACTGTATGTGCCAAATTTGGATACTCGTTTTTCTCATTCAACTTGTCGAAAAAAAAATGCTATGCTGTTTCGCGTGGGATCTGGAATCTTCTGGAGGGCAAACACGCGTTTTAGCGCAACATAAATACTGCGCGCACATGCGTTTTGATGAAAGCCACAATACTGATGGTCTTCTTGCGGTATGCAGGTACAAACAAATCGCGCAGCTGATACTCACCTCGCAAATGAGTAGAAGCGATCCGTCAGCTCGTAGTGCGCCCGTCATTTTATCCCGAGAAACCTGAACAGGTACCATTATCATTGCTCACCATTACAGGGGACAACAAACCTGAAATTTTCCGCGACCCTGCTGATTTGTGAAATCCTTCGTATCCCTGCATACACTAACCCGTTGAGAGCTTACATCCAATGCATAGATTTGGAATTCCGTCATGATTGGTTCCTCACCTCGCTGAAAAACAAAACCTAGAAAATGCGCCAACAGGAGAAATTTACTGTATATTACCTGTAAGCCAACTTGACGAAGAAAGAATGACACATTGTTCATATCTTCTTCCCGCTTTCCATTAGGATAAACGTGTAGTTCCCAGCATACGGTGGGCGCTTGTGGGACGCCAAATTGTCTGCTTATGAGATTCTGACCGTTTTTGAATAGTTTCATCAGTTTCTCGAACTAAACATCAAGCACCGATAAAAATATTGTCAAACGTAACGGAAAAATGGCAGGAATGATGGGTGTGAGAAAAAATGGAATCTTTTTATCATTGTCAAAAAAAAACAAATATGGAAAATAGAATTGTGTACCCAAGATTTCTCCACAATTAAGTTTGGATAAACAGACCTGGTCAATTTTCCATTCTAATTTAGTAGACAAGGCGGTGACTTTAGTAGCTTGTTTCGATACTACTTCCAACTTTCTCGGCTGAGAAGCTGTGGCATCATCAGCTAAAAAAAACGCTCCTAATTCAAATATTACCATCATAAAAACTAAAAAGGAAGAAAAGTGTCAGAAGCCGCAGTGGCATTTTGCCATGGGATGGGTAACATCCGAAGAGCTCAAACGCTGATTCCAAAAACCTTTTTTTGCTGCAAAACGAATCTGGATAGGGTGTTATTGAATGGAATCTGCGCGAAATTCACAACGCTAAGATTAACCAATACTATCAAAGCCATGCATTTTGGGCTTAAAGCTAGCTGAAACAGTTTATCAATGCTTAATGTATAATCGGCTTCAAGAAACTATAGAGGCGGGGTCATCGCAGCTTCAAGCGGGCGATTTTTGAAGCAAGAGAGTATAAAAAGCAATGCACTTGGAGGTTTAACAAAATTATCCTTATAATCAGGAAAAGTCCGCAACCTGCCTCTATAAAGTCTCGGAGCCGATCACACTTCTGCTCTTTCAATATTATGCTGCACTGCTTAACAAGCATTGAGTTTTTCCAAGTTCACACGGTACCTTGAGAAGTGTAAAATTTGTTGATCAAGATGCCTATAACTCCCAACCCAAACTCGTTCTGCAGCTAGGGGAAGCTTTTAGAATCAGTATTTCTGCTTCGGATGATAACTATCTCATATCAAAAGGCCGCTGCGACTTTTGAACTCTCCTTGCAAGAACTAAACAAGGATGAAACTCACATCTCAACGACGATGCTCTCATTACTGATGGAGGCGGAACACTGACGGAATTAGCTGGAGGCTGAGGTGACGGTGCTATGGGAACTTGACCAGCTCCAGCCAAAATCGGCAACCGTGGTAAGCTCATGCCTTCGCTTATTGTTCGATGGACAGCTTCACGAAAATCGGATCTTGCACTGCAAGAATTTAATTCTAAGAATGATCAAAGGTCATATAACTGATAGAGACGGGCTACCACAATCTTGGAAAATCAGCAATTTGGTATCGTCGATTCGTTGACCGCAAGGACTGCTCAAACGCTACGGACCACGCGCGGCGCGATTGAATTGTCGCAAGAGCGCGACTTGTACAATGGCGAATTTGTACTGGGGCAAGCGCTTTACCTCGCGGCGCCTGCTTCGCAGTGATGTCCAGTCCGTGCGGTCAACGAACCTACTACGGTTTCCTAGCGGTGCCGACATTCACCAACAACATTTGCGCGTAAACAAATTGCCATGGACGCGGCTTCACGCACAAGTTGCCGGGGGCCTAGCAATCCACTCACGTGCAAATGTTGCCGGCAAGATTTGGCGCCGCAAAGACACCATATTAAGCGTCAATATCAGCGTATAAACTCTAGCATCACGGCACAAAGCTTGTATCGAATGTCGGTATCCGTATGTAACGTCATTCTCATATAAACATAAAGGATTTAGTCACATAGTTTCAACATTTTTTGTGTAAAGACTCAAATGAAAAAAAAGTTAAACTGCTTTTAAACCAATTGATGTAATATGTGACGGAATGATCAAACTGCCAATAACTGCACTGCAGTCAAGGTAGGGAGCAAATGCACTTTTCAAATGATAACGTTAGACGAATAGTAAACAGCTAACAATGGGGCAGATACGGTATCCCTACCGAACGGAATGCTTGCACTAGCAAATTGGGAAGTAATTCAAAGTCAGCATGTCGACATAAAAAAAGTTAATTGTTACCAAAAGCAGTAACTTCTGGTCAGAAGAAAAAATGTGGTTTTACTATTCCCAAGTTTTCAGATCGTCGGATCTAACTCAATTGCGCAAGGAAATTCTAATGAAATTGTGCTTGTTTAGTACGATGAGTATCAGTGAGGTCAACATATCATCATGAAAAATCATAAGGATTATCATGAAGAATTTGAAATTTTTAAATAAGCTAGAACTTAGTCTATGGGCTACAATGCTGAGAATCATAACCGACAGCGGCTAGATCTGATATCGTGTTGAGTGCCAAATATGCCCGCTTCCCATCTAGCAAATTCTGAATTTGAAGCTCATCCTATACCACCGGGATACGGTAGGCTTCGATTTCAAAGCCTCGTCATAGGGAGTACCGCACCTCGTAATGATTATTATTCAAATCATCACTAATCTCCCAAAAACAGAATTTTAGCAAATTGATGATCAGTTCTGGTTTACGTGAAAAGCTGCTGTCACATGCGCGTTAATGAGTATGCAGAAATAAGTGAAAATGCTGCCCTTGGAAGTGAACACTACTTCATTGTTCAAGACGAGAAAGAATTGAAAATTTTAAAATTTTACCTCAGCCTGACGACGCTGCCTCGGTCAACGATCGGAGTTGGCAATGTGCTGTCAACTCGCCAACGTAGACGTGAATGCGAAGCGATTTTGAGCCTGAATGACGACCGAGTGTTAAAATAATCTTCCCAGTAAGCAGTAGAACGACCTAAAGAGCAGGAAAAAAGAAGAGGAAAACTAAGGGAAGATCGGCTATGAAAGGGATTTCGCATTTATATATTTGGAAGACAAATGGGCATACGAAGACGATGAGATGCCGTGAAACCTTGAAGGCTCCCGCTTTAGGGGTTCTCAGTCTTTGAAGCAAAATCAAATTTCGCAATTTTTCGAAACAAATCGTGGTGCGTCGTATCGCTGGGGAACGCACTGCCAACAAGCGGCAACAAACAAAATGAAGTACTTTTCTACATAAGTAACCGGAGCGCTTGGGGGATAAAAAAAAGAGTGAAAAAACGGTAAAAAAAATAAACTTTGCTTGGAAATCAAGAGGAAATAGACAGATCTATAATCCTCGAAATAAGCTTTCATCCGAAGTCTCTGCAGCATCAGCTCTGCTGCCGCGCTAGGAGTCCGATGCAAGATCAATACAAATTTAGAAATGCAAAAACTTACGCATCTCAGGGTTGAATTAGATTTGAGGATCTTTTGGTTGCTTCTAACAGAACAAATGTCCTTGGAGGTAAGAATCAGGAAGAAACAAGATTAGACCTAGGACATATCAATTTTTTTGCCAGATATCCCAGAAAACTAACGTTATAGATATTAATAAGTCAGAAATCACCGACCGTTATCATTCATCATTGCACATGTTATCAACTATTATCATTTATCATGATGAATGTTAAACCTATGAATGGTACGAGGAAGTTTTGTCAGCTAATATCGCTTCGTATGAGAAGATGCAGCAAAAACCAAGTTAGGTAATTGAAACAATGAAGATCGACAAAGAAGAGTAAGCGTGAAGTCCATTTTTCCACTGAACCAAGAAAATATACTTCGTACTGCTAAAAAACCTAAACGGTACCCAACAAATCAAGAAGAAACCATCACCTTGTCCTTTCTTGTACCGCCTGCTTTGAGTATAAGCACAAATTTTGTAGAAAGAATGAGGCGTTGTTGCATCCAGGTAAACTATGAATTACAATCCTCACTTCTGCCTTCACATCTTATCGTTAACTGATAAGATGTGTCTCTTTCGTCACCTACTTAGGCTACATTTCTATGAGAGCGGACAAGGAAGCGAAGACGTTAGAGGATAACCATAGAACCTTAGGGGTCACGAAGTTGATATATAAGATTCTCATGTAACCGCAGGGCAATTAGAATGGTCCCAGAAGCACCGCAAACGATCGATTTTGGAAAGAAAGTGAAATCCGTCGTTCTAGAAAGGAAAATCGTTGCGTCAGCCGGATGTGAGTTGGGATTAGTGCCAGGTAAGCGTATTTTAACGATGGAAAAAGCTGTTGTGACATCGCGATCCAACCAGATGCTGAAGCCGGAACGAAAAGCAGTCGTGGACCACCCTGAAGAGGGAACCGGTCCGAACGCGCGCCGGACGCGCCGCCGTCGGCCGAAGTCGGCGCCAAGCGATTCGAAATGTTTTCGCCAGCAGTCATTTTTGTGAACGCCATTTTTTCTACATCCTTTGTGTCAGGGTGATGAGGGGGCTTTCTTTTCATCTGTGCTCTTCTTTCATGTGCTTGAATAGAAAGGGTGGGATGACTTACGAAGCTAGAGGAACTGCACTGACAAAACTTCTGATTCTTTCAATTTCACAATCCTGAAAGCTAGCTGAAATCTCTAGTTTTATATGTATACAATGGCGCGGGTTTTGATGCCTTTCCAGCTACTTTTTCTGAAAAGCAGGGTTAAACCTGGAAAGTAGAACTTGAACTCATTGTTAGTTTGAGACTTTGGATTCATAAGAGGCAAGGTCCCATTTCGTGAAGGATTCGAAACTTGGCTTTCTGATTTCGAATCTCCAAACCAAAAGGCAGTGCTAGTTTTTCGAAAGTCAGCCATAGAAGTTGCGAAGTGTAGAGGAAACCCTTGGAATGTAATGATCCTATCTATCTCATCACGAGTGGCACTGGAAACGAACTCGCTCTTAGTTTCGAAAATTTTCACAGTTCCCATAGTGCAAAATCATACTAACACCAATGTATGTAAGATCTGTGCCACTGTCAAATTCTCATAATTTTTGCTCGGGTTTTTCCCTAGGAATAATTCGCTCTTACGTTTGCTAAGCATCTTTTTTCCTTTCGAAGTGTTCAAACCACACATGATATATTCTTCATTTTCTACTATTATATCATACAAAAAAATATATATATTTTAGCCTTCGGACCCTCTCTCCCCACCCAGCACCATCTGCCCTGTAGACGCATTCATTCATCCCAATGTATTCATTTTCATTCTATCACCTTTCATTTGTCATGCCTTGAAATTGTCGTTTTTTCATCCCACACCTGAAGCAGTATCCGAATGTTGGGTGCCTGGGTCACTATACAACAACGGAGCGGAAAGTTAAACAAGTCGTTGAAACGACGACTCATATTTCACAGGTGGCTGAAATAATTTTGTAATGTGGTCCAGTACAGTATCCCTTTTGCGCGAACCAATCAGGGTCCTTGGTCGCGGTACTGGGCGAGGCGTCAATGTTGAAGCGATTCTCGTGCCGCACGATTCTCTAAAGCAATACGTAGCACAGTATAGGGTCCTTTGGTCGCGAAGTGTTCTGGCCCGTTTGGGCTGGTCGATTTTAGGAAAAAAATCTTATGCGGCTTATACACCCAAAATAGGGTAATTACATATCAAGTCCAGATATCCATTTGTCTACATTCTGCCTTCAATAGTTCAACCGTATTCGTGTTATTTCCGCGCGTTCCTTAGTATGCAAGCATTTTCAGGTCATCATGGAGGGTCTAGAGCAGATTCTTGGGAATATACCTGAACCAATGGACACAAGCGATGTGAGTGTAAATTTTTTCAGTCCTTTTGTGCTCAAATGAGTTGAAACCACTTTGTAGATTCCTACTCCCGCAGCAACACCTGCACAGTTGTTAGAAGAAAAGGCACGAAAATGGAAGCAGTTACAATCAAAGCGATACGCAGAGAAAAGAAAGTTTGGAGTTGTAGATGCACAGAAGGAGGAGATGCCTCCAGGTGAGTATTTTGCTCTTTACTTGCAGCACGTAATTCAAATATTCTGTGCTTTAGAGCATGTCCGAAAGATCATTCGAGATCATGGAGATATGACATCTCGAAAATTCCGACATGACAAGCGTGTATACCTTGGAGCACTAAAATATATGCCTCATGCTGTTTTGAAACTGCTTGAGAATATGCCCATGCCTTGGGAGCAAATCAGAGATGTTAAGGTAGAAATTAATGATGTTTTTAAGCAAATGATTTGCAGAGATTTGGCCACTCTTCTTTTAATTACCATCTATTTATTTAGGTGTTATATCACATAACTGGAGCAATCACATTTGTGAATGAGACTCCCAGAGTCATCGAACCGGTGTATCTGGCCCAATGGGGCACAATGTGGATTATGATGAGGCGAGAAAAACGTGATCGTCGCCATTTCAAGGTAAACTATGAGTTGTCTCGGTGTCAACTTTTGAGGTACTTGAATTTGAGAAAATATGAATGTTGCTACCATTTTAGCGAATGCGATTCCCACCCTTTGATGATGAAGAGCCACCGCTAGATTATGCTGATAATATCCTCGATGTAGAACCTCTAGAACCTATCCAGATGGACTTAGATGCTGAAGAAGATGCTACAGTAATAGAGTGGTTCTATGACCACAAACCATTGGCCTCAACTAGGTAATATTAGTGGTTTTTATCATGTGCATTGCTTGAAGAATTTGCTAATTTGAGGTTCGTGAACGGGCCGACCTACAGACGATGGGCGTTCAGTATCCCCATTATGGCGACCCTATATCGTTTGGCAAACCAGCTTCTTACCGATTTGACGGATGATAATTACTATTATTTATTTGACTTGAAGTCATTCTTCACAGCTAAAGCTTTGAATGTGGCAATTCCTGGAGGGCCGAAGTTTGAGCCGCTTATCAAGGATATTAATCTGTAAGTTCTGCCTCACCCGTCTTTCATAAATGGTCTGGAAATTCGGTTTCGTAATTCGCTTCTTATAGTGATGAGGACTGGAATGAGTTCAATGACATCAACAAAGTCATTATCCGAGCTCCTATTCGAACTGAGTACCGTATTGCATTCCCGTACATGTACAACAATCTAGTAAATGCGTTGCCGGTGCAGGTCTCATGGTGAGCGAATCGTCTTTCTTCTTACGAATCTAAAGATCAAGATTTCATGGTCATCATGTCACTTTTAGGTATCATACCCCGTCTGTAGTGTTTATCAAGACCGAGGACCCAGATCTGCCAGCTTTCTACTTCGATCCGCTGATCAATCCGATCGCGATAAGTGGACTTGAAAAGGTCAGAACTTTTCGTTTCAGTACCCATAGATTCTGTCAGTGGGTATATCGTTCCCTAAGATTAAGCTGGTGATGAGATGCGCAAATATGTTGGGTTTTGCCGCAAGAACCTAGGCATCTCCCTGAATGATTGCGCGAGAGCAAATACGTTCTAGGCGTGATTGACAATAGTATTGTAGATGTGTTGGTCTAGATTTAGGACGTGACAATTTTTGATGCGGTGCTAGTAGTAGTGGTTTTTCCACTATGGGAATAAAAAACTGCGTTTTAGACCGTGGAAAATCTCCCCGATGATGAGGAAATGGAAGAATTTGAACTTCCTGAAGACATTGCTCCAATCTTCGAGGAGGTATTGTTTTCGTTTTCCTACTATCGCGTCAGATTACCCAGCCATGTGGTCTAGGTCCCATTGTACACTGACAATACCGGTAATGGAATTGCTTTACTGTGGGCTCCGCGACCATTTAACATCCGATCCGGAAGAACACGAAGAACCATTGATGTACCGTTGGTGAAGAGTTGGTACAGAGAGCATTGTCCAGCTGGTGAGCACCCTTTCTTCTGATATCATCAACTGTATATAATTTTTCGAACAACTGATGCCTTAGGTATGCCTGTGAAAGTCCGTGTGTCGTACCAGAAGCTGCTCAAAGTGTTTGTGCTGAATGCTTTGAAGCATCGTCCACCGAAACCACAAAAGAGAAGGTATGAGAAGCCGTTCCGTCGAAATCACAACAACTTCTGAATTTTTGTTTAGTATAATCAAATCATGTTCAGGTATCTGTTCCGCTCATTCAAATCGACCAAGTTCTTCCAAACCACCACCCTTGACTGGGTGGAAGCCGGCTTGCAGGTAACTTCTTTACGTACTGTACAGATGGACTTAATTTTTGGTAAATTTGGGTCGATATACAACCAATGTCATTTCGTCATTCTTCCAGGTGCTTCGCCAAGGTTACAACATGTTAAACCTCTTGATCCATCGTAAGAATTTGAACTACCTCCATCTGGATTACAACTTCAACTTGAAGGTAAGACTTTTTGTGCGGCAGTTAGCTGTTCTTTGGTTTTCTATTCTTTTTTCGACCGTCTAAACCGCATTGTGATTCTTAGCTAATTAAGCTGCTTTCAGCCCGTGAAAACCCTTACAACCAAAGAGCGTAAGAAATCTCGTTTCGGTAACGCGTTCCATTTGTGTCGTGAGATCTTGAGACTCACCAAGTTGGTTGTCGACGCACATGTGCAATACAGGTAGGCTTTTGTTCATTTATAAGTTCGCTCAGCAATATTACTTTATCAGGCTCAACAATGTTGATGCTTATCAGCTAGCAGATGGTCTGCAGTACATTTTTGCGCATGTTGGCCAGCTTACGGGAATGTACCGTTACAAGTATAAGCTGATGAGACAGGTGAGAGAATGCTTGATCTGAGCTTTCGGCGAATGTTTCGGTTGCTATGTGATTTGTTTTTAGGTACGTATGTGCAAAGACCTGAAGCATATCATCTACTATCGCTTCAACACTGGAGCAGTTGGTAAGTTAGACTTCTAACCTGGTATTCGCTCAATCTGACCATCTCCACTTCTTTCTAGGAAAAGGACCCGGTTGCGGTTTCTGGGCTCCTGGTTGGAGAGTGTGGTTGTTCTTCCTTAGAGGAATTACACCACTGCTGGAAAGATGGCTTGGAAATTTGCTGTCTCGACAGTTCGAGGGTCGTCACTCAAAGGGTGTAGCTAAGACAGTCACCAAGCAAAGAGTCGAGTCTCACTTCGATCTTGAGCTGAGGTACGTTTGAAGTTGACGGTAGTAAAGTATTACCGGTAATGTTCTCCATTGTAGAGCCGCTGTCATGCACGATATCCTCGATATGATGCCAGAGGGAATCAAGCAGAACAAAGCTCGAGTTATTCTGCAGCACCTTAGTGAGGCCTGGAGATGCTGGAAAGCCAACATTCCATGGAAAGTCCCAGGATTGCCCACGCCTGTGGAAAATATGATCCTTCGTTACGTCAAAGCTAAGGCAGACTGGTGGACTAATTCTGCTCACTACAATAGAGAACGTGTGCGACGTGGAGCCACTGTGGACAAAACTGTTTGTAAGAAGAATCTTGGGCGACTGACCAGGTTATACCTAAAGGTGGGCATGCTTTTCATTGCATTTTGAATCAGCTTTTCGTCTTGAATGTATTTTCTGCAGTATTTTGTAGAACTCAGAGTTTTTGATTGTTTAGGCTGAGCAAGAACGTCAGCATAACTACCTGAAGGACGGTCCTTACATCTCCGCCGAAGAAGCCGTTGCTATTTACACCACAACAGTCCACTGGCTTGAGTCTAGGAGATTCTCTCCGATTCCATTCCCACCTCTTTCATACAAACATGACACAAAATTGTTGATCTTGGTAGGTTACTTCACCGCAGCTAGAGTGCACTCTTGCGATTTTCTTGTTTATAGGCTCTTGAAAGGCTGAAAGAAGCGTACAGTGTAAAGAATCGACTCAACCAGTCGCAAAGAGAAGAGCTGGCTTTGATTGAGCAAGCTTACGATAACCCACACGAGGCATTGTCACGTATCAAACGACACATGTTGACCCAAAGGGCTTTCAAGGTATCTCTCTCGCTCTTGATCACTGTTTTTCAACACTAATATTGCTTTTATAGGAAGTTGGTATCGAGTTCATGGATCTATACACCCATCTGATACCAGTGTACGATATCGAGCCACTTGAGAAAGTGACCGATGCCTACCTTGACCAATACCTTTGGTACGAAGCTGACAAAAGAAGGTGAGTTGGGCTTGCTATTTGTTGATGGGGTACAAAAGGTACCTGGTATAGAAGCCGACACAGGTGTTATTTTTGATCTTCTGAGATAATCTTGACAAATCTCATTCAGGCTGTTCCCGTCGTGGGTCAAGCCTGGTGACACTGAGCCACCTCCACTTCTTGTCTACAAATGGTGCCAGGGTATTAACAACTTGCAAGATGTTTGGGAAACTGGAGAGGGTATATTTCAAGTTTAAGAAAATTATTCTCGTCTTCCTCATCTGCATATCATTTAGGAGAATGTAACGTGATGATGGAGGCTAAATTGGAGAAAGTAGCTGAAAAGATGGATTTGACACTGCTGAACAGATTGCTGAGGTAAATCCCTTTTGACGTATGGAAAATCAGTTTTGAATTAAGTTATGTTTTAGGCTGATCGTGGATCACAACATTGCTGATTACATGTCGTCAAAGAACAACGTTCTTATAAACTACAAAGATATGAACCACACGAACTCTTTTGGAATCATCAGAGGACTTCAATTTGCTTCATTCATTGTACAGGTAAATGCTGGATCTCGAGTGCTCAGAATTGTGATTTTGGCTTTTCAAAATGGGTTCTGTATATCATTTTTATTTTTTTCATTTTTAGTACTACGGTTTGGTGCTCGACCTCCTTATTCTCGGTCTGCGACGAGCATCTGAGATTGCTGGCCCGCCACAGTGTCCAAATGAGTTTTTAACGTTCCAGGTAAGTATTCATCCTTTAAGCTCAGCTCCCGGTACTGATTTGACTCCATTCCTTGGCAGGATATTGCTACGGAAACAGCGCATCCCATCCGTCTATACTGCAGATATATTGACAGGGTGTGGATCATGTTCAGGTAGGATTTTTTTGCAAATATGCTGGTAGGCACTAATTATGCGTTACAGGTTTTCTGCTGACGAAGCACGGGACCTGATCCAGCGATACCTTACTGAGCATCCTGATCCAAACAACGAGAACATCGTCGGCTACAATAACAAGAAATGCTGGCCTAGAGATGCTAGAATGCGTCTGATGAAGCACGATGTAAATCTGGGACGAGCTGTGTTCTGGGACATCAAGGTTAGTCGCCAGACTACTGGTCTTTCGAAAGATTCTTATGTTTCTATCTCAGAATCGTCTGCCTCGATCAGTGACCACCATCGAATGGGAGTATGCATTCGTATCCGTTTACAGTAAAGATAACCCAAATCTTCTGTTTGATATGGCTGGCTTCGAGTGCAGGATCTTGCCGAAGTGTCGTACTACGGCTGAGGAGATTACCCACCGAGATGGAGTGTGGAATCTGCAGAATGAGGTTGGTTACAATGTTTTATTTGTGTCATTTATTAATTGTCAAAGGTAGTCTGGGTAACTCGCCACGTATTTTTTTGCCCGTATTTTCATTACTCTACCATTTTCTTTTTATCCAAAACTTTGAAATTCCCTAATTTTCAAGATAATTTTTGCTTTAGGTTACCAAAGAACGTACTGCCCAGTGTTTCTTGAAAGTCGATGAAGAATCCATGTCCAAGTTCCATAACAGAATCCGACAGATTCTTATGTCCTCTGGTTCAACGACTTTCACAAAGATCGTCAACAAATGGAACACAGCTCTGATTGGTCTTATGACTTACTATCGGTACGTTTTACCTTTATAGTTTTTCTTGCGGTCATTTGAAAGAAAGCAACTTTTATAGAGAAGCTGTGGTCAACACTCAGGAACTATTAGACTTGTTGGTGAAATGTGAGAACAAAATCCAAACTCGTATCAAGATTGGATTGAACTCCAAAATGCCTGCGAGATTCCCGCCAGTCGTATTCTATACGCCCAAGGAAATTGGTGGATTGGGTAAGTTTGATGATAATCAGTAGATGAAATGCTAAATACGAGGAAGAGGTTTAGGTATGCTTTCCATGGGACATGTGCTTATTCCGCAAAGTGATCTGCGATGGATGCAACAAACGGATGCGGGAGGCATCACCCACTTCCGTTCCGGAATGACCCATGACGAAGACCAGCTGATTCCGAACTTGTACAGATACATCCAGGTCTGTACCCGTTGTACATTCACTTTTGGTAAACATTTGTAATTTGTTTTCAGCCTTGGGAAGCTGAGTTCATTGATTCTCAGCGTGTGTGGGCCGAATATGCATTGAAGCGACAAGAAGCTAATGCACAGAATCGTCGTCTTACCTTGGAAGATCTTGATGATTCTTGGGATAGAGGAATCCCTCGTATCAACACGCTATTCCAAAAGGATCGCCATACACTGGCTTACGATAAGGGATGGCGTGTACGAACCGAGTTCAAAGCTTACCAGATCCTGAAGCAAAATCCATTTTGGTGGACCCATCAGCGTCACGATGGAAAACTCTGGAATCTCAATAATTACCGTACTGACATGATTCAAGCTTTGGGAGGAGTCGAAGGAATCTTGGAACACACTTTGTTCCGAGGAACGTACTTCCCAACCTGGGAAGGTCTTTTCTGGGAAAGAGCATCTGGATTCGAAGAGTCCATGAAGTTCAAGAAGCTGACCAATGCACAGCGATCCGGTTTGAATCAAATTCCAAACCGTCGATTCACTTTGTGGTGGTCACCAACCATCAACAGAGCAAATGTATACGTCGGTTTCCAAGTACAACTCGATCTGACTGGCATTTTCATGCACGGTAAAATTCCAACCCTGAAAATCTCATTGATCCAAATCTTCCGTGCTCACTTGTGGCAGAAGATCCACGAGTCTGTGGTTATGGACTTGTGTCAAGTCTTTGATCAAGAGCTTGATGCGCTGGAGATCCAAACTGTGCAAAAGGAGACTATCCATCCCAGGAAATCGTACAAGATGAACAGTTCCTGTGCTGATATTCAACTGTTCGCGCAGTACAAGTGGAATGTGTCGAGACCGTCGCTGATGGCTGATAGCAAGGATGTGATGGACAGCACGACAACGCAGAAATACTGGATTGATGTACAGCTTCGATGGGGAGATTATGATTCCCACGACATCGAGCGATATGCTAGGGCAAAGTTCTTGGATTACACCACCGACAATATGTCCATTTATCCATCTCCAACTGGTCTTTTGATTGCTATGGATTTGGCATATAACCTATACAGGTGGGTACTTCTTTATTGTTCCCTCGTTTTATCCATTCTTCGTTTTTTTTTTCAAATCTCTATCTTTTTCTCTTATGATGCTTTTTTTAGTGCCTATGGTAACTGGTTCCCTGGAATGAAACCGCTGATTCGCCAGGCTATGGCAAAGATCATCAAAGCCAACCCAGCTTTCTATGTGCTTCGAGAACGTATCCGCAAAGGTTTGCAGCTGTACAGTTCTGAACCCACTGAGCCGTATCTTACCAGTCAGAACTATGGAGAGTTGTTCTCTAACCAGATCATTTGGTAGGTATTTTTTGCGAGTACTGTTTGTAATTTTTCTCTTACATGTTTCGAACCATTTCTTTAGGTTCGTTGATGACACGAATGTGTATCGTGTTACCATTCACAAGACCTTCGAGGGTAACCTGACCACCAAGCCTATCAATGGTGCCATCTTCATATTCAACCCTAGGACAGGACAGCTGTTCTTGAAGATCATTCACACTTCTGTGTGGGCTGGACAGAAACGTCTCAGTCAGGTGGGTCTCTTGTTTGGTCCCTCTTTTTCTGTTTTTATATGCTGCTGGTTTAGTTAGCCAAATGGAAAACTGCTGAAGAAGTTGCTGCCCTTATTCGATCTCTGCCTGTTGAAGAACAGCCCAGGCAAATCATTGTAACAAGAAAGGCTATGCTTGATCCTTTGGAGGTGAATTGCTCACTGTTTCTTCCTCGAAATGTTCGCGTATGTTAATCGCTTCATTCATAGGTGCATCTTCTTGACTTCCCCAACATCGTCATTAAAGGTTCTGAGCTGATGCTTCCGTTCCAAGCTATCATGAAGGTGGGCTTAGAGATTCTCCTAAATTCTACTTACATCGAGCATCTACATTTGATCTTTGCTTCTCTCAATGAAAAGCACACAAGTTGCTCGAAGAGAATGTTGTTCATAGAACAGATCGGTGCTTTCCTTGTATAAGCACAGTTCTACTATATGAGCGAACATTGCTTCTCAATCAGTTTCAGATTTGATTCATTTACAGAAATGCGAATAATTGTACAATTGTTCAGGTCGAAAAGTTTGGAGACTTGATTCTCAAGGCAACTGAACCGCAAATGGTGCTGTTCAACCTGTACGATGATTGGTTGAAGGTTTGTTTTTTTCTTCTGTTACGACCATCCTAAATTCTGCAACTTTGTTCCTGATGAAAGTGAAGAACCCTTTTTGGTCTCAGAAGACTGTTTCAGACGATATCCAGTTATACTGCGTTCTCTCGAGTCATATTGATAATGCGAGGTATGCATATCAATCCGGATAAAACAAAGGTTGGTGTTCATGGAAGTTCCTGCTTTATTTTATCAACTAATTTTATTTTACTGGAATCTTCTTTCGGCGCTAACTCATCTATTTTTTCTTCTAGGTTATCCTGAAGCCTGACAAGACCACAGTCACAGAACCGCACCATATCTGGCCATCGTTGATAGATGAGGAATGGATCAAGGTGAGATTTCCAGCTAGTTTTCACCCTTCATGGAAACTGAATCATACTATCATTTTTCAAAAATCTCTTCTCGTGTCTACAAGTCTGGTTTTGCAGGTTGAATTGGCCCTCAAAGATATGATCTTGGCCGACTACGGCAAAAAGAATAACGTAAACGTGGCTTCACTTACCCAATCCGAAGTGAGGGACATCATCCTGGGTATGGAAATCAGTGCTCCTAGCCAGCAACGGCAACAAATTGCTGATATCGAAAAGCAGACCAAGGAGCAGAGTCAAGTGAGTTCGCTTCTACTTCAGTGACTGGAATAGTCATGTTGAAGACAAGAATGGCATTCGGTAGGTGACTGCCACTACGACTCGAACTGTAAACAAACATGGTGACGAAATCATCACTGCTACCACGTCTAACTACGAGGCAGCAACATTTGCTAGTAGGACTGAATGGAGGATCAGAGCTATTTCTGCCACCAATTTACATCTGAGGTAATCATCCCTCTTCACATCGATTTTAAAACTCATTTTCTGCTTTTTTATGCAATCCTATTCTTAGCCATGGAGCAGCAAGCAATGGGTGTATAATAAATTTTATGAATGTTTCAGAACTCAACACATCTATGTCAGCTCTGATGATGTGAAAGATACTGGTTTCACTTATATTCTGCCCAAGAACGTCCTAAAGAAATTCATTACTATCTCCGATTTGAGAACACAAGTCAGTGGCTGTTGTCTTGAGCAAAAAAGCGTTCCAGCTAATAACTACATTGCAGATTGGTGGATTCATGTACGGTATCTCTCCTGCGGATAATCCGCAAGTGAAAGAGATTAGATGTGTGGTTTTGGTCCCTCAAACAGGAAACCATCAGCAGGTTCAATTCCCAACGCATCTGCCGCAGCATGAGTTGCTAAAGGATTTGGAACCACTGGGATGGTGAGAGCTTGTTGGGCATTCCTTTCGCTATCTACTGTTCAAGCGCTTTGCTCTTTATCGAATTAAATTGAACTGTTCAGGATGCATACGCAACCAAACGAATTGCCACAGTTGTCCCCTCAAGACGTCACGGCACATGCAAAAATTCTTTCCGAGAATGCTAGCTGGGATGGAGAGAAGACGGTGATCATCACGTGCAGGTGAGCGGGGTATCTCAAAAAACTTTTTTTTCAATTGCTTTTTCGCCAACTTGAAGCGGTTATGTTATTTATATGGTGATTTAAATTACAAATAATTGTGCTATGTGTAAACAAACATTGTTGTTCAATAAGGAGAATCATACATGGACGTTTTCTAGTTTTACTCCTGGATCTGTCTCCTTGACGGCATACAAGCTGACACCGTCCGGCTATGAATGGGGTAAATCGAACACAGACCGTGGAAATAATCCAAAGGTACAGTTTGCTTCGAGATGTGTAAACAGAGATTCGAGTAGATCTTAGCCTCTTTGCACAAAGGCAGGAGTTGAATGTTTCTATGTTTCAGGGATACATGCCGACTCATTACGAAAAAGTGCAGATGTTGTTGTCTGATAGGTTCCTTGGTTACTTCATGGTCCCTAGCTCGGGAGTGTGGAACTTCAACTTCCAAGGTAAGCAGAGCATCTTTCTGTACAAATTTTGAGATGCCTCTGCACCAATAGCTTATTACTATGAGTTCAGGACAACGTTGGTCACAATCCATGAAATATGATGTGTGCTTGGCGAACCCGAAGGAGTACTACCACGAAGACCATCGACCTGTGCATTTCCATAATTTCAAGGTAATAAATCACATAATTCTCATCCCTCCTTTTTTGAAGTTTTCATGAGAGGTTTCGTTCGCAGTGTTTGTCCTTATTTTATCCATTTCTCAGGCATTCGACGATCCTTTGGGCATTGCGATGGCTGACAGAGAAGATAGTTTCTCATAAAGAGCGATACCGCTATAAAGGCTCTTATTGTACACTGTTTATAAGTATATTTGGTGACATTGTTTCCGTGCAAGTTGTTCGTTTAATATGATCCTCGCACCCTTATTCGCTATTCTGGCGCTGGATAGTGAATGTTACTGGTGTAATTCATCCGCAGAACCCTCCAGACACACAAACGTTGTTGATCATGTTGATACTCCAGTTTATACCTATTCTTTTCTTTTTCTTCTGTTGTTTTCTAAATTTATCGTGTTGAAATTCGTTCAAGTTTTCGTGTATATTAGTAAGGGTAAGGTCAAAGCAAAGTGTATTTGTCTGTTGTCTGCTATTGTGAAGTGTTTTATGACAATTAGATTGTAGGAATTGTTTTGTTGCATTGTGAAAGAGTAAAAAGTATTGTGAAAAGAGTTACAATGAAGCCTGGTTTGTTCCACAGTTCTATCGGGAGTTCCCAGAGAATCTCATTCAAGAGTTTCAAAAGAGTATACGTGCAAATGTGTGAAAGTCATAGATCAGATTCGAATTACGTAGGATGTGTGGTAAGAACTTGACAAAATCGCGATTGCTTTGTCTTAGGTTATGGTCAACGGGTGATATTAGGATGTAATTTTCATAAAATGGCGACGAATGGAACAGGAAAACCGAAGATGAAGGTGAGCTGCACACTTCTTGCCAGCAGTGGCTCTAGCATCGATCGATCTTATGAGAGAAACATACCAAATTAAATTGGCGAAAGACGAGATGCAGATCTCTAAATCATCTTTGAACGCTGATTCCAAATTCGCTTTCCTTTCTTGCTGAACAGCTTTCCGAAACGTGCTGGGAGCGTGCATATGTCCTTATCAAGTTTTGTGTGGCTTAAAGTTGGCAAAAAGTTCTGCAACAACATCTATGCGAATTTCCACTGGCTCTGTTCCTTCCTTATGGTCTATTTACTCTATACAAAATTGCACACTTACAAGTGTCTTTTACAGCTTTTCGTTGGTATTAGGTCGCTTAAAGCTGATCAAATTTGGACTTTCAAATGCCCGCAAACCTTTCGGAAAGCTGTTCAGCAAAAAAGAAAAGCAGATCTGGAATCAATGTTTGAAGACGCGCCTAGTGATATACTTCCCGTCTTCAATCACCTTCTTAAGTCGGTATCCTTCCCTTATTAGTGCAGAGACAATAGACTTTTCAATGGTCTTGCTTTATTGCGAAGCGCTCAGCAAATCTTTATGGGTGCCGGTTTTTAGGACTATCTTAGAGTCTAAACTTGACATGGTAGACCAACTGAACTCTTAATATCAGGATTTTGCTCGTTGAAAAAAAGCATTAGTCTAGCTTCTGTTTCCAAACCTATCCTCGGTCTCGTGACGTTTGTTTAAGATTGTAGTAGGAACTACGACTGATTTAACCTGTGATGCCCTTGCAGGAAATCCCAATAAATGGAAGTATTTCTTATTGTCTGGCGCTTCCAGGAAAGTTTATCTTGTTCAAAGATCGTGATTTCATCTCACAGGTGTCCTTCATCATCCGTGATGAAAATGAGCATCGACATCGAGCCGCAGTTTCGGCTCTGCAGTATGACGCTGCGACGGGACGTCTATTTTCTGCAGGAAATGACACAATAATACGAATATGGAAAGTCCCATCAGCTGGAACAAAGGTAGCATTAGTTCTTGCTTATTCTTTCACGGTCAGATTTCAAGAACGGTACACCTTTCTCCATAGGAGGCTTGGCCTTCATCGAGGAATGGAACTAGCTCTCTATCAGCTAGTCCTCCACAACATGCCACCTTCATCCAGGCCATGGAACATCATACAGACTGGATCAATGATATGATATTGTGCTGTAATGGACGGTTTCGTAAGTATAGTTGAGATGTTTTCCTCTAACTCACCTGACTTTACAGTACTTTCTGCTTCGAATGATACCACTGTAAAAGTATGGAATGCTACCAAGCACTTTTGCATGTCAACATTGCGAACTCATAAGGCATGCACAATGTCTTGTTTGACTGAACGGAAATGGAAAGCTGTTCACCATTCAGGACTATGTAAGCTGCTTGGCTTATGCAAAAGAGCATGAGCGAGCTGCTAGCGCTGGATACGACCAGTCGGTCTACCTATGGGACATTGCAACCTTGACTAAGTTGACAACGACAAATAACACAGTAACAAGTGAGTCAGTACGGTCAGAACTGTATCGCGGCTTTTTTGAGTACTCCCCAAATTCTCCATTTTTGTGTGATGAGAATTTGTGCTGATGGAGGGTTAGAGTCTTTCCATGTTCCCCGGTTAGAACTACTTAATGAAATACTTGCTAGCGTGCATTATTTGTTACTGCTTTCTTGCTATTCCAGCTTCTTCGCTCATGGGCTGTAAGAACAGCATCTACGCTTTAGCCATGAATGATGCGGGTACGGTAATAATCTCAGGAAGCACAGAAAAGGTTGGATAGCATCTTTTTCGAGTTAATCACGATAGACTGCGCTTCTTAGAGTGCCAGTTTGAAGCTTATGTTTGATTCTTGTTGATTAGTTCCATTTGAGGTACTCCGAATTTGGGATCCCAGAACTTGTCAGAAGATAATGAAGTTGAGGGGTCATACTGAAAATATTCGATCTATCGTAATCAGCCCTGACGGAACTAAAGTGAGTGCTGTAGCGCAGCATGCTGATAATAAAAGCAAAACGTATTTCTAGTGCTTGTCTGCAAGTGCTGATGCTACCGTGCGATTGTGGGATCTTGGACAGCAGCGATGTATTGCCACTTGTCTAGCACATCAAGAAGGTGTATGGACTTTACAAGTAAGTCTATCATTCAGCGCGCCAGTCGTATATCCCTAAATCGTTGCTTTGCAGACAGACCGAGCATTCTCATTTGTGTACAGTGCTGGTAGGGATAGGCGAGTTTTCCGTACACCCATATGTGATTTTGCTCAAAGCCAACTGCTATTCGAGGAAGACGCTTTTGTAAAGAGGGTAATATTCAATTGCAGTATCTGCAATGAAAAATGTCATCGATGCATTTACAGCTTCTATTGGATGATCACGATCATCCATCGACCGTGTGGTCTGCAACATGGAATTCTACCATAAAGAGGTTTATGATGTGTTACTAGTTGAATTTAGTCTCTGTTAGGCAACAGTCTATGATTAGTCAGTTTGTACGTAACTGCTATCTGACAACTGTCAAGTTCAGATGGCCTTTACCATCAAACACTTCGCTGTCGATTGGTGATGGTCAGTTAGAGGATGAATTCGGTCATCTCGGCATAGATTCACTTCGTCGTACTCCAGATGTAATAACACCAGGTGATGATCAGAAGCATTTCCGTCTATTAGCAGCCGGGATGTGCAGGAAGAGTTTTTCCGCTCTCGTAATATCCAAACGAATAGCGATCTGCTGAATTGCATAGACGCAGATTTGTGCTGTTCGTGTCCAAATCTTCAACGTGATGACCGAAGCGTGTCAAAGCTTTCTGATAAAAACTGAACATTTTTTGGTCATGACTTCTCTAACCAACACAATACTTTTATATGATAGTAGAATGACGAAATATAGTGGGCTTGACGTAGTTGTGTAGCTCCGATAATGTCTTGTTGGCTCTGTATTTTGAATCTTCCAGGAGCTACATCGATAAAACATGCTGGCATTCTTAACGACAAACGCCACGTTATCACAAAAGATTCGGATGACTGTATAGGACTATATGATGTTTTGGCTGGAAGAAAGGTAATCTCAACTCTTTCTGGGGAGTGAGTGTGGCATTGGTGTGTTTGGTGCAGTGGCAGTGCAGCAGAGTGCCGTGCGAACGGTCCGAGGTTCGAATCCCGTCTAGCGTTAATTCATCCAGTTCGCACAATTTGTGTTGTGACGAACTTCAGCGAGTAACGCGATACTATCGGTGGCCACAGCTTGAAGCTGTGTGGCAATGCTGCCAGCAGTACAAACTGGGACCTTACATTTCGTTTCTTTTTTGTCTTCTTTTGAGCGAGGGTAGATTTTCCACTACTTTTTTCTCTAAACCACCTCCTTTTCATGCTATTCGGAGTTACTATACAGAGCTAATCATTCGTTATGAATATGACCGTTTTTATTTGGATCCTTTGTTTTCAAAGCTTGAAGTTTTGCTGATTTTCACATAAAGCGACTTTTCAGGTGGCCGATTTTGGCAAGAGGCCTTTTGAGGATGTGATTTCGGAACACAACAGGAAAGTATTTGTACCGAGCTGGTTTTCAGTTGATTACAAGAGTGGGGTAGGTGTTTGATAATCGTTCTCAGCCTTTTTATTTTTCTTATAATTTTTATCTCCACATTTCTCATAGTGGCTTGACAGTTGCTTGCTGAGTCGGCTTTGTTTTCGCTCAGTTCGGTTTTATTTTGTTTTGAAACCTATGAAATGAAGTTTTTGACTATTAGTTGCGGTTCTGAAACTGTTACTTAACAATTTTAGATGCTGCAAATCACACTTGAGGAAGGAGATGTGTTTTCGGCTTGGCTCTCCGCAAAGGATGCGGGAGTGGATGATTCCGACAATAAGAGTAAGTGCATAACAGTAGAATTTCTTCTTTTTTTTTTTGAAATTAAGCGTTGCAGTAAATTATGGTGGAATGATGCTGCGCTCATTATTCGAGCATTATCAACATTGTGACATGGGAGCAGAAGGATCTGAAACGGCTCTAGCCACAGCTGGTTATATCTCCATACCTGGGCATACTCCCATTATTCTCTCGTGAGTCGCTTCATATCTTTCAGTGTAGTTTCGTATTAAAACGCAAACAATGATCTATCTTTAGTAACTGCTGTTATTCTTTCATGCATTCTAGAGAGGTCAACGGTAGAACTGTACTTCGGCTATTAGTACGAGACGCTGCTAATGAAGCGGAGTCAGCCTGTTTGGCTAAAGATCTCCCGGAATGGGTAATCTTTTCTACAGGATGATAATTACACCTATTATAGTGCTCCCTTTCAGATAACAGCGGTTGTAGAGCGAAGTATGTTGCCTAAATTTACCAAGATGCCATTTTATCTCCTCCCTCATGCTAGTCTCAATGTCAAGACGCCGAAAAAGTTAGTTTTCCTCTACAAGCATGGCCGTCTTGCGCGTATGCTACCGTAGTTGGCATTTGGAAGGACGGAAGCGGTTGTTATTGCTTTAGCAAACTTTAACATATAGCAGGATAGGCGGTAAAACAAGCGCTTGCTTTGTTCTGCTCGTCGATGGAACTCGATTTTTCCTCCCTTTTTCTTCACAAACGCTCATTCAGAGACCGTTTATCAGCCACGGAAATGCTGCAAGTACGGAAAGTGATGGAACATGTGTACGAAAAGATTCTGAACAGTCCGGAAACAGCTATGGGCGAGACACCGATGCCAGTGCAAATCCCAACCAATATAGAGCAAAAAATGGAACTGTACTGCAATGATCAGGTGAGGAGAGTAAGTATTGCTGCTGTTCTGTTCTTGATAGAAGGTTTTTAGAAACTAGATCCTGACATGGATTTGCGATCGGTCAAACATTTTGTTTGGAAGCAAGGCGGTGATCTACTTTTGTACTACAAGCCTCTAAAATAGAAGTTCTTTGCTTGTTTGTTTTTTTCACAAGTGTAAGCAGTTCTGCAGGCGGAAATTTAGGTTGTGTGGGATTCTTCTACAGCCCCTTACTGGGAGGGTATTGTTTTTTGTTAAAACAGCCTATGGATCGCAATTTTTGCCTAAATTTTCACTACCTGCGTTCTGGTGCTAAGCGAGGGCGTCCATTTCTATGGGTCATAATCTTTTGCGCCAGTACTACGTAAATTTACATATGGCTGAAGGTCTCTTCTAGTTGGCAAAATCCTCTAATCTTGAAAATCTGAGTGCAATATCGAGTGCTAGCTGATATATCCAGCTCCGCTTGGCCTTGTCAATACGACTATGACAATAACCGTCGTTCCCTGCTCTTTTCTTCTTCCCTAATCCTATACAACGTTTCTTCATGTTGGACTATAGAGCAGAGGTTTTCTGTCCCCTGTCTATTTGTGGTCAACACGCCCATGATTCCGATACCAGTTTCCCAGCCCCGTAGGTCAAAATTTGCAAAAAAATAGTACATCGAACAAAGGTAATTAAAAACTAGTATTGTATTCGTAATCAGCATGCTACTCGATCCCTTGTGCCAATCTCAGTCCCAGCCCCTTAGCAAATCTTTTGAAAAAAGACCCAATAAAATTGGTATCGATCGAAAACGAAAAGTGGCCTACATCACTCGCTTATCCCGAAGTGTGGATGGCAAAGTTCGGTCCGGACCGGTTCAGAGTTGAGTTCATCCGGAGGCTATGTACAGACAGACTGACAGAGATTCAAGCAGTTTTACATACTAGGCTTTCAAGCTGAGAATAGTTATGTTTTGTCCAAGTCTGCGTCGAAATCAGCCTACTGATGTTGTTGCCATGCTTGTTTGAGAAATTTTTAAAAGGAAACTACTTGTAAACTTCTCATAATGTTTTTTGTACTTAATCAAGTCACTTGTTGATATATGTGAGCTTGCACGCAACCATCTCCCTGCTTGTTTTCCAAGTATTTTGTTCGTAAGTAGCAAATTCTGGTCGTGATTGTCTTATGATGCAGCTTTGTATAGATGTTTATATTTGTCAGTCAATATTTTCCCGTCATCATTTACTGTTTTGAGATCAATTCCCTTGTGATAAATTATTTCGAATTCCAGTGAATGTGATTAATGTAAAGATTGCTGTAGATATCTTTCTGTAGATCACTAGGATGGGGGAGGATTGCCAGCACGAAGCTGTGGTGCGAAAAAATATTTGTTGTGGGACGGGCAGCTTTGCAGCAAAATTTTGAGATTCTCTCTTTTTAGTTTGAAAGGGATACAATTTGAGTGCAGCAGTTCAGTCTGTATGCACAGATACATTCTTTAGATATATTTGTAGTGCAGAATGCGTTCAGCGTCTTCAAACGAGTTGGAAACAGCACCACAACGAACGGAAGAACAAGGTTCGATGTGGACCAGTGACAAGTTTTTGGTAATTCACTCATTCTTATTTGGGCTTTCGTTTTGAACTTACAGTGTTAGTGTTGATGGCCTTGACATCTTCCTACATTAACGTTTTTGTATTTAGGAACTAAGAAAGGAGTTCTTGGCAGATCGTACAGAGTTTAAAGCACTTGAGATATTGAAGCGTATGGTAGCAATCGATGTGAACCAAGTCGATGAGTAAGTTTCTCTACTGATCTGAAGTTTTTTCATCCTGAGACTTTATTCAAGGAATGCATGGCTAGATTGCAAAGATGTATTAACAATGCTTTTGAACGCAATACCGGTGACCACTCTTTTGGAAACACAGCAAGTGCGTTAATTTGGAAGAAGCGAGAACTGGTCTTTCGTGGCTTGGGGACCAGTTTTCGCCGTCTCTTAAATAGAGCCATATTTGTGCTAATCTACCCTACTTCTAGATTATGCTTCTAACTGCACTAGAAACTTGTCCACCACATGTTGTAACAGCCTTAGCCTCTCACTTCATAACTAATGAACAACAAGTTGCGCCATTGTTGGATGGCGTCGCGCAGGCTGTCGCTGTGGCTTTTGCAAGAAGAATCAATCATCCTGACACATATGAGCAGGTTTGTTTTATTTTACTCTCGAAGTGTAGTTTCTCTAACGTCTGCAATAAATTTACTAAGCACATGACTTTTTTTCCATTTTACGTGCTACGTTGGAGTCCTAGCTTATATGGCTTGGTGTAAGCAAGATAATTTGAAATGAAAAAGGAATGGGTGAACACAGAAGACTTTCTACTACCTAATAATTGTCAAAAAAATATCCTTCAAATTGAGACGTACTCATTTGGCACGACAATTGCCAACATTAACGATATAACAGAATTTCACAGCTGGCACAACTACTCGCACCTGTCGCCAGCAATCCGCAATTGCTTCAAGAACTCGAGCATCAGCTGACCACTACCAAAAGTTCTGAACACCGGTTCAAGGTTTACCAGGTAATTGTATTTTCAAATACAAGAGGTCTTGATTTGATTTCTTCAAAAACTAAAGCATGTATTTGTAGGTTGTTCTGTGCGCTATCCAGCGTAAATTATACACACCAAAAATGGCCCCATTGCTGCAACGATTAGTGGATGAGCTGTCCTCGGACGACGTCTTGGTAAGATTGGCAGCAATGGATGCATTGTCAGATGCAGCCATTGCATCACCTGAGAGTGCAGCAGTTATCAACGAATCAGGAGCACCACAGAAGGTATGTGAAGAGTGCAACATATTCTGTTTCGTATGGTATGTATTGCAGATATATGACCTGCTGCAACACAGTAGAGATTCTCCAGATGGTGGATTCATTTACCCGTGTAAGTTATATTAGCGGCTTTTTGTTCTAAAATTTTGCATTTTGGTTGTCTATCATGCACTGAAGTCTTCTGCTTTTACAGCTTGTGTGAAATTTTTTGGAACATTGAGCCGGGTATATCCTGAGGTAATCAACAACTTCCCGATGTTCGTACCAGCCGTCTTCGACATGGTACTCAATTTTTATTGTATTCAGAGGTATCTCTACAGAGGTTATTTTTTAGGTCAGACATTTCGATCAAGTTGAAGCATCACAGAGGGCGCTTGCTTTTGACACATTTGCGCAGATTGCCTACAAACCCGAAGCCAAGCAAAATCTGCAGAACTTGCTAGGTTTGCAGTAGTTGTTAAAATAGTCAATCCGAATGAATTATGAATTTTCCAGGTGAGCAAGGTATCACTCGTACGATGCAAGCGTTTTCTGCCGCTGTATCAAGTGGCCCAATAGAGCTCCGTGTGCGGCATGTTGATGCTCTGGCAGTCTTATTCGAAAAAGGTGCGTAAGTGATCATCTCGCAAATATTTTCTGGAGGGGGGAGGGGGCGCAACACGGATTTTTTTTAGAGGGCGTGGCTTTGACCACTCCTTCCGACACGTTTTCGAGGACGTTTTTCAATTTTTAGTAAGCTTGTAATTTCCTTCAAAAGGGCTGTGTCTTAACTATGCCCCAAAATTTTTTTTCAAAACTGGTCTCAACTTTTATGGTGCTGGAATTTTTTTATTTACAAGGAAAAAAGTCACTTGGGTAATTTCATAGCTTAGTAGACACTCGCAGATTTCATCCATTATATCCGCTTTTACAAAAAGGTGCACCAGTGCCGGATTGACGGGAGTCCATGGCAGCACATATCTATCTGTTACATGGAAAATGCATGGTTCAGGAGAAGATCAGCTTCTGTCTCAGTGGTTCGGTTACATGGGTTCCCCAATGCCCACACTGTTGATGAGCCTTGTGCAAAAGCCATTCCCAGACCTGAGGATGGCATCATTGCGCACATTCTCCTCCCTGCTTTCACATCCATTTGGCATACAAGTCTTTTTTGGAACATCTGGGTAGGTTTTCCAGGTCATCCTTTGTTGTTTCCCTTTCTCATCGTCGTCACATTCAGTTTTCTTGATTGGTTACTAAATCCAAACACGGAACACGAATGGGAAGCCAGCCGTCTGAAGGCGGATATTATACGAGCTCTGATAGCAAGCAATTCGCCGCTAATTGATGCCCCGTTAAAACTGAGAATGCAAGCCTATTTTGTGGCCCCAAAGAAAGATCCTCAACTTGAAATGATGCTGTAGATTATTGGTGGTACATAGATAGTATCAATCCTCCTGCAAAAGTAATCTCCATAATCCGTTTGTAATATAAAATGTATTGAGAGATTAAATAAATAGGCGTTAATTTTACCTCAGTTGAATTAAGAGAACTATCGGATGAAAACTGTGTTCGGGTTATATCAATGTTAATAATAAATGTATTTAAAGTTTTTGTTAACATCTCTTGGTATACAGATCTTCTATGATACTTTTTTTTGTTGTGAGCAGCATTGAAATATAATTGATAAGAGTACCAAATTAGTCTGAGTGGGGCATTTCGGACTTAACTAAGAGCTTTTGGGCCAGTGCTTATGTTGGACGTGTCGAGTTGGAAATGTATTAGGACACTGAGAGTGCCCCAGTTCAAAAGCAGAGAAAAAAACTAAATCGAAGTTCTTGTGAGACCCTGAATCGTCTACGGGAGATTTACGGCGCGCACTTCCTGCTGACACATACCCTGTATAAAAGTGCTTATTCTGGGTCTGCATGGGAGGGGGGGGAGAAGAAGGCCACATTTTGTTTGCTGCGAAAATGGTAGAGTAAACATCTGATCGATTCATTTGATCGTTGAGACTGGGTAGTCTATGCTGCACGGGCTTTTTTGCAGCACTGCGCGGTCTCTTGTTATTTTGCACTGCGAATTTAGAGCTTTTATTGATGAACACAAGTCTTCTCCAAGAACAGTCTGGCTTCTGTAGTTCGTTTTTCCATATTTTCTAAGATCGCTCAAAGATAAGCGCGCACTCCCTACTACCATTGGTCTCGGCATATTTTTCTGGGTGGGTCCCATCAAGCATCCTTGCTCCTTATTGCTGAATAGGCTAAGGATTTTTGCTTGAAAGGCTTTACTTTTCGTAACTTGGCAGTTAGTAAGAGTGCATAAGGCCTCAAAACTGTTTGCCACTATAATCCGGTAGGTCGAGATCTGGATTTCATGGAATATTGCAGGGAGCACTTGCCTAGTAAGCTGCTGTCACCAATCCCTTGTTCAGCTTATGGCAATTCTATAACCGAAGTACAGCTACAAGACAGTTCAGCCGTTATTGTGAACCTGAAAAACGATATCCCGCTGGTTATTGTACGATCAATATCGCTCTAGCTAGCTGAGAACATTTGCACAGTTGCACTTCTGCCAATGGGAACGCCGTCAACATCCAGGGTAAACGCTGTATCGGAGGAGGTACGATCTTCATCGATTGATTAGTAGTCAAAGATGTTCTGATTGTTGAGTTAACAGCTCACACAAGATGTGGCATTATGTCTACGAAGTTTTCACGGTACGAAGAATGTGGTAACATACGAGAAGTTTTGTGAGCGTTTCAAGAAAAATTTCAATTACTCTATCAAGGTGAGGTTGCCTTCATAGGTGTTAAATCACTTTTTTATGTATGAGAATTCCAGGAACACTTGATGAAGTCCCCCTACACCTTTTCTGATGTTCTGGCAAAGGTCTCGGAAAGAACTCGAATGAACTGTGTTTACGATGAAGAAGAGAAGCTGATATTAATGATGGAAAAGGTCTGTTACATAGTTATTTATAGGCTGGCGGTAGATATAGTGTCCACGAGATGTCAACATTTGTCAACAACATCTGCGCGTTCAGAAATTGCCACGCCCGCCATACTGGCAATTTGCGCGGGCCAAATGGGCGGCGTGGCAGAAGTTCCCAAAGCTTAGCCGCTTTTTCTCGCAGGGGTACTTGGCACCTCCAAAATCCCTTGAAGGACATCACACCTACTCGGGGCCAAGGGGCGGCTCCGCCCATCATTCCTCCGTTTAGGTGCCCTCATTTTGAAATGTGTACACGCAATGTGAGACGTGCACTGTATTTTGAGGATAATAAATATAATAGAACTGAAATGGAGAAACAAAAAAAAACCTTGTAGGTTTCTGTAAGGTTTTAGAATTCGTAAATGACTGAGGCTGAATTTCAGCATTTCGAGTTATGTTTTACACATTTTTTGGATAAAATGGAGCTTTCTTGAAGAGTAAGTTTTCGCGCTTGAGTAAGTTTGTGAAGCATACCGTATTAATAGTATAAATCAAGCAGAAGTTATCTTCCTATCACAGTATACAACAGAGAAGCTAATCAATCTCACGCAACACCAAAAATTCATCTAACAAGGGACGGATATTCAGTGACCGTGACCGTTAGGAATGAGATGTATACCGTAAGATGCATCTCGAAATGCTGATTCTGAATTGTGCTGCGAAACGATCGTCTGAAGGAAGTTATGAATTTTTTTTAGTACGAAATAAGCACACTTTTGAATAGTAAAAAACACCAAATTCGCCCTAGATTACAGTTTGAAGCTATTGAAGAGAATCTTTAGAGGAATACTGTTGCGTTACACCCATCTAAATCATATTCAGCATTTGAGAAGAAAACAAAATTTTTTGTTGATGATTCTGATTCTCCGCAGTGAAACAGTTTATTCAGGAAAAAATAATTATAACTCCATCCAGATTATCGTTTCGCAGATATGGAAGACAGCATTCGAACCAGCATTAGAAGGCGCATTCTTTGATAATAAGTCATTAAGATTGGCCATGGTTACCAAGTATCCTTTCCTTGTAAGAATATAGCGAATCTTGCAAATGCAGTGTTGTACTTGGAACTCTCGGCCAGCTCTTCGATTATGCGATGAAGGTTGGTGTTTTAGTACATCGATTGCAGGAAAAAACACACTTGGAAATTTCTTATTGAATTTGGATCTTATTGATAATCAGAGTAATTGGAATGAACAACTCTGTCGAAATGATGGCAGACGAAAGTGGAAAAGTACATGTATGTATTTGGATATCCTGGCTGTTGGAGAAAGCGTTCAGTTGCTTATTCGAAAAATTTGATATCCTCCTTTCAGAAAAGGTCCTTCTAATGTAAAAGGCTTGGGTTCTCAAACTCCTGATGCTATTACTTCAATCAGATGATCAATTAATGTACAATTAATCAACTAGTCACCAATGTTTCGAATGACCGGGTTTTCTACTCAAAAATTCTGTGCAATTTTCTTCTCTGAAAATGATGTTCAAATACTCTTTTTTAAAGGATGGCGTAGCAGAAGTTTCCAAGCCGCTTCACTTGATGAATGATAACTATCTTCTTCGTTTTTTCTTCATTTCTCTCTCATTATCTCAATACCTGGATCTATGTTCTCGCTGCTTACACACTTCACAATGAGTCCAGTAAATGGGTGGAGCAATAGGCGGGGCCTGACCTCTGAGGCACGGAGGTGCTAGAACCCTCCTGGGTGCGAATGCTGGTGCGAAGTTGGTGCGAGGAAAGGTGCTAGGAACTCCTGCACGCCCTCCGGCCAAATGGCTGAGGAGATATCTATGTAAAACTCTTATTTGTTCACGCGGAGATGTTATTAGCAAATATTTACTCCGCAGGCACACCATATAGGTCATTTATAAAATCGTGACGACGGATTTGGTTGCGGTCTTTGCGCCCAAAGTTATACAGAAAAGCGTGATCTCAACGCTCAGCTCAATTATTTACAGTGTCCAAATACTATCATACATAAGAAGAAAAACCCTTCAAGTAGAGATGAAACCAAGAAAATGCGGTTGCTGAAAGTGCGTGCGTGTCGCGCGCACTTTCAGCAACCGCATTTTCTTGGTTTCCGGTCGCACCATCGTCACGATTTTTCGAATGCCCTATACATACTATCTTGAATCTGTTAGACTATAGATGGTCGTATAATAAAAAACCTGATTTTAGTCCTCGGGAACTCCAGAACCTAGTGTGCCGCCATCTAAACTTGTATCGGCTTACCCTGCAATGGATTCAGAAGTATTCTTCTATCCTGTTCGACCCGTATATCCTTATCCACTTTTCGCAGCCCCGCAACCGAGAATGTTTCCTCGTAAAAGTGAGTGATTCAACTTTTTTTTATGACACTACTATCTGCCCTTTTAGCTCCTATGCCTATGCCTATACGTGTGCTTCCCCCTCCCGCCGGTCCTAGGCGACCCTTGAATCAGGTTTGGACGTTCTTTCAGTAAAGCTTTTGAAATAGATGGGTCAAAAAGTCTTGGTACCGTCGAATCGTCGACCGCACGGACTGAGCATAGATTGCCAAGCCGCGCGGCCGTAAAGTCGACTGCACCAGCCGCATCGCTTTGCGCTGAACTCACGCGAGCCTGTCTGAAGCGCGACTGCCGACTATGGCATACGCTGTGGCTAATCTACTTCATCCACTTGATCTTGATCTACTTCGGATGAAACACGCAGTCAGTAATTTGTTATTTGGCGTTGCGAATAGCGGACTTGCGCAGTTAGATAATTTTTTTTACTTAAGCGACGCCAAATGGCGAAGTAGTGACGATGGGTTTTACACGAATTGATCAAGCGAATTAAATGGTTGAACTATGGCGTGTGCGTATTGGCGGTGTGATGACTCCTACGCGCAACTGCTAAGCGTATCCTGTAAGCCATATCGGCAGACTCGCGTCTGATTCTTTCGCGGGATTCAGCCTACGGTGGGCCATATCGCTCATCACTTTAGCAGTACGAATCGCTGTTGTGCAACTCGGGCTCTCGTGACATTTTCGCACCCTGAGTGCTATGCAGTTTACGGCAAGTTCTATCCTGCCAGAACACATCAACACATCTGCTTATCACTGTCGAACAATAAAGTGACTTCAAACTTCTGTCCTTGGGTGTGCCAGGGAAAGAGTGAGGTGTAGTAACAAGCATATGTCTTTTGAAACTACTGGCATGGCGGCTGGAAGGCGGGGCTTTGTGGCCTAATTAAGGCTGCTCGCGCCCGCTTCGCAGTCTGCGTCTCTCCCGCGCGCTGCTCTCTGAGCATTACCTAGCCTTAATTAGGTCAGGAGTCCCGTCTTCCAGACCTTAAAGGCACCATCCACCCAGATTTTCGACTTCCGCCCTTGTCGTTTCAGGGCCTTTTCATGTCCCTGATTATGAATATGAAGTCGAGAATGCTCGAAAACTTCGACAATCGGCCTGGGAAACTACAGGAAGGCTTTTCCCGGTGATTGGATGGGCGCGCACGGATGGGCGGGCTGGATGGGGAGGACGGTTGGTCCTCTTGCATCTTCGTTATTCCGGAGCGATTTTCTCGCTTCCGAGGCTACCTACATGCGCCGCGACTTGGACGGTGGCTTGATAGGGGGTCCTACTATTATATACTGCCAAAAGCTCAAGACCCTCAACATGGGGTGGACGATGCCTCTAAGGGAGAAGGGGGATGGTTGCTCATAATTCGGTTCGCATCCGAATCTGAAACGCCTGCACTTTGTAGGAAAAGATGCTTATGCGTGTGTTTCGCAGAAGGTAGGATTACCCTCAGCATTTATGGCATTGACTGTTTTTCGCATTCGCTGACCGTCATTGCCAAGCGCGCGAAAACTTTTGTCTAGCTGCTCAACAAGTCCACAGTGCAGGTGCATCTTCGTGGCGTAAGACCTTGGGCATAGTTCAAGCGATTGCCGCCTCGCGGTTCTCCCGAAAGGGCAACTGTTAGGCCCCGGACAGACTTCACGCGACTTAATTGTCGCGATCTAATCGCCAAGATTTCCATTCATTTTCATTTCACATTCAAAAATTTCGAGCTGGAAAAGTATCACAACCGAATGCAAGTTGATCGGCATGGAATGATGTTGTAACAGTTGTCCTGTTGCGATTTAGTCGCGACGATCAAATCGCGTGAAGTCTGCCCGGGGCCTTAAACATCATTCCATGCCGATAAACTTGCATTTCGGTTGTGATGCTTTTCCAGCCCGAAATTTTTGAATGTGAAACGAAAATGAATGGAAATGTCGGCGATTGAGTCGCGACGATCAAATCGCGTGAAGTCTGTCCGGGGCCTTAGGCCTCGGGCGGAGTTCACGCGATCTGATTCTTGCGATTGATCGCGACAAGACAACTATAACAATATCATTGCATGTCGATCTTCTCGCATTTCGGTCGTGATATATAGCTTTCCAACACGGCTAATCGTGACTGTCGCAACCGAAATGCAGAAGATCGACATGCAATGAACTCGTAGCACTTGTCTTGAACGATGAATCGCGACGATCAAATCGCGTGAACTCTGCCTGAGGCATTACAGTCCATTGCATCTTGATTATCTTGCATTGCGGCTGTGATAGTTAATCATGATTAGTCGTATTGAGAAATTATCGCAACTGAAACGCAGGACGATCGGCATGCAGTGGACCAATATCAGTTGTCTTGTTGGGAGAATCTCAAGGCGATAAAATCGCGTAAACTATGTGCGAGGGCTAAGAGTCTATATATCGTCTGTACACAAGAGAGATTCCCGTAGGTTCCATTAACATGGCTACCTTCCGATCGTTTTAACTTTGAAAAAGCACCTCAAATTTGCTGGAGTTGACGTGTCAGAACGATCGAAAGCAGCCATGTTCATGCTGCCTATGGAAATCTGGTACATAATCCATATGTTGAGCTGCTAGTGCTTTTTTGATCAATACTGTGTTATTGATTACTGATAAATTACTGACTATTTTACAAAGCAGTAATATTGAGAGTTAATTGATTCTAGATGAGGGCGGCTGCTCCATCTACAAGTCTATCAGTACAGTACACTATTAGTAGCCACTTTAGTACAATCGACGATATTCGTGATTACGGATACGTAAGGATGTTATATTTGAATTTGTTAATCTTTTTATCAAGGCTACCGGTTTCTGATATGTTTATCTTTTCAGATGGGTTATCCAGACTATTTCTTAGATGGTGGCGCAGCTGCATATGGCTACGCTTTTGGAGATGGAATGATGGATCCACAGGGCTTGACGCTGAACTTGGAAGAGACAGCAGATGCCCAGTCTTCTTCAAAATCATTGGGAAAGGTAAAATACTCAAGGGAAGGGCATACATCAGGCGATTTCCGCCTGGCGATTCTCCCAACAAGACAACTGCTACGAATTTATTGCATGCCGATCCTACTGCATCTCGGTTGTGATAGTTAGTCTTTACTAGTCGTGTTGGAAAACTATCACAGCCGAAATGTAAGATGATCAGCATGCAAGGAACTAATAACAATTGTCTTGTTGAATAATCTTGAGGCGATGAAATCGGATCTAGGCCCAGCCCTAAGGCCTCGGGCAGAGTTCACGCGATTTGATCGTCGCGATTCAATCGCTACAAGACAAGTGTTACGAACTCATTGCATGCCGATCTTCTTGTATTTCGGTTGTGATAGTTAGTCACGATTAGTCGTGTTGAAAAACTACCATAACCGAAATGCAGGGAGATTGGCATCCAATGATTTTGTTACATTTGTCTTGCCGCGATCAATCGTGACGATCAAATCGCATAAACTCTGCCCGAGGCTTTACATGTCGAGTCTTTTGTAACAATGTATTACACACCTTTTATCACTTGACCACTTGTGAGACAGGATCCTGCTGTGTGGAGGGCTATATGTCGCCGAATCTAGGAACGTCATGCGCGGAATTTTTGCAAAAACGCACTTTCATGCATGTGGAAGGGTACGTATCTGTTGCAGATGACTCGGAGGCCGCTTCATTTCGACGACATATAGTCCTCTACCTCCTGCTTATACTTTCTCACCGTTTACTTGTATCTTTGATTTGGTTATGCTCAGTAAAAGTACGAATTTCCACAGTTAGTTTCCCTTAGAAAAGGTTTTGCTGAGGAATTACTAGTAAGAATGCGTAAGGATGTCGTCGGTTGCCGCTATAGTGTGCAGCCTCACATAATGAGTTGCAAATAACGTGAGGAACACTCGGAGATTACAGTATGCATTCGATGGGCTGCACGTCAGGAGGTACGCCGCGCGCGGCGGCCGCTCTTCCGCGCACGCTGCGCTCAAACCTTGGGGCCTCCAAGACTCTTCGCCAATAGAGATTCCGGCGGAAAAAACAGGGGGTGAGGGTGGGGGCAGATACATCACTTAATGCTATAACTAAGACTGCGCCAGAAGCGGTGCTGTTGTAAGGGCCGAAGTACGTTGCGGCGTCGCTTCGCGAAAAGTTCGCGCCGACCGTACCTCCTGACCGTCCCCCCATTCATTCGATGGAGTGACACAGTCAGACATAGCAGGGAAAAAGCTTTGTTTCAAAAGTACAAATCACCAACAAGCATACAGTGTATAGATGTATTCGCAGCGGTGACGTAATCACACTGCAAAGAGGAAACGTGAGCTGTGAATCAGGCAATCGGAACTGGCCTTTGCAGTTTGTGTTGTATGCGTGTCTGCCACAGCATATAACAAATCTCCAGCGCTCGTAGTCACGAAAAGTTTACCGTCACAGCTTACCTTATTCTCGGTGTCATGCCTTCGAGCGCCTCCTAAGGGTTGTTTCATACTGCCGCGCTGACCACAATCGACCGCGCTTACCGCAGCTGATTGCAGCGGACCGCATTGACCGCAGGTGACTGCAAAGGCCGCAGTATGTTCACGTAAAAATAAACAAGGACCTCGATTATCGAAACACCTCGAATGACGCCTAGGAAAATCATTATCTCTAATTTCACTTTAGTCATATTTTTCTTTTTTTTTTAGTGAAATGCTACGGCCGCTGCGGTTAGTGCTCCAGTGTGAAGCAACCCTTAGCTCAAATTGCTTAGGCTTCGGGCAGAGTTTATGCGATTTGATCGTCGCGATTTAATCACTACAAGACAAGTACTACGAGTTCATTGCAAGCCGATATTCTTGCATTACGGTTATGATAGTTAGTCACGATTAGTCGTGCTGGAAAACTATCGCAACCGAAATGCAAGAAGATCGGCATGCAATGATATTGTTACTTGTATTGTCGCGATCAATCGCGACGATCAAATCGCGTGAACTCTGCGCGAGGCCTTAGTGTACTGGTCTTTGCGGTGTTCAAATCGGCCCAGTGGCTGCCCTCTCATTATCTCTTTGAATCATTCGAGCCTTTAGAATACTGTTGTGGCTTGGAACGGCTTGAGTGATTCCTTTACTATCCGAGAGGACAAACTGAGAAGTACCATACAGTCACAGCTATATATACCAAATGTGTTTACATCAACAAAGTCATTATCACTAACATATCATTCCTCAACACCTCCCTCCTAGAACAAAACTATTTTATGTCTTCTTCTTCATTAGGTGTCTACCATGATGTTTTCTTGAATGATGATGTCTCGGAGTCTGGTGATATAGTTGGGTTGCGATCTGATTGCGGGATATGCAACACGATGTTGGTTTCTTCGGCTTCTCAATCTTGACCGATGTTTTCGTGGGCTGTGTTGGTGCTTCACGTCGTTTCTGCGCATTTGGTTGGCGTGTCTTCTCCAGCGAAGGTTGTCTTCAGTCTCGACTTCGTACAATACTCTTCCCAAGCGACTCTTCACTACAGCCGGGATCCATGATCATGTTTCGAGCAGTAGTCTCTGACCCATACGTGATCATTCGTATCATACGATCTAAACCTTGCTCCATGATGGCGATTGAACTGTTCCTCCATCTTGGTATCATGTTTCCCTACTTTCTTTGCTGATTCATCCAATAACGAAAGCCTTGTCCGGATTTGTCGGCCTAAGAACAATTCAGCAGGAGATAATTTTCCAGGTGTTGAAGTGTTTGGCGTCCTTCGATAGCTCTGCAGAAGTTCAGCTAATTTATCTAACATCTCCCCCTCCTTTGTTTTCTGCAATGTTCTTTTTAAGACGTCCACGAAACGTTCTGCTTGACCGTTTGATTGCGGGTAGAATGGCGGCGAACGGATATGTTCGATTCCACAGTTTCTGCAGAAATCTTGCAATTCTTTGGCTGTAAACTGACTTCCATTATTTGAAACGAGTACTTGAAGATTGCCAAACTGTGCAAATAATAATTTCAATTTTCGTAAAGCGGCTTTGACTGAAGTGGATGAAATCTCATAAACTTCTAGCCATTTTGAACGTGCAACTATTATAAGATACGATCTTCCGCAGAAAGGTCCCGCAAAGTCGATATGTACCCTGTTCCATGGCTTCTCTTCCAAATTCCATGAACTCAGCTCTGTCTTCACAGGCATTTTCGCTGCTTCTTGACAGTTGCGACAACGGCGGACGGTTTCTTCGATGTCTTGATTGATGCCTTTCCAGTACACGTATCCTCTGGCAAGCATCTTCGTTCGTGTCATTCCGGGATGTCCTTCGTGTAACTGCTGACCAAAGACAGTAGTAGAAGAGCAGTCTGGTCAGCAGTCTAGAGCAGTATTTTCTTCTAGGCTCGGCCATACCAATGTTATATCAGCGCCAGTGTCAAGTTGGAACCGTATGGGACATCCTTGAATAGTGACATCAAGATAGGTACGCGCGTTTTCGGCCCTAAACGCGACGACCTTCTTCCACCTTCTGATAACCATGAGTTTGAGTCACTGCTTCCTTTCGCTTCTTACGTTTAGCAAAGAGGAGGCGAGGGCATTCGCTTCTTTTGTGCGGTCCTGCACAGTGGAAGCACTTTATCTCCTTCTTCAACACATCATGAATATCTCGAGCTCCTTCCATGTCTGTGCTGTCCATCTTCAATGCGGTGTAGTTTCCGCATTCATTGACAAGATCTTCTATTGTCAATGGTGTGTCCTCCGTGTGGATGTCCAGCCTGCGGATCATTCTCAGACGGACTTCCCTAAGCGAGGGGTCCTGAAGACCTGCTACGAACTGTAGCGTCTTCATTGCTGTATAATCCACCTCTTTGAGTCTGGCATCTTCGTCCATTCTCTTGATTGTGTTTGGTTCTCCCTAAAGGGTATGTTGGTTGACGTCAGTGCTGGACATGTGATCCGGAGACACTCATATCGTCGGCGTATAAGTGTCTTCAGATGCGAATAGCTTTCACAAATTCGCAACTGTTTCTTCCAGATCAATCTCGCATGGTTTCAACGGAAGGACGTCATCGGCGTGTTTCCGATAGGATTCCTCATCGAGTTTCATGAGGATCAGGTTCCGCTTTTTTATTGTCTGGTAAAACAGCATCTTTTATAATTGGACCATACCTGTCGTACCAGTATGCGAATGTGTTTCCATTGTCTTCGTCGAAGATAAACTTCTGGACTTCTTTGCTGAGTTGATCGTATTGATCCTTCCCAGCATCTTGGACGACAGCATTCTGGCCTCTCGCAAGGCTGATGAACAGTGTCATCATCTCTTCGTGCTGGAGACGCAACTGTTCTGCCATCATTTCCATGATCTTCTCCAGCTGCGAGTTTTGGCCATGCTTTTCTTCTGTCACTCTCGGATTAGTTGGTTCCCTGGTAAGAGTTTCTCACTCTTTGTGGACCAATTATAGCTTCTACTGGAAGCGATAACTTATCTTAAGAATCTCTATTGCCGTATCTGCGGCTCTTCCTTGTCCTTGATCCTTACAGTTTTTGACAGAGTCTTCCTGTGGCGTAGAGTTCCTCCTTGTCCTTGACCTTTGGAAGGATTCTTCTTGTGCTTGAACAGTGGAGACCTTCCTCTTCTTGACGATGAGCGGTCTTCTTGTGCTGGATCCTGATCGCCACTGTTGTGGCTTGAGAACGTTGAGTGATTCCTTTACTATCCGAGAGCTGAACTGAGAAGTACTATACAGTCACAGTTATATATACCAAATGTGTTTACATCAACAAACATTAACAAATACGCTTGGTACAAAGATATAGTACGTTTGTGAAGTTCATACAAGCAAGCAGGCGGCTTTTATTAGCAATGTTTTGTTATTTGCGTAATGAACTATAGTGTGTGTCCCGTCCAGTTTCCCATAGGTACCCCGCGACGCGTCCACAGCGCATGCTTTCAGTGCGCTTTTCCTTCCAGATTATGCTTTTCTCTACTTTTCTTACTGACACTGCTTTGTTCTGTAATCTTTCCCTTTTAGGAGTAAACGACCCGCGACAACTGCCGGTGATTAGTTTGTGCGAGCGTCAAAACTCTTGAGAGCTTTAGTCTCAAGAAGTTCTCGTTTCTTTCTTCGGTGATGAAGTTTGAGTATATTCTTGGGAGATGTCTCTTCAAAGGTCTATCACAGAATAAGCGTGTCTATCCGAATGATTTTCTTTTGTATAAATGGTTTTAGGCCCTTTTCGAAGCGCCCGCGAGCTTACGCGTCTCTTCAGATTGCTCGGATCTGCCAAGCCACTCCTTTAACATAAGGTGAAGGTCAGGAATAGTGTGGCTCTGGCCGCTTCCCATAGGGTTGTTTCATACTGCCGCACTGACTGCAGCAGTCTGCAGCTGACTGCACTGACCGCAGCAGATTACAGCAGACTGCAGCAGACTGCAGCTGACCGCACTGACCGCAGCGGCCGCACAATCGCTGCATCATTTCGTAAAAGCGAAAACAGTTGCGAATACATCAAAACACCGTGATTTACTCCTAGAAAGTTCATAGGTTCTAACTTAATCTTTTCAATCAAATTTTGGCGACTGTTTTTCCTTAATATGCTCATATTTGTTCTGATTTCTTTTGTCATTGCATATGCCTATTTTACTCCCGCTCGTGTTGTCTATTGGTGCATATATTGTTAAGAGACTGTTTGAGCTACATCTGTTTATCCTCTCCACCTTTGCGAAAGGATGCAGCGATCTGTGCGGTCCCGCGTTCAGTGCGGTCAGCTGCAGTCTGCTGCAGTCTGCTGCAGTCAGTGCGGCAGTCTGAAACAACCCATAGATACCTCCGCGGCGCCTACGCTAGACGCGCTCGGCTTACGCTTCTCGCTTCACTTATGAACGAAGGAGCTTTCTTGTATGAAAGAGCTTTTATCTTTCAAATATGCAAATGGAGCGGTCGGTCACTTAGCATCACTACTGCCGAGAAACTGCGTGCCGCAGTGTTATATACGTAAGGGTTCCGCAACGACTGTGCGTCTCTAATCTTCGGAACTGTTCTACTCGGGGTGGAGATTTCTTAGATGAGAAGTTTTGGCGGGTGTCAAAACAAAGTAGCTTAGGCAGGCCCAGACGTCTGAAAAGAAGCAGAAGATCCTTTTGTTAAGGACCAGCATTCCTACTGTAACCGAAAATTCATGGGGTAACAGATTTTGTTAATTAACTTGGGTACATATCGTCCCTTCCACGGTTGCCCCTACCCTTGGTCTGCGTCTCAGACCTGCCACGTGTGGCTAACATTTTGGCAACGTCGGCAGCAACATGTTTGCAACATGCAGCAACATGTTGGCGTTGAGGCTAATAGCCAAAATGTTCCAACATGTTGTTGCATGTTGCAAACATGTCGTTGCGACGTTGTCAACATATCAGCCACACAGGTCTGATGATGTTGGCAGGTCTGAGACGCAGACCAGGGGTAGCAGAAACTGTGGTAGGGACCACACATGTATTGTCGAGTCGTGGATCGCACGGACTGGCCGTATCTTGCGGAGCACATGTGACGCGGCCGAAACTCGCTAAATTTGTACTGGTGCAAGCAGGCCGTGCGGCACGTTCATCGCATTAGGCCAGACTGTGCGATTAGCAACTCGATGATAAGTCTTGTATCCATTTCACATGTGTAGTTAAGAACTTAATTTGCAATGTTCTTGCCGCACTTTGTTTACGTTTGGATTCTTATCTTTCAGATGGAACCACCCTACCCGGACGACAAAACTCCTATTGATAAAGGCCTTCTATCACCTATCAGTAATACTTCTCGAAGGTCTGCTGATGAACGAAGTCTTAGGCTGTCCTTGGATTACGTGAGTAAACATAATATCTTACATTGAATAGAAAGAACGCTGTAAGAAAAAAACTTTCTAATCACAAGATCAAGCTTTAGACAATGTGTTTGCAGAAGGATTTGTTGAGCACGTTGGCAGCTTCGTCAACTCCATATTCGTGAATGACTTTTGCAAAACAAAGTTGCTTGACTGCGCATGTCGCGCTCCCTCGCATGTTTCTTTAGCACTGGAGCGCATAATCCAAATATTGCTCATCAAAGCGGCCTCAAGGGATTGCTCATTTCGATAACACCTTGAGCCTACTAAGCTTTGCGCCAGGAAATTGCAAGCTGCACAGACACGTTAGATACCTTATAATCGCGAGTTAAGATGCAAATCTTCGTCATATGAGAGAGCTTAGCCACACCGCTGTGTCTCGTAAAATTCCTTGGCATGTTCACGTTGGTCGAGTTTAGAAAATAAGTCATTATGTCGTACTCGTGATTGAAATTAGGTTGTATTGGAAGGAAAAAGGGAAAAGGAGTTCAATTTGCGACGCAACTGCATACTGTCGAGTCGCCGAGCGCTTGACCGACACTGCTGAGCACGCGTCGCGCGGCAAAACGCTTCGAGGTACGGATGCAAGAGGGCGATCAGTAACGATGCGTTTCATTCGCGTGTTTCGCAATGGCGGCCAGTTTTTGCGGTCGACGACTCGACAATAGCTTTGCGGAAACCAAAAAAACAAGTTGGTAATTAAAACGGAACTTGGTTGATAATCTTTATACTGTGACTTCATTTTTCTACGTCCTTTTTGACAGCGTTATTTTATTACTTGATTCTTTTTTTACATTTCTGGCATATTTTTATTGACACAGGGAATTTCAGACAGGCGCTAGCGACGAATCGTATTACTGGGACGCTCTAGAAGAACTTTCACAAATGAAATCACCTATGTCACCAAGAGAGCGAGCATTATGGGAGCGATGTTCTCTACACTCCGCTCATAGCGCTGACGATCTGGAACCAGTTATGCGCCGGTCGTCGGATTCATTTGATGCATTAGCTTCTTTGAATCTAACAAAATGTGCAAGCTGTAGCGATCTGCCGAGCATATCAGAAACAGCAAGAAAACGAAGAGAAAGCGTTCCGGAATTGCCAGCTCTGCGGAGAATGGAGTTCTTCATGAGGAAAACGGGCAATCAGGCTGGAAGCCGAACGATGAGGTCCCGCATATTTGACTCCATGCGGCAGGGTAAAGATCTTGCCATCAAAGAGTCACTCAGAAGAAGCAGTCGTCAGTTAGACTATGCTGTCTCATGCTTACCTAATGGTGAGTTCTTCTGTTTTACGGATATATCCTTTTTTCATATGTTCTGGCAGAATATTTTGAAATCATCAATTTATTGGCTCTTTTTTGCATACAGTTTAGCGATTTTCCGCTAGATATAGTACGTTTGATTGCCGAATTTGGGCGACCACATTTTTGCGTCATCATGTAGGCACCCCAGTAATGTCGGCATTTTGCGCGCGCAAGTGGCCGGCATTACAGGTATAGCTGATTGTTCACGCGCAAGCTTGACCGCCCAATCTCGGCCCGCAAGCACACTATATTGAGCGGATCTTCTAGACTGTATTGCGCTACAACTGCCATCCTTATCTTGCGAGTTTGAACCTTAACAAAAGTTTGTAAATGTTTTCCAGATTACGCCCAACAATTGAATGAAGCTAAACAGTCAAGGTTTGCTGCAGTAACCGTCGAACATCTTCACCGATAATTTTGTGATTTAGGATCGATGCAAAGAAGGAATGTTTGCGATTGTGGGGCAAAAAAGTGAAAAATTTGCCTGAACTGTTGTGTTTTCTCAAGCTTTTCCATAGTGTCAAGGGACCAATGCTCATCAATGACTGCGAATATCACATCGAGGTGAGGCCATTTTGATTCTGAATATTTGGGAAACAATATCCAGTTTTGTTGATGGTGTAGTGAAAATAGATTCAAGATCATTGTATTATAGACAGTTGTGAGTGCATCAAGTACACCCGGTAACTTGTCGTGGGCCAAGTATGGACGGACAATGTCTGTAACACGAATGTTCGAGCTCAACATGTTTCGACTTGTCGACCCCAGAGATAGACGAAAGGTGCTCTTTCTTTGCTAGATTGTTGGTACCATAGTTGTTGTCAAAGTAAAAGTGTTTTGTACAGGTACAGCCGGTCGACTGCATACTAAAAGCACGTTATAGAATGCTTCGTCAAGGCTTACAGAGCGAGTTATACAACTTTTTGAATGAGGCCAAATTTGCAGCGATAGATGAAATCATTCAGCAAGATGTAAGTTTTAATCTTATTTCATTAACACGTTGATGACGAGCCAATTTTTGATGTCTCTTCGTGTGGACAAGACGTTTCGGTGCATTTTTGCACTCCTGGCTACATGTGTATAAGCATGTGTCTATGCACGAAGCATAAATATGTAAGTGGGTGGGGCAGCTCCGCCCCCCCCCCTGAGCCCCGCCCACTCAGTAAAAAATGCTGGATTTTGCTTGATTTCTAAAAATTCATACGGTAACGCCGATATGAAAAGGTGGGCGGGGCTTGCCATCGAGGGGTTGGAGTGTGCAAAATGGGAGGGGAGATTCCGCAGTCATCTTTGACCTCTTCTATCCACTTTAATCACGAAAAAAGAAGGCAACGGAGCGGGCGGAGTTTGCCAAAAGAGGGGCGGGGCCATAAAGAAAACTCTTGATCCTCAATGAATTATATGGTCACAAATAAGAGCGTCGAGCATTGGAATTGAAATTTAGGGTGTCGCGCACTATTGCGCGGCTCTGTCGTCAACGTGTTAGGTATTCAGGGAACTATTATGATCATTACAGAAATTACCCTTCATTTATGATGATGAAGACTTGCGTCGAGAAGAGCTGCTGACCATTATCAACAGCACTTCAGATGTCTTCCAATTAGAAGAGGAATTCGTACGACTTGCGAATGATGAGACTTTTTTCGTAGTTACGGGTATCTCAGTTTAAGTCTTTGATTTTATAACATGTCTAGCATTTTGCCTTTTTTGATTATGATTTCGCAGTATTTTGAGTCTCTTATTCTCGGTATCGGTTTTTCTTGCCATTTATGCTTTAGTTTGCTTTACAAGTTGTGGTTTTAACGAGGATATCTCATCAAATCAGCTAGATCTGCGGTTGAATATCTTATAGTCATTTTCCAGTGCCTTATCTTCCATTCTGCCGTAATTGTTGACAGTTTGAATGAATATTTGGAATGATTTCGTCCTTTGTCCATGTTACATCTATGTCAGTAATGACTAAGAGCCAATGTGGTGTCATACTTCTTTGGAGCTGGGTTATGAAACGCATTTCTACTCCAGCAGTGGTGGTGGTAGCGAATAATTATGTGCCACTCTATTCTGATGCAGATAAACTCCGTCTTATGATAATACGAGTAAGAGCGGAGTGTAGCTCTAGACTTGGTCTACATTACTGGTCAGATATTCTCCTTCAGTCTCCATTATGTACATCAGCACACGATGAGATGAGATAGAAAAAGACTATTTGGACAGTTTGAGATGAAAAGAGTTTCGAAGTAACACTGCGCAGACATGAACAGAACACCTCAACTACTTATTTTTCACAGCCCCTGTTATGGTCGGCAGTTCAAAATGGTAATCATACTAAAGTGTATCTTAGGTACAAAATCTTATATGTGAGGATTCGTAACGCCAACTCAATAAACATGAGACAGCGAAAAACCGCGGTGCGGTCCCGAAGGGCGCAGATGCAAAATGTAGCATTTTTCATTACTGGATCACTAGTATATATCTGCTTGAATATAAGTCAGTACACGCACAAAACAACACGTGATATACAGTCGAGTAGATTTAGCGGTAAATATAGTGTGCTTGCACAGAAGGTGAAATGCGGTGAAATTTGCGCGTGAACAAGTAGCCACGCCAGTACTGCGGGTATTCTGCGCGCGCAATTGGCCGGCGTCACAGTCAAAGCTATTTCTTCACGCGCCAATTTTACCGCATTTCATCTTCTGTGCAAGCACACTATATTTACCGCTAAATCTACTCGACTGTAAAGAACGCAGGGCTTGCCTCAAAATTCTCCGACTGGGAAAAACGAATGAATTGAAGAGAATGTTGGGAACAATTTTATAAGGTAACTGCCGCCTAGGCAAGGCTGTGCCGTCTCGTTTATCGCGAAGGAAGGTTGTGCCAACTTTGTCGGCACCTTCCTTGCAACCATATCATTACTTCTGCCTGAGCACCGTAAAGGTCATGCCATAAGCATGACCTGCTGTGATGTAAGTATGCTATTGCCCAGATGTTTGTGATGTTACTTTGACACGCCTATCATATTCAGCATTCTACCACAGCACCCACGAGTGCAGGTCGCCTGTTCATAAAGCTTATTAGCTAATGTGTTCTATATAACACACTCTACCAGGCGCTATTCGCCTCAGGCTACAGTAAAGCCAAGGAACCACCGTTACATTTGGTGCATCGGCCGGGAACAAGCTGTTAGCGGGTGGAAGACTCTTCGAGGGATGTTGGCCTCGGACTGATACAATAACTGTGTAGGAAGAGTAAAATTGGTGGTTCAGATTTATTTGGGCAAGTACAAGGTTGTGCGAGCGAACCGTTCACGGTAAGCTCGTAAGGAGAGTGGGGTCAAAGCCTCCGAGATACGAAAGGGTGGTAAGGCCCGCCCACTCAGCGGGTGGTCCCTCGATACGGTAATTGGGGGGAATCATCGTACGATGATAGTCCGCTCACATTTCGCGGATCTCAACACAGTCAAAGAGGTGCGCATCGCTCATGGACGCCCATTACGATATCCTGACAAAAACTGCATTTTTAAAACTTGCTCAATTGCATTGCGTATGTTTATGTGTTCCTCATTCCGCTGTCTCTCATTCATTCCTCGCTGGCCGGAGTGTGCCAACTTTGTCGGCACCTTCCTTGCAACCATATCATTACTTCTGCCTGAGCACCGTAAAGGTCATGCCATAAGCATGACCTGCTGTGATGTAAGTATGCTATTGCCCAGATGTTTGTGATGTTACTTTGACACGCCTATCATATTCAGCATTCTACCACAGCACCCACGAGTGCAGGTCGCCTGTTCATAAAGCTTATTAGCTAATGTGTTCTATATAACACACTCTACCAGGCGCTATTCGCCTCAGGCTACAGTAAAGCCAAGGAACCACCGTTACAAAGGTTAAAGGCAGTGTCCCACCAGACTGGGGGTATCTGGCCGTCGTAATGATGTAATAGTAGACCCCCTACGAAAGCGATGACTGAAGTTCGGAGCGAAAAAGGGGGTCTTCAAAGCCTGAAATTTGCTCCGAAAGTAGGCCGAATCTTACGGTAGGATGGGCCGAGTGCGAGGTGCATGCAAGGTAGAGACGCAGAGTGGTTGCGGGTCCCTGCGCCCATGATGTGTGCGCTATACGCACTCTGGCCCTGCAAATTGATATTGCCGTGTGGGCGGCGTTCGGCCTTACCGTAAGATTCGGCCCACTTTCGGAGCAAATTTCAGGCTTGGTAGACCCCCTTTTTCGCTCCGAACTTCAGTCATCGCTTAGGTGGGGGGACTACTTTAACATCGCCACAATTCGGCACGCATCTTCTTGCCGGGGCTGCAACTGAACCGTTTTTTCGTTGTAAATTTAAGCAGGGGGTCTGGGGTTTAGGGGGTCGTCTAATATTACATCATTACGAGAGCCAGGTACCCCCAGTCTGGTGGGACGCTGCCTTTAACAAATTTGAAAGATTGGGATTTTTGGAGCTAAGTTCAAATGTGGGCAAGAGTACGGTGCCTACTTATTGAAGTTTTTTTTTGCAGTAAGAATTTTAAGCCACACACTCACGGCGCTTTGATGACCTTTCTATGCCTTCGTCCACAGCATGCCTTACACTCGGTTGATGTTCACATAAGCAGAGGCTTCGATTTAGGCGACGATTCAACCTCCTTTGCGACTCTCTTTCGGATGCAGTGATATGAGAATCTTGCATTGGCGACGACTTTGGCAGCGTTAAAAAAGTGGATGCAGTCCTCAAGCGTCTCATTTCGCGAAACACCCAGGCTAGACTGAGTCTGACATGAGATAATGATACGCTGTCTTGGCCCCTTTTCCTTCTCCCTACTTGTTCAGCATCCATATTATGAGCTTTGCTTTCCAAATCATTTCATCTTCAACACCAGTGATGTACAAGCGGTCTCCTCTGCGCATCGATGGTACTGCTCGTAGAAGCTTTGCAGGATGCTACACAAATCACTGCTCGTGACTGCCTCATCCAAGGTCACACGAAGATCCAAGCTCCATCTATTTTTTTTTTGATTTGTTCGAAAAATGCTTATTGAGTGAACGTAGTCCTAATCTGAATCGTCTTTCTCGAGCACTGCTGTATAGGGAGGTCACTAAAAGCTAATGGTCCGTCCTTTGCGAACGTTTGTTTCGTTCTTCATCCTGGAGGTGCACTTCTAATACTTTCGATAGGGGAGTCTTGAGTCCACAAATCCAAAGTTTGTGGTCCTTCCATGCTAGCGGATTCCGTCCGTAGTATGTATGCCTTCCGTTTGATGAAAGCATTTTTTGTAGCAATTTTCAACAGTTTCTGCAATGTACGTCTAGCCGTAGAAGTCTTCTAAGGATATTACCATCCATGTCGATGTCATTTCATTAAAACGCTGGTAGCCCATCAAGCCTTCCGGATTCCATTGGCTGATTAACGATTGCAACGGAAAAAGGAAGTTAGAGCCTGCTTACATAAATGAACGTTTCTCAGGTCGTCTTTTTTATACCTGTGCAGTGAGTGTGGTCTTCTTCCTCTCAGGACCACTAGTTGGGATTCATTCTGGCACAAACTTTTGGTTTCTTTCCTTCTCTGCCTCTATTAGTTGGATAATCTACTCGATCGCCAGGATACTGCAAACAGCGTTACCAAATTCGGGGCCTCATCGATTGGAGGTCCGCACGCAAACCCCTGCGTTGCGCATGCGTGGTTCCCTTGCGAAAGGGACTGGATTATAGAGTGCAGAAGGCACTTTTCTCCTACCGTAGCCAAAATTAGGCGTAAAACTAATGTTGACTGCAGAAACATCCGAATTTACGCCAATGAATGTGCGCTGCGGTACGGGCGATGCATTGCTTCATTATTTAGTCAGAGTAGGGGGACTTTTTCGGCTAATTCAGTTGTATTTGGCGTATTAATGTTGTCCCACTTTGTCTTGCCCGTTTTTCAGAGGGGAAAAGTCAGCTGCTTGCGATGACTGCCAACGCAGACGTTTTTCTGACTTGTGAACACTAACAAGGGGCGGACCCAGAGTCGAAAGTGCTAAATGTGGTAAGCTCTATATCATCTAAATCAGCGTGAGACGCTGATTTCAAATCTGTATTCATAATCTGCCAAGCGGTCATCTAAAAGGAGTTATGAGCCTCGATTGCTCGCTGATATGTCAAGTTTCGTTAAGAAGGATTCGCACGTGGGAACCGGGTGTCGTCTGGTATAGTGGATAAGCGCGGAGCCTTTGGAGCAGATGGTCGAGGGTTTGAGTCCTTTTCCCGTTTAACATTTTTGCAAGTTAAGAATATGTTTGTTTTGCGCTGTAAGGGGTATTCCGCGCACATGTACGGACTTCAGATCATAATCTACTCCTGAAAAGTTGGGATTTTCGCAACTTTTTTTTCCAAGGTTTTAGCCGCTGGCATGACAGTCAGCGGTATATCTTACGTATGTGAGTGACAATGTGCTGTGAGTTTTTACATAATTTCTGCTGCAAATTAACATTTTGAATCGTTACAGAAACCACCAAGATACCACCAACTATGCCGAAAACATTGAGCAAGAAGTAAAGCTTCTTGTCAAACCACATATCCATATATGTCCAATTTCTTGTTCAACATGTTTACGTTCCCGTCTCAACAATATTAGCAACCTGCAGGTCAATCACAAATTTTTCGTGATGTATACCTCTGCTTTTAGATTTAGGTATAAAAAATTGCTTTTAGATTTAGGGATAAAAAATCTTATTCAAATACTGCTTCAAATTCCATATTTTATATTGAGAGCAGGCACACTAGCACATTGTCGCACACATACACTAGATTTGATTCCATTGAGTGCCATATCAGCGGCTAGAACCTTGGTGAAAGAAAAATTGCGAAAATCCCAACTTTTCAGCGGTAGAATATGATCTGAAGTTCGTACATGTGCGCGAGATACCCTTTATAGCGCAAAACAAACATATCCTTAACTTGCAAAAATGTTAAGCGGGAAAAGGATTCAAACCCTCGACCATCTGCTCCATAGGCTCCGCGCTTATCCACTACACCAGACGACCACATCCGGTTTTCAGGTGCGGATCCTACTTAACGAAACTTGACGTGTTAGCGAGCAACCGAGGCTCATAACTCTTTTTAGAGAACCGCTTGGCAGATAATGGATACAGATTTGAAACCAGCGTCTCACGCTGATTCAGATGATATATAGCTTACCTCATTTCGCACTTTCGACTCTGGGTCCGCCCCTTGTAAGTACATATCGAGATCAGAAGGCTTCATAAAGCTGTAGAAAGGGAAAACTAGCGCCCACGGAAATTTCTTGGAATTGGCTGCTGCGAGGACGTGCCATCGATAGATTTCTGGCCCTTTTATAGGCAATGATGCTTAGCCCGATTTCATTTTCCACTTCTATGTGTCATTGTTTTAGTTATAAGCAGGTCCTTGTCTTTATTGTCGAATATGCTCCTAACAAGAAATATGAGTGAGCTTGGCTCTCTTTCCGTCGACACTTCGACATCGTTTGAGTTATTCAAAACCCGTAGCTCAGAAACAAAGGGATAAAATAGAGTTTACACAAATCCGGACCATATCACGAAGGACGATATCTACATACAAAATCAAAGATTTGACAAGCCAAGTACAAGAAGTTCAGGTTTACCAATTACGTGCACTCATCATAGCGTATAAGAACAGCGCACAGAACTACTCATACAAATTCTTTCAAGTCGAGTGATAATTCCAGTCTTTTTTTCTTCTCCCACAATAGACGACTTTGACTCGACTTTCAGATGTACTACTTTGCACCAAACCTAGCAGGGAACATGTAAGCGGAAGTGCTACGGTTTGCGCTGTACTTAGTGCCACTCTTGTCGTTTTCGGGTCTCAAATCATATCATTGGCTCCTAGCTTCATGTGGAGGCGGGTTGCGCACTTTCGCCTGAATAAAGTTGAACTTCTTAAACCTGCTCGTTGCAGCATTGTTTTCTTTTTTTACTCTCTCAAGTTCATCCTTTTAATCAGCGAAATTCCGCAACCGCCTCCACACAAGTGAAGCCGATCATACCAATACTATTTCTCTATTGGCTAGAAGATTAAGAGTAAAGAAAAACTTCGATGAAGAGTAAAAAAGAGTATCATCATGTCGTAAGAAGATCGTATGAGATCATAGATGGCAGCGTTGCGTAATAAGAAACAAATTTCAATTCAAAAGAGATGGAACGTGGGCTCAACATCTTGTGAGCCTGTTCAGGAAAGAAAAGCATGCAATGAAGATTCAAAAAATGAAATCTGCGATTACTGACACAAACAGTCCAGCTGGTCTTGAAGCACACTGTGCATTGCACATAAAATTGCTGCACAATATGGAAGTGTCGATCTGCTCACTTACAATACATGGTCTTGTCAAATCATCTTGCCCCAGAACTGACGAGTGATGCGGAAACAATGTCGTGCAATGTTTATTTGAAGCTCCTGGCCTACTATTTTATCACCTCATTACAAGATTTTGGAGCGATTACATGCCCCAAATACTACCGCTTACATCATTAGCGTGAAGCTGCATGTTTCTGCAGTCAACATTAGTTTTGCGCCTAATTTTGGCTACGGTAGGAGAAAAGTGCCTTCTGCACTCTATAATCCAGTGCGAAAGGGAGACGTAACTGACACTGATTGTAGGAGAATCCCTTACATTATTGTTTCCACTTCTGTCTGTAGGTGTTCAATCACCCGGTCTTAAACAAACAGTTCCATCACCACGAATTTCCAAAAGTTTGTAAAAGATAACCATCGTTACGACTGCAGTCGTCACTAGTAGGCGTAAAATTAAAAGTGCTTTGTACATTGCACCATACACATGTTTTGCGTCCGAACTTTAAAAAAGAATGGAAAATCTTACCTTTTTGATGTGTGCTACTTCTACTTTCACTCATCCGTAAGCGAGATCGTATTGATGGTATAGTGGTTATTTAGGCCATCTGTGGTATAATGGGTCCGCATAACCGATGAGGATAAGGCGCTGAGCAGAGTATGGCTTGTTACATTGATCATCAGTTGTTTCACTTTTTGGAGGGACAACTTCCGCATATTCGTCGCCGTTTTGTTTATGGTCTAGGAAATGCATTAGTGAATAAGATATGGTCCGGTCACTACTCACTTCAACAACGTATAATTCGGATGCGTGAGGAGCAACTAGCTTTGGAACGGTTAGTTCATAGATTTTGCGTTGTTACCTCAAATCTTCGCTCCCTAGAGCTGTAATTTTCTGCTCTCTGTTCGGACATTAGGCCTCGGGCAAGGTTCTCGCGATTTTATCGTCTTACGATTTCTCCAACAAGGCAACAGTCATGAATTGTCGCATGCCGATGCCTCAGCATTTCGGTTGTGATAGTTGTCCGGCGTGACTAATCACGACTAACATCACAACCGAAATGCAAGATATGATCGATATGATCGATATGCAATGGACTCTTAACTGTTGTCTTGTTGGGAGAATCGCGAGGCCATAAAATCGCTTGAACTCTGCCCAAGGCCTTACATGGTTGTTGAATGGAATTTGCAGAGCTCTATATCATAGTCGCCGCAATTATCTGAGCACACTGCAACAAGATGCTCAGATAGAAGAGAAGATGCTTGAACACGACAACTACATTGCTACTGTTTTGGATGATGTAGGAGCTCGTCAATTTCTCCCCTTTTTTCCACAATTATGGCCACAAATACGCTTTCAGTATTTTAAACGACAGCAACGCGCTCTCACGGAAATGCTGATTCCGGGTTTTTCTGTCACGGACAATCCCTTCGAAATTGAAATCCAAATGTTGATTCTAGAATTCATGCTGCAAGTACGGTAGGTGCCTGAGTACTGTTAGTGATTTTTCCTTACCTGGATTGCACTTGCAGACTTCCCGAGCCTTACACAAGCGCACAGTCGCAAGGATCTGCAGTGCCTATTGTATATGTGCAGTTATCGTAGCAATACTTTATTTGTTCTAGGCTTGACAGAGCGAGCTTCACATCATCATAAGACTTCACACTCGGGTGCGCCTAATGCTTTCATTTCTTTTTTGTTGATACGTTGTTCTACTTTCTAGCTTTTGACAATAAATTGGTTAATGTGAAAGTTAGATTCTGACATGCGATTGATATATCCTCTATCATTAATGTGATAGGAGCTCGTGCGGCTCGGGTCCACGCGACTGCCTCGCAAAGGCTTACCTCTCAGGCCTCTTCCGCACACCTGCGAAAGAGGTGCAGATCTCAAGCGAGGCGGTCGCGCTGGACCCAAAACCGCACGAGCCCACTCCTAACGATGCAGCGGATAAGGCTCATGTAGCAATTTGCTCCTGACACACCAGAGGAGAGGGATTCATGTGTTGTTTGCCTTCGGCAGCCGTCGAACTCTCAAAGCAGTGCGATAAATTGGATACAGGCCCAGAGTGCAAAGACTGGATGCACACGGAGTGCGTCGAAGCACGTGCCCGAGGATGGTACCCTTTGAAATTACATGAAGTAGAAAGGAAACATATGTAGAATGCAGTGGCGGTCCGAGGGGGGGGGCGCGCGTCCCCCCCCCCGAGAATGGGTCGCGAAATTTTTGGAACTTACCTATATGGGTTATAAAAATGTGCAAACGACTTGTTTATTTTTGTAAATAATTAAAATAATTTTTGAAATTTTTTAAAAATTCAAATTAGCCTTACAAAAAAATTTTTTTCGGGGGCGTGGCGTCAGCCACGCCCCCTTATTCCAGATTTTAGGGGTTGGGGACCCGCAAAAATTTCAAGAAGTACCCCTAGAATTTTTTCGGAGTGCGTGGCTAACGCCACGCACCTTCATTTGAAAAGAAAAATTTTCCGCGCCCCCCCCCCCCCGGTCCGAAATCCTGGGACCGCCACTGGTAGAATGTGTTTTGATAATTTTATTAGATATTGTATGTAAATTATAGCTGATAACATAATGTACATCTAGGTCACTTATACTGACTGCGGATTTGCTTCCATAGGAGCATAAAACGCTCATACAAAAAGATATTACCTCTACGCTCAGCTCAGTCATTTCCAGTGTCTAAATACTGTCATATGTAAGCAAAAAAAAACATTCGATCAGGAAAATGCGATTTCCGGAAGTGGCATGCGTGTAGCGCGCGGTCGCGCCATCGTCTCAATTTTTTAAATGCACTGTACTAAAAATTCTAAGTGGTATATGATTTAATATGAACAGATAAATAATGGTATATGTGACATGTTCATTGTGATCGTAGAGGGCTTATCAATTGCAGAGTCGGCTGCATCAACATCTCCGCTCCCGTGCGGCCGCCTCGCCTGGACTCTGCACTTTTTCGCAAACATGCTCTCTCATCACTTTCTGTGTCGGTTTCTAGACTTTATTATAGCCTGAGGCGAAATAGCGCCTGGTACAGTGTTTTATATAGAACACGGAAGCATTAGAGCTTTACTGTCACAGGCGACCTGCACACGTCGGCGCTGTGGTAGAATGCTAACTATAATAGATGTGGTAGAGTAACATAACGGACTATAGCAGGTGATGCTTATGGCATGACCTGTACCTTTTGTGAGAGTAAAGATACGGTTGTTAGAAAGGTGCCGACGATGGCGGCACACTTTCCCACCACGAGAGTGGAAGAGGCGGAGCTTCAATCGCTAATTAGACGTGCGAAGAGCATGTTCGCGAAAGAGGTGCAGAGTCTAGAAGAGGCGACCGTGCGGGAGCGGAAATGCTAATCCGCCTGACTCTACAACCGATAAGCTCTGTATATGATTTGAGCAATGGGTAAACATTATATGATACACTGTTGCTATTTTACATAAGTTAATGATAAAAAGGGCAGTAGAACAATGAAGCTTCTCCGCCGCACTGTGTTCTTCACACTTGCTCAAAATGTAGACTCACGCAGTGATAGGGAGCAAAGCAAACTCAACAGCAAAAATCAGACAGTAAATCGCGAATACGAACACGAAAGAAAACATACCTGAAATTAAGGATGCAGTAGGAACTTTTAGCGTAAGTATTCCCACTCATAGCGAATGCAACAGACTGACAATATACAGGGTCGGGGAAAAGTCCTTGAACAATTTTTGATGTCGTATGTTCGGATTTTCCACATATTCTTGCATGCTAATTACAGTGACTTGCTTCTTTTACTGTTGAGTATAAGCCCTCCAAAAACTGGACTATTAATTTTCTTCCTATCAGAAATATGCCTTCTGGAGCGGAGCTGGAGCTGGTGGCGAAGATGCATGAGGAGAGGATGGTTGACCAGCATACTGCGCGGGTTCTCGAAATTTCACAGATCAGCGTCTATTCCACCTTGGGTCATTTCCAGGGTACGAACAGCACCCACGACCTGTTGTGGGAGTGTAAATTGGTTGCTGCGAACACTCACAAAAATCCGGAAACCGTTTGCCAGCGCCTCTTCGCAATCCTCGGCGAAGCTTGATTGGATGGTCTCGGATGTCCATCTCTGGCAGGACATTTCCGACGTTGTGGAGCAGGATTTCGAAGAAGCTTTTCAGGATGCTGAAAATCAAGCTTTTTGAGAAGACATGAGGCTGAATTTTGCGCAGATGCCATCGGCTGCTTAAACGTTTTTTCTCCAAGGCACGCCACCGGACGATAATACTCTTTTCTGACACCAGAATTTTCATCTGGAGCAGATTTTTGATTGCCAAAACAATAGAATCATCCTAACAGCTCCAAAAAGCCAATAGCAGGGGTGACTGGCAGAAGGAAAGCTTCATCTGGCTTCTGTGATGGCTTGCACAGCGATCGCTTCCGACGGCAAGATGCCGCTGATTTTTGTGTCTCATGGCATCAAGGTGGACGCTGTTACGCATTCGGATAACATCCTGAAGAAGGGATTGTTTGCCTGGACCAACACCCATTTTGCCGGGAACGAACAAGCATGGCGCCAAAGCAACGTTAAAAATCTCATTACTTCTACGGAATGGTTACGGAATGGCCCCTGTATTTGCCGGAACTGATTAACCACTACAGCTCATCAGGATGCGTTGCGGGAAATCGACGTGGAGCATTTTTGTGCCACTATGTACAGCATTCCTAAGCGTTTCCGAGCTTGTGTTCGCGTCAAGGAAGGAATCTTTGCATTGTAAAATCAATTCTAGTCGTAAACAATTAAGTAAACATTATTCACTGGTTTCATATAATTATCTTGCCTAGCTTCGTGATTACGAGAGGAACACCGTGTTTTAAGACTCTCCGGACCCTGTATTTGCGGAAATTGGATGTTGTGATTTGAATTTTGGTAAAATGGTGTAAGTGCAACGAACAAAGCGCATTTAATTTTACGCCTACTGTTGACGACATAACGGGTTGACTTGCGCTATTTCTATGATTTTGTCGAATTTTTCGCATTTTTTCCGCGTATGAATCATGTGTTTTTTTTCGCAAGAATGTCCTAGGTCAGAAATGGAAAGATTTCAGGTATGAGCACATCGGCCGCTGATGATGTTGACAAAGCGGTCCAGTTTGTGCTGAGTACACTCGATAAGAATGGTAACACGGTAAGCAGGAAGTTTATTCATTGTGTCTGTTTTGTATGAAGTGTTACTTTAGGAGCTGACGACACTTCAAGTCGCCAAAGAGCTGAATATAGATCATCAAGCAGTTGTTGGGGCGATCAAGAGTCTTCTCACTCATGATGGGGTAAGTGGCAAGCATATGCTTTGTTTTGATTAGTTCAGCAGTTAGAAGGTACCCTGGTATGCTTGCTATCATTTTCACTTTCATCGTTTTATTTCTACATCACGTTGGAGAAGGTACGGGAAGTGTTATTGCTTTTGTGCCTCACTTTGTCCATGGATGTGAATGGAGTAGTGAAAGAGTTCATTCCCCACTGTTCAGATAATCTTGACAAGTGATGCATCTGAGAAAAGTGTGAAACTCACTAATGAGGGAAACGAGATGGCCGAGAAAGGCTCCGCTGAATACCGCGTCTATGAGCAAATAGGTGCCGATGGTGCTTTGCAAGCGGACATTATGGTAAATTATAATCGTTTTTCTGGCTTGTATCCGTTAAATTTTTTGTTTTCAGAAGCAGCCATTTGGGAAGGTTGGCGTTAACAAAGCTCTGGCTGCAGGCTGGATATATATTGATAAGAGTGGCGGAGCCGTTCGTTTGGTAAGTTTTCGGCTTTGCAGATGTCTGTTGCTAGTTTTCTCAATAAGTATATATCTATGCGTTGTTTTGTTACGCCTTTTATCCAGTTATTTTTAGGCACGTAAAGATAATGTAGATGTGGTGGATCATGTAGGAGAACAGCTGAAGAAGTTAGATATTGGAGAACATGTCGAAGATAAAGCCATTGCTGAGCTGAAAAAGCGAAAACTAGTCCATGAAGTGTAAGTCAACCTAGCTCTCATTTGATTTTGAGTTCTCAAATGTTGTTTTGTTTTTCATATAGCTAAGATCTTGTTTTAGCCTTACCAAATATATCATCGTGAAGAAAGGTCCGAACTTCACTACCTCAATCACTAAGCCAGAAGTTGACCTTACGCCAGAAATGATAGCAACGTGGGTTCTTTTCAATTCGTTTTTTTTTTCACGTTCGTTTACTCTTTACTTACTTCTTTGTTTAATTCTTTTTTAATTTTTCTCTATAGTTCTTGTTATTAATTTTCAAGCTTGTCGGTTTTTTTGCGAAGTCGTGTTCAGTATCATTTTAGAGGCTCTTGGAAGAATAAAACCTTCAAGCAGTATAATTTCGATGCGCTTGGCGTTCAGCCTCCATGTGGTCATTTGCACCCCTTGATGAAAGTGAGTAACCTTTTCATAGATCTTAGTTTCAGCATAAGTTGCTTGTATCTTGTCAGAAGCGTTCAAAGCAAACACAAATACATCTCGTTTTCATTTTGATCACATATATCTTTAATGTTGGGACAACAATGAAGTCGCCCCCTCAGCATTTCTGATTATCTCGTACACTCTTTGAAGTCAGGTCGTTCTCGTTTAGGTTCGCTCTGAGTTCCGCCAGATTTTCTTCTCTATGGGCTTTTCGGAAATGCCCACTAATCGATATGTGGAAAGCTCTTTCTGGAATTTCGACGCACTCTTCCAGCCTCAGCAACATCCTGCTCGAGATGCACATGACACCTTCTTTGTTTCAGGTTTGCCATAATACTGTCGCGTTGAATTGAGTGGAATTTGCTTCTGGGTAATTTTTGATTTTTGGCAAATATGATTGCTTAGTTTTTCAGAACCGGCTCTCAGCACTGAGTTTCCAATGGATTACTTGGAACGTGTGAAGACTGTTCATTCCAAAGGCGGTTATGGATCGGCGGGGTAGAGATATCTCCTAAATTTTTCTTCTCCATATAATTTTTATTGATTTCTATCATTTCTGTTCAAATCTGATAGCAACTGCTTCATATGTTTTTTTTGTTCTTAGGCCTTCCATCGTTTTTTGGGTTTAGGCCACTGTTTTTCGCTCACATTTTTTTGTTTTTGAGGTTGTTGGTTGGGTTTAGGTACAACTATGACTGGAAAATTGAAGAAGCTCAAAAGAATGTGTTGCGAACACATACAACAGCAGTTTCAGCACGACAACTCTATAAATTAGCTCAAGAGGTGGGCTAGACTTTATTAGTCTCTTCTGTTCTGTTAATGCTTATATGTGGCGCTTATACATTAGGGTTTCAAACCAACGAAGATGTTTTCCATTGATCGGGTATTTCGAAACGAGACTTTGGATGCCACTCACCTGGCCGAATTTCATCAGGTGGGTAGACTAGTCTTTATGGAGTCAACTAAGAGTCTCTCACTAATGTTAGGAGCATGTCATGATCTTTGTCTCTTTTAGGTCGAAGGTGTTATCGCGGAACGTAATTTATCACTGGCTCATCTTATCGGAATTTTCACTGAGTTTTTCAAGAGACTTGGTAAGACTTGATTGTTTTGCATCTTATCATATCAGAGTTGCCTCTTACTTTATTGTTCCAGGTATTACAAACCTTCGTTTCAAACCGACTTACAACCCGTACACCGAGCCCTCAATGGAGATATTTGCTTATCATGAGGGTCTGAAAAAATGGGTTGAGGTAAAAATATTGATTGTCTCGCTTGAACCCATCCTCAATTTGCGGATAAATTTGTTTTTTTTCTCTGCCTTTTTGAATATATGTCTTCATTCAGATTACATGATTGTGCCGAATTTACAGATTGGAAATTCTGGAATGTTCCGACCTGAGATGCTACTCCCGATGGGGCTACCAGCAGATGTGAACGTTGCTGGATACGGTCTTTCTCTTGAAAGGTGGGGCAATCCTGAACATTTGTTGTAATTCCTGTTGTAAACCCGCTTTTCAGGCCCACAATGATCCGATATGGTATCGATAATATAAGAGATATGTTCGGACCAAAAGTCAACCTAGAGATGATTTATAATGGCCCCATCTGTCGGTTGGATAAGAAGGTGAAAGGTTAGGCTCAACATGTGCATTAGCATGTAATGGTTGCTGTTGTTTCACTGCTTTTATGCAGTTTGTTGGAAGAAAATGCAATTGTTATTATTTATTGGCTCTTTTTCTCATGTTAGGTTTTATAAATTGAACCCAGTGGCGACTCTTGAACTAGTGGTCTAATCTTATCCCCGGAAACCCAGTCCTTATCTTGACAAGGACTGGATTTTCGTATACGGCAAGGCCTACTTGACCGGCTTCCTCAGATAATCTAAATGTTCTCTCCTCAGCTTTGTTGTTTATTGTTATGGTTGGGATATAGATGCACATTCTGTCATTTTCGAGCTTGTGATAAATTTTATCAGATTATAACAGACTTAAGCAACTTGTAAATTGTTGTGTATAAATACGATGAAAGCCCCTCATTTAAGACAAATCAGGCTTGCAGATTGACAATCTCGATCTGCAAAGAGGCAATTAAATTTGTTATTTTTTTTAGACAAAAAACTGCTGACTTACGTCTGATGATATGGATGGTTCTATGCCGAGTACTTTGCATAGAAATACGTAGGAAGCCTCTGAGCTTCGTCGCACCGCATCTGCCCCACGAAAACCATGTCCTTCGTCTTGAATAATCCTTGTGGGTTAGTTAAATCATCAAAATGAAAAACCAACTGACCATCAAATAGCATCAAAGCTGTTGTGACACCTTTTTCTCGTAGTTTATCGTACATTTCGACGCTTTGGCTTACTGGCACTACCGTATCCTCTTTACCATGCAGGAATGCAATTGGTGTTCGTAGCCGATCGATATGGTTGATTGGACTGCGTGCCTGAAAATGAGCGTTTGAAAGGCGGCGCAGTGAAACGATGGAAATTTCATTAATTAGTCCGCAGCTTTGTTAAAGTTAAGAACTACCTCGTACACTTCCTTATCTTCTGGATACTTGCCTATTAGTACCTCATTATAGCCGCGTTCAAATTTGTGAGTATCCTGAAAAAAATTGTAATTTCCCATCAACAAATTCTCCGATGGAACGGAGAGGTAGAGGAGTTTACCTTAGCAAGTCCAACAAGATCTCCCACACCATATATAGAAACAGCAGCTTTGAACACATCGGAATGTAATAGAGAGGATAGAACGAGGTATCTGGAAAATGCATCGGAAATAACAGAGAAATACGAGAAGTAAAAGAAGGAGAAGTATATCCATCTGATTAAACAGCAAAGGGTTGTTTCATACTGCCGCACTGACTGCAGCAGGCAGTCTGCACTGACCGCAGCAGACTGCAGCAGACTGCAGCTGACTGCACTGACCGCAGCAGACTGCAGCAGACTGCAGCTGACTGCACTGACCGCAGCAGACTGCAGCAGACTGCAGCTGACCGCACTGACCGCAACGACCGCAGCGGCTGTAGCACGCAGGCGGAGAGTATAAATAGTTGTGGTTCAAACAAATAACAACAATATATACGTAAAAGCAAAAGACAATACGGTTTAGAATGTTGCAAAACAGGTATATGCAATGATAGGAGGAATTAGAACAAATACGAATATACCAAAGAAAACTATCGCCAAAATTTGATTGAGAAGAATTCTGATGGAACTTATAATCTTCTTATGAGTAAATCACACTGTTTTGGTAATCGCGGTTGTTTTCTTTTAAGGATAGAAACTGCGACCGGTGCGGTCAGTGCGGTCAGCTGCAGTCAGCTGCAGTCAGCTGCAGTCTGCTGCAGTCAGTGCAGTCAGCTGCAGTCTGCTGCAGTCAGCTGCAGTCTGCTGCAGTCAGTGCGGCAGTCTGAAACAACCCAAAGACGTAGTCAGTAAAGGCTATCCCAAAGGCAGTGTTGCTTGCACCAGCGGCCGGATTTGCGCAGCCATCTCGCTTGGAACATGCGCCGTATCTGCGGACATATCCTCCGAGCATATCCCATGCGCTAAACTTTGATCACGCCCAGGCGTGGAAAATGTCCAGAAGTCGATTTCGCAGACGCAGTGCAAGCTTCAAGCAAGGCGACCGCGCAAACCGGAGCCGCTGTTGTGAACGATGCTGTCATTGAGACAGGATAGACGTAGTTTACACATAGTAAACTTGGTTCACGCTTAAGTCTCTATCCGAGTCTTTGCAGTGCTTACCCTCCAGCTGAACTTCCTTTGATGCACACTTTCTCAGTGTCTACCAGACCTTTTGCAATTACTGATTGAGCAGCAGCGATCATATCATCACGGTCAACAAGACCCCATTGCCCTTTCAGCCTGAAAAAGTTGATAGATTGAGCTTAACTATGAGTTCTGAAAATACGCAAAACAGTCAACTGTGTCTACTCCCTTATAATTTCCTATAATTTATTTAAACTTCATGAAAGTTCACAGCTATGTAAAAAAATCTCTTCGGATACATTGTCCCACCACGCCCCTTCTCTCATATTTGGGTTTGTGAGCCGACAAAAATGAAAAGCATTCCAAAATTTTTTTGAGAGGCGTGGTTACAGCCACGCTTTTCTGTGGAGAAAAGTTGATGTCGTCTTTCCCACATGGTTTTTGGGACCGCCACTGATCACCACAGACTTCTAGAGCAATGAAGTATGCTTCAAAGCGTTACAAAATGCTCACATATTCCTGAATTCTGTGCCGCACCCAGTAGACCCTCTATAATTGACATCTAGCACAGCAAATCCACGCGAGGTGAAGAACTGTTTTTTGAGGTCCAGAGCGTCCGTGGAGATACCGGTAGGACCGCCATGTCCTACCAAAAGAACAGGAGGTAGTGTGCCTTCTGGTGCCACGTAGTTACGGTTCTAGAATAGTGCATGAGTTTCAAGGAAAGGGAAGGGGGAAATACTAGCTGGGCACGTCTACTGCAGAAGAACAGGACTCACCTTTGGCATATAAAGCCAAGCATGTACAGTAACATCGCCTGATTGGAACTCGATATCTTCCGGTTCACTGATATCCAGACTCTCCAAATCTTTGTCATCACGTGCGGTGCGTATCACATTAATTGTAGGTTTTTGGTCCTAAAACACAGCTTAAACGAATCATCGCAACTCAAGGTTTAGCCAGTCGCGTAACTTTTGATTCAACTGACTTGGCTTTGGGAGCTTTGTGACCTAATTAGAGCCGCCCGCGCCCACGACGCACCTGCGTCTCCCTCGCGCGAGTGCTCTCTGATCATTACCTAGCCTTAATTAGGTCACGAAGCGCCGCCTTGCCGAGGCCAAACCAGTTGAATCAAGTGATATATAGGGTTGTTTGATTGATTTTTTTCTTGAATTCTATGACCTTTAGCTAAGGCCATTTTAGAATTTTCACAACCACGAAACTGCAAAATTCGAAGTGTAATTCTGCTTTGTGAACCACAAAACTTTATTTTGCTGTAGGAGGCAGAGGCACTGAGATATGAAGAATCTTCAATTTCCCAGTATGTTATACGACCATATCTTTCCATCAACCTACTATCTTCCCTGAAATCTAGGATTACTCCTACCTCCTTAAATATATCTATTTTCACTATGCATGAAGCTTTACGCGGCCCTGAAGCGATTGCGTATACGATGTCGTTAGATGTGATGCTCAGGTGTGAGAATACGGTGTAACCAGGTGTCTCAATACTTCTGATGGAATCGCCACGTCGATACATCAGGCGTCCGCCCACATTCATTACCTAAAATTTGAACTTTCGGTTTAATGACTATTTTCACTAGATCACTTCCCATGCATTTCCCATTTGAAGCGTACGGTCGATCAGCAAACTGCCAAAGAGGGTAGCCAATTTCCCGATCCACAGGAAACAGATTAGTCTCCTTATCTGCAATACTTGATGAGACTGTGCAAATGCAGAATTGAACAATTTTTCCGAATGTCTACTCGTGCGACACTTTACCTACATTCTGGTCCCACAAGGCTAACTTCATAGACATTCCAGAAGTTGGTCGAATCATTAATCATGAGCAATTTGTCGTCCACCCAATTCGGACAGTAATAGTTTATCTTTGAACATCAGCATTGAGAAGAATCAATATATCGATCGCTCAGTTGAACGATACCTTCTTCCCTGTGCCATCCTTGATCACAACCTCATCGCTTACTGTACCGTCACTATGCAACACAGCCATATGGATAGATGTCTCATCCCAAGGCTACAACAAAATGTGCCTTATAAAAATATTAAGTTTCTTAGAATGTTTACCATGTTAACGTGATTCCATTGCATCCATACCAGTCTCTTACCATCTGACGAGACGCGAGGAGATGCGTAGAAATCTGCACCGCTTGCCTAAAGTGGAAGCGGTGCAGATTAGAACGCGAATTGCGAAATTTAGAATTCAGAATTGCACAAATATGGTTTTCCGCTAGTGAAGGTTGTATTTGACGGTCGCTTTCAGGGGGAGGGGGAGGAGTGAAAGAAAACGACCCCCAGAATTCTTTTAAATTCAGTTTATTCGCGAGCTTACAGTTCTAGAATTTTGCAACAAAAAAAAAGAGACGTGGCGATAGCCAAGCCTCCAAAAAAATTTACAAAGGCATCAAATTTTTACGAAATTTGAAATTATATTACTCGTACGATTAGAAACAAGTGCTCAAGTAATTTTGCATCTTATATAGGCACTTCCATATTTTGCAACTCTGACAACCACTGCAGAAATTCTGCGCAGAAATCTCCCTTCCCGTGCCCTGTTTCATCCAGATAACCGTCTCCAGTTGTAAGATAAACAATATCTTTCAAGCTCCGATGAGGACACTAGGATTTGAATATGTATGCAAACTCTATAGATGCCGTGACTTTCACAAAAAATATAATAGTTTGTTGGAGCGGGCAGCTAGTGCTGATCAAGAGTATGCTTTCGCCATATTTCGATTTTTTAGTGCAGCGATACAATTTTAGCTTAGAAAGGGTGAATAATGTCTTGGTTGTCGACAATCCCTGCGCAATAAATGGGGAATTTACAGAAAGTCTGAACAAAATGAGCTTCATTTTCACTTTTCAGCGTGAATGTTGCTTCCACCGCAATCAGTGTATAATCGCCAAATACTGCAGCTAACGGTGAGCTGTTGCATAGATAGAAGTGGTAGAAGAAAATTACTCAAAATTTGAATTTTCTGTGTAGAGTCATAAAAAATCTAAAACTTACAATAAAAATCGGAGCAGTCGATATTAGAATTCTATTACTTGCTCTTTCTACCTGTGAAAAGCTTGTGCTGATTGAACGTGATTTAAAAAATGTCAAAATAAAATAAAATTGCCTTTTGTATTGCTTGCTCGAAGATCATAACTTTTCATAGAAATGTTCAATCAGTACAAACTTTGCACAACTAGAAAGAGCAGGTAATGGAACCTATAATACCAAGCATGGTTTACTGTAAAAATAAAAGCAGTCAAATCGGTTGGAAAAATCAGAAGTTATGGATTTTTGAAAACTGAGCGACCGAACTGTCGGGAGGACCCAATATCTGACAATATTCGGAAGAACTTCAATTGATTCATTTTATTCTTCAGTACTGCTGTGCCAGACAGGTTTGGTAGGTGTTCTTTATCCCAATGAAGGCCTAACGTTTCGACGCCTTTCGTCTTCCTCAGAGGCCTGAAAATGGCTCAAGCGTCTTCTGTGAAAAGAGGCCATCAAGCACCATCCTCATTCCTGCTAGTTCTCGATCTTCGCTCAACATCCCTACCGCAAAAATTGTCAGCGCCAGAAAATGAACATACCGTTGAGGACACCGGTATGTCAGTTTCCGCACAGGAAATGATGGTCTTGGCGGAAGGACTAAACTATACTATAACAGAAAGATGCGTAGTCTGTCCGTACTGTAGAATAGGTGACTGTGCACAAGCGGGAGTGGTTTATCAATTGAAATGCCTTAGCTGCAATGCACTCTATATTGGCGAAACTGGAAGATCACTTTGTACTCGCATAAACGAACATCTGCAGATAAAAGGCGTAAAACCCTGTTATCACCGTTGGGCAGGCATAGGAACGAAGCGCATGGTGGAGCCGATTTCGATATAAAGTGCGAAATCTTAACCTATGAGAAGGAAACCTCGGCTAGGATGGCGCTGGAAGCATTCTGGGTCTCTTCAAAGAATCCAGCAATGAACAATAAGAATGAATGCTTGTCAGTCACCAACGACTTCCTTCCATTCATATCGTTATGCAATCTATAGATCACATGCTATGTGCAGTTATAGTATAGTTTAGTCCTTCCGCCAAGACCATCATTTCCGGTGCGGAAACTGACATAGCGGTGTTCTCAACGGTATGTTCATTTTCTGGCGCTGACAATTTTTGCGGTAGGGATGTTGAGCGAAGATCGAGAACTAGCAGGAATGAGGATGGTGCTTGATGGCCTCTTTTCACAGATGACGCTCTGAGCCATTTTCAGGCCTCTGAGGAAGACGAAAGGCGTCGAAACGTTAGGCCTTGATTGGAATAAAGAACACCTACCAAACCTGTCTGGCACAGCAGTACTGAAGAATATTAGCGATGCCGAGGTTTAAGGAAAGTGGAACTTTTAAACTATTTCATTTTAGGCTTACGAAAAGGCATATGATGTAGATCCTGGCATATATCCGCCCTAATCAAACACCTACCACCACTTTCTGTTCCTTCGTCTCCTTGTTAATAGATATCAACCGATTCTCTGGATCTACGTTTGGGCGAAGATGACTCTCGTTTACACAATAAATATGTGTATCAGTAGCTGTGAAATCGGCAAATCTACAAAACACTAACACTCAGAACAATAAATGCCGTCTTAAATCGTACCTGAGCTTCTTCTCATTAGCATCAGCTAACTGCCTTGGGGCAGCATCGGGGCGCTTCTGATGATATACTCCCTCAACCGTAGTGTAAACTATGGAGCCATCCTTGAGTGGTATGAAAGAGCCTCCACCGTATTCGTGTACTAAAGTGAATAATGCTTGCGTAATGGTACGGTGGTCCAGCCGCAGCGACATACGCAACTGCGGTAACAGCAGCGTTGCGGCGCCGATGCCTGCGAGTCTGGTCGCGCTATGCGGATGCGACGGCGGGCAAATATTGAGGGTCGCAACGCTGCTGAAGGCTACAAATGCGTCTTACCACTATTTTGCACAGACTGTTCCGGTGCCCATCTGACGCGACCTTCAGATGCCGACTTTGCAGATTCAAAGTACAATTCGCGTTTACCAGTGCTTGCACTTTGTTCGACCCAGAAGACACCATCTGAAGAATTGCTGAACTCTAGCAATGCCAAATTATGACCCTACCTACCGTCAGTTGCTTGCAGTTCGGCTATACCCTTGCAGTTACCCTTAGCAAACAGGTCTGGCGTGATTGTGCTCACCCAGCTACCGTACGGGGCTACCTTGGACATAGTCCTTATTCCGATTTGGATAGTGGACGAGAAGAAGCGAAGCAAAATCTAAATGAGCATAAGCTAAGGTGAATTATGGTATCTAGCGCCTATCGGGTCTTGATTTCCCAATTTTATCGCGGACGCAGCATTCATATGAGAAACAGGAAAAACAGGCGAAAACTGGTCCCCGAAGGTTGATACAAGACTCAACCCTTTCATCATCTGCTTTTAGTTAAATACGAACTTTTTGTGGCCTAGTAAAGCTTTTCCCGATTTCTAAGTTATCGCTTCGATTTTCAAGAAAGGCATAATAATTTTTTCAAAACCATCCAACTACCTTTTCGATAGAAGCAAAGAATTGTGATGTAAAAGCTCTTCCATGACGAAGGCGGTCGGTTTAATACGCGAAGCGGCTGCGACCGGCTTGTTTGAGCATCTTTCATCATTGAAGCTCGTACGCACGCGAACGCTCGCCTACATGGGCGACCGCCTTCGTCTTGGAGTAGCTTTTAGGTAAAGCAACACAAAGCATAATTTAGTGTGAAGTAATAATGAATAACGAAATTAAAAGTCGCCTGTTTCAAGAAACACGTTCGAAACACTTATCAACGGTAGGCCCCAGACTTTCACAATGGCTAGCCGATAACCGGCAGCGCTTGAAATGCTTCGCAAAACACAGCGTAAACTGTGAAAGCCAGCCGAAAGAAGTTGGACGAGCAACAAAAACCTTCTTCAAAATCTAGATATTCGAAGTAAGATGATGGAAAGACTGAGTAGCCTGCTTTTGCTAAACAGCTGGGTGATATAATGGTGGCGAAACATCTCTCTAATCGCAAAGCTGCACTGTTTTCATGCAAAAGCGCAAAGAATTAACAAAACTAATTTGTGCTGTATATGATTGTGACACTAAGCAAGATATCCGACAATCCGCAGCCAAAGATTTATGTAAAACAGTCAACATATTTCAACAGCGACAAAGTACTCAGAGCAGGGCTCGGCACGAGCTGGCACCAGGGAATTTTGAAAACGAAGTCCCCTTTGAAATTTGCCAATTTTTACGAAGTCCCCCTTGACTTTTGGGAAATTTTACGAAGTCCCCTTTGATCCTCAACGATATCCCCTCTAAAATCCTAAAAAAATCCCCAAAATCCCCCAAAAAACGAAACGTCGACTAAAAAAAAAAAAAAAAAAAAAAAGGTCGTCGCCGCCAATTTTGCGTATGTCTTCGCCCACAAAAACGAAACCCCCTTTGCTTTTTGCCCCAAAAACGATATCCAGCTTGACCCGGTGCCAGCTGTGCCGAGCCCTGACTCAGAGGTATCACAACGTATAAAATAGCTAAAACTTTCACAGATTAAAAACAATCGGTCAATCGAGTTTTTCACAAAAGTGAGCTGGGGTCAGAGGTCCCACAACAAAGTCAAACAAGACCATGGACTTCAAAACTGAAATGGATTAAAACAAAGTATGAAACTCCCGCAAGGTAAAACTGCACCGGTGATATGTCAATAGACTCTGAGGTGAAACATAAGTAAAAACCGTAGTGCATAACCGAGGTGAGTAATTTGCCATGAAATATAACCAGTGCTCTATAAATCTAAAAAGAGTGCATCGTCGCAATGGATCATTCGAACTTGATTCCTTGGGCAAGAGGCAGTTCTTTGCTGTAGTTGATGGTGCAAGTCGACCTCAAATAACAACAGCAATCAAATCAAATCTGACAAAGTCCCTATAAACTAAAAGACAAGTACAGATAGATGCATAATAATGTGGTAAAAACAGCTAATGCTGTCGTTGATGTCCGAAAAAAGCCGGATAATGTTCTTAATGCTCGGAAAAGAACTAACTCACCTCCTCATGTACTGTTTCCAAGCGTCGGATCCAGATTCGCGGCCACCACCCGTTTCCTTTTCACCACCAAAAGCACCGCCAATCTCGGCACCAGAAGTTGGGATGTTCACATTCACAATGCCGCAATCACTTCCCTTCGGTCTGGAATGTTATAAAATATTACCAAAGCACTATATCAGATCTATAAATGGCATGATTTTCACCAAAGTCGTCAATTTTGCTGCGTGCGTGTAACTTCGCTTGTATTTTATCTAATGCTGCTGCATGTTTTTGAAATTTTGATAGACGATACATTCAAGCGCAGAAGCGTTAGTGTTTGGCAGACACTACTGTACAGAGAATTCTTTGGATCAACCTCGACTAAACTGCCGAATTTATGAACTCACCCCATCCATTTGAAGAAGTTTTGGATATTTGTAGTGAACAGGGATGAACTGAGTCCTTGTGTGGTCTGCAATGGTGATAGTATGGATTCATAATAAGAAAAGACTGAAATCATGGCTAACCTCGTTATTGACTTTGATCGCTTCGTCCAAATTTTTCACCTTGATAACATAAAGGATGGGAGCAAACGTTTCTCGTAAAATAACAGGAGAATCATGAGGAAGTCCGGTAATGATCGTCGGCAGCACAAAGTTTCCGTCACCTTCAAGCACCTAAAAAGCATTTTATACGCTAATATTTCATTGAGAAGCTATGCTGCATCCCACAGAATATGCTAAATTTGCTGAAGTCAACGTGTTAAAATGATCGAAAGGAGCCACGTTGATGGCTCATATGGGGACAATTCTTGTATGCAGGATATGATACTGTTGAATGGCTACTCACTTTTCCACCGTACTCGACTTTTCCACCAGTAGCGACAGCTTCGGCGACCGCTGCCTAAAATTACTTTTGCACTGAAATCTTGAAGATGGTACCTTATAAAGTTACCTTATACGACATAACTGCTTGTTGATTATGTAGTGGTCCAATGATAGTGTTAGCTTCCAAGGGATCTCCAATTCGGGACTCAAACTGGGCATAAGCACGCTTAACTCGCTCTAACAAGGTGTCATATATGGATTCGTGCACGATCAATCGTCTAGTCGTTGTGCACCTGAAGCAATACTATGAACGAAGGGCAACCAACATAATAAGAAAAAGCGGACGCATAGTCCTAGTACGTAAGCTCTGTTTCAAAAAAAGGCTAACCTTTGCCCAGCGGTTCCTACGGCAGCAAATACGGTAGCAGGTACGACCATGTCCAAATCTGCGTCATCGTTAACAACAATAGCATTGTTGCCTCCAAGTTCGAGAAGGAGCTGAACATGGGAAATAGGAAATAGGATACTTTTTAGTTGAAAATGCTAGAAACGCACTTTGCCAAACCGTTGCTGCACTTGTTGCCCTACAATTCGTCCAACATCTGTTGATCCGGTGAAGCTGACCAAATTCACGCGCTTATCTTTCACAAGGGCTTGTCCGACTTCACCCTAGAGGTCAACCTTTGATAATTTTCAGATAAACAATTTGAAGCGTGAACTTCAGCGAAATTTATAATAAAAAAAGATACATGTATAAAAAAACATCAAAAGTTTACCTCTCCGCAGACGAGAGAGCACAATGCTCCCGGCAAATCATTAGCTTTCAAAACTCCTTCAACGAGCCTAGAACAAGTCTCTGAAGCGAATATAATAACGTTTAAGAGTAGAAACTCACTTAGTTACAGCAATAGCAGTAAGTGGAGTTGACGGTGCTGGCTTCCAGATCACAGCATTACCCGTAACCAAAGCTAGAGCATTGTTCCATCCATATACGGCACATGGGAAATTGAAGGCAGATATTACACCAACAACTCCTAGAGAAAAAGAAAATGATGATTTGAAAAAAAAAGCGGTGATTTGAAGCTACAAAAGCTACCTAATGGATTCCATTGCTCGAGCAGCGCATGCCCTGGTCTTTCAGATGGTAAAATCTGTCCATTTAGAGATCTTGACAAGCCGAGAGCGAAGTCACAGATATCGACGTATTCCTGGACTTCACCTACACCTTCAGGCAAGATCTTGCCCATTTCCATGGAGACCTGGAACGTGTAAATAGCAAATTAATGGACATAACAGCCTGTATAATGCACATACCAGTTTACCCAAGTTCTGAAGTTGTGACCGTAGTTTCTCGCCAATCTGGCGAACGATTTCGCCTCGTCTTGGTGCAGGAACTTCGCACCATTTCTGCAAGAGGTACGTTACTCTGATGCGGCAGGAAAGTACAAGATCTTCCGGTAAGGCATCGCACGATGACACACTGATAAGGCTTATAGATCTGGAGGTAAATATGGGATCGCTGCGGTTCGAGATTTGGCGACAACATTTGCACGAAATCAGACTGCCAGCAGATGCGGATACTTGGTAGCGCTCTACGGCCACTTCGCAGACGCAGATTTGCAGCACAATTGCAGCATTTCGGTCACGCGCAGAAGTTGTTCGCAAATGTCGATATCGCAAAGACATTATTCCACCATCACATCTACTAACCGCTGACTTTGATGTAAGCGATGGCACATACAGCGCCTTGAATTTACACGAAATACAGAATTGGCTTTACCTCGTATGCCTTCCTGGCCTCTGTTACCGCAATTTCGAAATCGTCAGCGGTACCATTTTGCACCTAAACATTAACATTCTGAAGAAAAGGCTCAATCTGCTTGTCCCGCAAACTCACATTGGCTATCGGTTTATTGTTAGCCGGACACACTGACTGCACAACTGGTCCCGATGCGGCCCATTTACCATGGTACACACCGCAGTTGTTCTCCGAAAGGCCAAGTTCTTTCAAAAAAGCGTATTTGCCGTCGTTGATGAGAAACGATGCCATTCTGGTGCTCTGCAAGACCAGTCGTCTCGTGCTGGACAACATATTCATCAGCATCACTACGGACACCTGAACAACACCAGCACACGATGCGCAGAATATACTGCATTCCAACTTTAAAAATTGTGTATGCGCAGACTATACGTAGAACAAACGTCGCAAATAGGCTTTGAGGTCGCAGATAGGTCTACTGTAAGAAGGTCGTCTAAAGGGTTGCAATTTCGAAGCGAAACTCAGCAACAAAATTCCTTATATATAATCTAGAATCTAAAACATTGACATATTGCCTCTGCTATGACGACAAAAACTACGAGGGACAATTACTACGATGACGATGCGGAAAAATTCTTGCACGTAAAATGATACAACGGAGCGCACTTCTTTGGATCTTGTGCTCCACGGTCACTATTTCCGCGCAAGCGTTGTCAGGACCGCAAAAGCACTTATGTCGTTAACTATACTAAACCATAGCACAATGCGAGATATGATGTTAGATGTGAGAAGCGACGTCAGTAAAACAATGATTTCGAAAACTAGACTGCAATAACCAGGATCACCAAAAGGACTGAGCGATGCTAGTAAACTTGACTTTGAGATCAAAGACGTGATAGCCACTGTCTACGCACATGTTTTCACTTTGACACCATGACGTCGCGATTATTTTCGTAGACAGTCAGTCAGCTGCTAAAAAATTTCACCACAGCATTTCGAAACAAGAATGACGTCAAAAATACTTCTTAATATCCAGAAACTTGACCAAATAACGGATCAGTTCCCAAAGGATATGGAATTTTCTGAGTGTTGCGCCTTTGAGCCCTTTACCTCCAATTTCACGAGAGCTGTTTGTCTTTCAACGCATATCTCCGTCGTTTATAAAGTGATTTAGAGGAGTCCTCGAAAGAAAAAAAGAAGTGCAAAAGAAGTCTGACGAAACTGAACTGAGAAAAACTAATTCAGTGGTCAAAAGGTCCAAAAAAGGACCTTTAATGACCGCCAAATCAGTTTTCAAGTCTATGACCGCTGACCTCATGGCTTTTTTCTCACCAAAAGCAATTTTCAGAATATCGTAGCCCGAGACTTCTATTAAATTGAAAAGCAAAATGAACTCCCAGCGAAGGAAAAAGTTGCAAGAGTAAAGAACCCGATGTAAATAGCTGCTAAGCTTATCAAAGAGCGCATCGTTCGAGTCGTTGACATTGCGCAATAAAAGACCTTCACGGCACCGATAAGAACAGCATAGTTTGAAAAAAAGGACTCTGGTAGGTCAGCGAGTGGTCAAAGAATAACCAAACGTCTGGAAGTCCCAAGAATTCTGTACCAGAAGTTTTTAATCTCAAATAGAGTTCAAAACCAATAAGCTGGGACGAACTTCACTTTTCAAGGGAAAGCCGCGCTGCACAGCTTTCATTGATGAACCCCACAAACACAACTAATGTTGACGCGATTGCGGATTATCGGATACCGTAAGCTTATCAAGTACCCCGCCCCCCCCCCCGCCTTTCTATTCACAAATCCAGCGGCATTCAGTGCAAGATGTGAGCGCTGATCTCTCTCCCTTCATTCTGCTTCTGATTACCACAAGCGTGAAGTAATGTCTAGGAACAATTTCCTATATCTCCATCGACCTATGTTGATCCAATTTATGGCTGGGAGGGGGGGGGGGGGGAACGCATGCCTTCGTGAAGGTTTCTTTATGATCTTGCGTTGCGTAGGTAAAAAAGATCGTATGGTTGCGCGAAGTTCATTCTACGCGACGCCAAATGACAAATCAATGAGCGCACGTTTGCACGAAGCGCATCAAGTATGGCGCGTTCCTTAGGCACGCGCCATACTAGATCCGCTTGTTCCACTTGATCGCTTGATCCGCTTCATCATTGGTCGATTCAGTGAACTAACCAATAGTGAAGTGGATGAAGTGGATCAAGCGGATCAAGCGGAACAAGTATGGCGCCTGCGTTAGGTAGTTCCGCAACGCCAGTCGCTGCCTTTCATGCGTGATTTGGAAAGGACCTTGATGGGATACTTTGTAGAGATGCGTCAGAAGTAGCGCAAGGATCGTGCAGCATATGCTCCCGAAACAAAAACTTGTGGGGACCTTTCAAACATTTATTGCATAAGTTACAGTCGGTTTCATCCCGGATTAGGCGAGACATCCGACGTGGAGCAGCGCATGCGCATCGCTGGAGGCTTCGCGAGCGCATAGCGCTGGCATTTTGCCAACCAAAGACTAAGGAGATTGAAGAGACGCAGACATGGGTTCCCAACACGATAGGATATACTGTAGCTGCAAAACGGCGCGAGCTGTTGCGAGGCGGACTCCCGCCAGTCCAATTTCCGCCTAAAGCGGGTCGAAACTAACTGTAGCATAAAAGTGATGTTCAGATCTTATTCTTTTTATTTTGCATCTATCTTCCCTTCTATGCTCCCCTCATGAAGCGCAATTATTTTTGAAACCCTCGTCTTGCATGACCGAATGTGAAACTCTTGAAAAAGAAGGGAAACGCGCAAATCTCTGACACAACGTTAATCATCAGAAATCACTGTAGTACGACGTTGGTCGATTACAGATATTTGTCCGCCAAGAAAAGTACGATTTATCTAGCGTTCCGGCCCCAACCGAATCCGGGTTGAACTGACCCGGCGAGGAGTACATAATATTTGGTTCCAAAAGTCTAAGGACTTACTCTTTTTTTCGTACTCCCTCCTTAAAACTTCTTTACCATCTAGCTGCCTGTCCCGTCCTTCTTCTTGCTTCTACTCTCAATCCGCACTCCAGCGTTCCTGTGGATTTCTTTTCTTTCTGCCTGCCTCGCTCGTAACACCGCCTCCCCATCACTACGATTGTAAATGAGCTTCATTGCTTTCACATGACTATGGGGAGAAATTATAGTGCTTGATGAGCTTTCATTTCCTTAGATGTAAGGTCCAAACGAATAGATCGGTAGAAGGGCCCAGCAAATTGCCACAAAAAATCCTAAAACATCCACCACGTCTTATTGATTACATAACCACGCTTACTTATGTGGGGGTAAAATCCAGCCTCATGGATTCAGACACAAAGGAGTATGTAAGTACAAGGACTTAAAAACCATCTTTCGACTACTACAGGGTGTCCCAAAAGTAAGTACACACTTTTCAATCGTTAACATCTCTCTTCCCATTGCGTCTTTTTCCGCCTTTTGAGTACCATTTTGTAGAGGAGGCTTCAACTTAGATATATAGTATCGAACGGAGCACTGACCTCTCTTCGTTACTGTAGGATTACTGTAGGAACTTCGACAAGGATTTTAGGCCATTGGAAGCCATATTCTGCCTTAGAACATAACAAACAAGCCAAAAACCCTTGTCCTATGGTTGTGGAAGCCGTTGATTTCGAATATGAAATTTCCACTTTACTGTGATGCTTCTTTCCAAAGTTATCCCAGGTAAACCGTAATAACCGAATTCCCAGTACTTTTCAGAAATGTGATTGCACCGTCAAAAAAGCTGAAAACACTCTTGAAAACTTGTGTAGTGGAATCAGCGTGCGCGCAAACCCTAGTACACAATTTTTTAGATTTTTTGAAAAAAATTTGTCAGATGGCATATTCTTAACGATTCCACATGGTGGAAGTTCTTACCGTAATCCCACAGTAACGAAGGGCGATCGATCATTCAATCGATAATGTGAATCTAAGTTGGAGCCTCCTCTACAGAATGGCTTTTGAATGGCGGAAAAAGATACAATGGGAAGAGAGATACTAACGATTGAAAAGTGTACTTACTTTTGGGACACCGTGTATATATGCGGAGATGAACGACATAGGAAAGGAATTTATTACAAAATCGTAAACCGTTCAACATTGAAACCCATCTTATACAGGATGAAAAGACATCTCAAATGTACAGACGAAATACCAGAATCTTTAGATACGTATCAATCATCAGTTGCACTCACTACTTCCTAGTATAAACCACATAGCTCTATAAAAAATGAAATCCGTAACCCGAACGCGTAGATTAGTAGGTATATAAAGTACTCAATTCTAAAACAATTACACGACGCAAGAAGGACACACAATGCTGCAATAAACTACATATTAAGTAAACCAATACCAGATATGCAGCTACAACTCAGCCTTACTAGAAAACTGGAAAACATTGACGATGTTTGTGTATTAACAAGCAGAGTTAGTAATATGATGTCATTATAGGCTATGATATCACAAAGTTTTGGCTAGAGAAAGTTGGCAGAAGCATTGCCATACAATGGGTTATAATATGACAAAAGAAACAAGAGCTGTTATACTTCTTGTCGATAAACCAAGTATATAAAAGGAGAAATTAAAATTAAGAATCTATGCATCTCTTCTAGATTAGGCACAATCGATAGCAAAGATCAACATTTTGAAAAGTGATAAACGATACATAAAGAAAATAGTGAGAAGCTATCACAACCAGATGAGAAACTTCATGAGATAGGAACATTTACATATAACTACTCCGATATCCCGATCAACATTCCTCCATATTTTTTCCGAGAACAGGGTTACCCCTTCCCATCCCCTAACTCTTAAATCTTACCACACTCTGACCTCGAAAACACTAAGTTTAAGGCTATGTTGACTGTGATAAACATTTAGAATTCTAGATCATGATACCGGAATAGCATCATTAAAGGCAGCGTCTAGGCAGGTCTGGAACATAGGGATGGATCTCACGTGAATAGTAATTTTGGGGCCCTAACTAAGCCACTGCCCAACCGGCAGCTCAGGTAGTGCTCTAACGGCTGAGATAATCTCCTCGAAACTGGACCCGCGATCGTACTTCGCATAGATTCATGGCGCAAATCGTGTGTCCTGGCGCGAAACTGCCATGAATCCTTGCGAATACGATCGCGGGGTCTAGTTTCGAGAGGAATATCTCAGCGGTTAGAGCACTACCTGCGCTGCCGCTTGGGCAGTGCCTTAGCTAGGGCCCCAAAAGTACTTTCCACATCAGAACCCCGTATGTCAAGATTTGCCTGGACGCTGCCTTTAAATGTTAGATAGCCATTTTAACGAAACCTACAATGACGTTCGCGACGAGAAGAAAAGTTCCCAATGTGAGAATCAGTGAAATCAGCTGTTGCCGCCGTCTAAAACACTCATTTTATCTCTGCTCCTTTATTAGTCAGACAAAGATTGAGAAATCACATTGTGAAGTCTTTAACTTGAGAAATTGGTCCACTGTGGCTACTATATTAACACAGAAGTTGGATGTACGCCTTCTTCAATCAAATTAAAAAGAGAAAAGAAAACTCACCGTCTAGCAAACATCCTAAACGCCCAATTAATCGAGGTGATTACAATGTACTGTCCGTCAAGAGCATAACAAGGCACACTATTGAGTAGACCCAGGGCTAGTGACAAGGTGAACAGGTACTTCGGCACAAGCTCTACTGTTTCGGCCCAGTGGTGCGGTACAAGTGTAGTCCTAGCCACCAATGGATCGATTCTTACATATGTGATCAACTAAATTACAAATTGCAAAACTGGAAGTCGATGAGTAGTCGTCACCCACTCTGTTTTAACTGACCTCATCTAAGTCACCCACGTATAACACCGGTCTTTGATGATCTTTAACTTTTATCCGAGCCAACTGCGTCCCATTAAACAATGCTGGGAAAACGCAAATTTGCTCGCCTCCTTCAGCGCTCTGAATAAGCCCTGAATTGTTTGTTCCATGACCAAAGCCTCAACCTACCCTAGCACAATCAGTGGTCTTGTTACAGGTGGGCTGTGAGGTAACATATTGTGCCGAAAGGCAACTGAAATGCTTCCTGCGCCTTCGTTTCTCATGTGCCACTTCCTGGACTGGCTGAAATTTCATATCTACTCACTAATTTTCTGGTGGAATATTGGAATATAATTTGTGAAGAAGAATTTCAAATAGAAAAGGTAAACGATTAATGAAAAACAAACAAATAAGAAAGAACCCACTCCAACTGTTCCAACACGTAGCACGCTGTTCAGCGATATTGCTTTGGTAACATACTCTTTGGTGGTTACGTCAAGCATAGACTCAAAGCACATATGCGCTTGCGTTATATTTGTAAAATCGTCACAGCAGTGCAACTCGTCCACAGACATGGATGTCTAAATAAGGAAAACTAGGTAGAGCACTAAGAACGCGTTTAGTTTGCACAGTGGAGCGAATTCAACTCAAGCTTCATCTTACAATTATTGGGCTCAAATGAGTGAAATGACAAGAAAGATTACCCCCATGCACACTCGGTTTACTCAGCGCGTAAACAGAGCAAAGATAAACAAACAAGTCTGCCCACTTTAGTCGCCAGGGATGCTTCCACAGCAGAACGAGGAACACACTGTCCGTGTTTTTCCTTTTCCAGATGTCGTACACATTTCCGCCAATCTTCTTGCTTCCTTATCGCACAATCATCGATAGACAAAACAACATTTCCTTCTGACAAACCACCGACGCCATATAAACCAGAACGTGAATCAACACCTAAACGTAACTGACGCTGACGTCTAGGACGAAAGTTAAGTTATCAATCGTCAAAAAACTGTACCTGTCACGGTCACACCATTGCCTTGTGCAAAAAATGGAGACAGAAAGTATGGGGTCCATAGAAACATTAGATATGCAATACCAGCTAGTATGAGATTGTGCCAAATACCACCTCCAAATATTTCAAGACGGTGGCGAGGGTGACTACGTCCTAAACCTTTATTATAGAAAACAAGCTACTCAAACTCAAAACTACACTAATACAAACGCAAAAACTTGGAGAGGTGTTCTCTGAGCTTGACACACTTTCTGCAACAGCTGCTGTCGTAAGATAGCAACAAAATGAGCTTGATGTGTTTTTTCAAACTTTTTGAGCATAAAAAATAGAAAATACAAAGCACATGCAACAGCTAAACTAGTAGAGTTGAAAAACTCACGCAAGGATTCTGGATCAATGTCCGTAAACGCTCCTGGATACAACCCTAATAAAAATATTCCAAAACCATTAACACGTACATTGTAAGTCTTTGCTGCTGATGAATGGCCGAGCTAAATATATACAGGTAAAATTGCTGAACAAACTACATACTTTTTTAGAACAAAACGTAAAAAAGTGAGATCCACAAATTAACCTCGTGTATGATAGCTGCTGTGGCCAAGACAACCATGAATATAGGTATATGACTCCACGGTAAGTTTACTCCGGGTATGATTGGCACAAGACCTTAAATTTATAGGAATATCAATACAGCAAAAAGAACACTTGGCATCGTACCTGTTTCCGAATCAGATGCATCCAGCACATCGAATTCCTCCGTCGGTGATGGAGGAAGATCATCAGGAGTCGATATCTTAAAATTTAAATCCAAAGACTAATAACAAAGTAAAAACAGGTGACTACCTCTGTACGGAGTATGGCCGCCATTGGGTGTGCGGAACGGTAAGGTGCTACTTTTGGCCGCAAAGACAGGAGGAAAGAAACATCTAAAAACCTTATACTTGTTCGATGAAATATGATTTCAGTAAGTGTATAGGGAAGTGAACAAAAACAGAACAGATAATCTGACACAAGTAAAAAAGCTAAAATGAAAAAAAATTGAAGAAAAAACAGAAAACCTCGATAGAGAAGATGTGTCAGATACATGGAGATCCCAACGAGGCAAACAAGCGCTGAAAATGCTCCAACAGAAAACCATAACGATCTGAACATTCGGCTGGTTGGAACCTCCTTAGTAGCTGTCAGGTATGCACCGTCAGCATAACGGGAGGTGTAGAAACGTAACTGAAAGCGGAAAAACAATCGTAAAAGCCGAAGCTTCGTAAGTATCGATGAATTTCCTTTTAAAACATGTCTTTGACTTCTCAAAAATTTCTCATCTTTATGATTGACCATAGCTCTGTTGCGACTAGAATAGCAATATACGCTTAGATATCCAGTCTTTATGTTCATGTACTTTTCTGTCCACTACTTGTTTTGAACCCAAACTAAGGAAACGTTACTGAGCAATTTATAAGAAATTGCAAATTTTGGGAAATTCACATCTGATATTATACAGCATCACTACTCAAGAAACCCTAAATTGCTCACATTTGACGGACGCTTCAGGTCGGCAATTTTGCACATGCTCTTCTCCACAAAGAATCAAAAATCACAGGATCAAGAATCATACATAGAAAGTAAAAACCTGTCAGATGCTTGTAACTGCACTAAAACCTTCTTCTCCTTTATTTAAGGGTCACATGACAGATAATGCCACAAAGTAATTAGGTGGTTTTTTGGTTGATGTAAAATGTTTGACGAAAGGAGAATGGAGAATAAACATGGGCGAAAACGACTGAAACACAAACCTGAAACGGTGCAACCTCCAATCCATACTTATTGGCAAAATTCACGTATGGTGTGAAATTTTTGATTCGTAGCACATAATCGAGTAGAAACACCGAACTCCATGAGATCAGAAAATAACTCAGCGCTGTGGTGAACAGCATCGATTGTATGAATTTGCAGTCTTAGCCGTTTTTTCGTCTCATTCTTGTATAGTAAACGGCAACAAATCTAAGGAACACTCTTAAAACACCGATTTTCACAAGTGTATGATTTGACAATAAGTGGAAATACTGTGGTTATTTAACCATCAAGTAAAAAAGGCCAAGAAGATTAGAAGACGTTTATTGTCTCACAAATATCACGCATTCAGAACTACTCATTTTTAAAGAAAGATAGGGCCAACCATATTATTCCAGGAGGTGTGCCACTCCTGTGATTCCTGCAATTCTTGTGATTCCTCGACTTTTCGATGTGTCGCACTATGGACCGCTTTGCGAATTTCAGTATACATTGTTTTCGCAATAAATACGGGACCCGCAACAATCACAGGAATAGCAGGAATTGCTGGAATCAAAAATAGTATGACCGGTCCCATAGAAAAAAAATGAGCAAAAAATCAGAAACCAATGATAAAAGGAAACAGAAAGTGCTTCAGTTCATACCATAAAGCAACAAAAGCTTTTCAATCTTTGGCTTTTATCCAGCGTAGTGTACCTTTTTGCACTGCGCGTGGTTCACTAAACCCTGCAAAAGATGGATATTAGATAAGCGCCAAGTGAAAACGAACACGGATATAAAAAAAACTATGTTGGAAACGATTCAAAGAACCGAATGGCGGATTCTACAATCTCACTAATAGGAATGAAGCAATGCAGAAATGACAAGTGCAAATGATTTTATAATGATGGTGACGTAGATGTTGACGTAGGTTGATGTTTGGCGAGTTGAGTAACAAACAACTTTTTCTTGTTCAGTGAGAAGGTTGCACGAAACAATCAAGACTAACTAGATAGGTACTTCCAAAGCGATTAGAAAGCAATTAAACAACAGAATCACATTTTGTTTTATGCAATATTCAAGAAAAAATGTTTGAAAACTGAAATTTTACGGGTGAAGTAACCAGTGATATGTCTCTTTTCTTATGAACCGAAAATCCTCAACAAGCGGCATCATAAACGGCAAACAATGTTCGCTTAAAAAACCAAAAATCCACTGGAAATGATTTCCGTTCCGCAATTTCTTTCGATAAAATGCCACCAATTTTGGAAGTCACCAATTTTTCTCTACTCTCATCTCGTTTTGTTTTATTCTCTTAACGTTTGCTCATACTATTAGCTTTGAGTTCCTAATAAAAGATAGCAAAGTGCATAAGTTCATGTTCGGCAAGTGAGAATCAATATGTAGGACAGGTGTCATTTCATTGCGAACGCGGCAATTCAGATAAGAATCTGGCCATGTACAATTTGTAGTACAAAAAGCGAATTTTCGAAGATCTAAATGAGGGTGCTATTGAAACGATGATTTTCAACAGATGAGATAAGCGAACAGGCTTGAAATCTGAACGAAGTAGGATGTCGCGATTTCTTTTCACAGAAATGACATCGTTTTATTCGCATCATCGATAATTAGGTACTGATTTAAGTCAATATATATCAATTCATCCTAAATAGATCCATAGATCAACTCATAAACCTACTGTTATAGTGGAAATTTGTGAAAATTTTTGTAAGAATTAAAGCGAAAAAAACTGGAAAGAGAATCCTCCGGAAAACTGTGAGAACGGGAACATAAACTTTTCAGCAAACTCTTGAAACATGCAAACCATAGCCGTGCATCCAAACTTCGCAAGGATGTCGCTTCATGTACGATATAACAAAAAACCGAGTGTGTAAGCATGCAAAACAATAATGGATGCAAATGATTCTGTCGAATGAAAGAGAATAAAATTGAAGCACATGAATGATGCAATCCCAACAGAAGGAATTAAAGCAGTTAGACAAAGAAGAAAGATAAACAAAAACAAAGAAGCACCAAAACAATTTCGAAGTTTTGAAAAATTGTTCAGTGAATCTGTTTTCCTAAAGCATGAGTTGATGTAATTAACACTGAAGCAATGCAAATACAAACACTCCAACTCCACTACAAAATCCTTACCTCTTAACCTCAAAACTGCCAAATAAGGATCAACAGATCGTGATCGTCGTCGCGGCCCATGAAAAGCGGCGCGGCGAATCCAAATGCGACGCTCTGCGCGTCTGCGTCTCCGCTTCTTCACACACTATTTCCTCAGGCAGTATCATCATCCTAAACTCTCCCACGAATGCGCACTGTTTCGCCTGAATTAATTCGCTTGCCTTTTTGAACGGTGTGTTCTATCGTCTAGCACTCTGTGAGTGACGTTAATTAAAGCGCATCTGCTAGTAGTTGTACCCATTATCTTTTGTATGGACTATCTGATACAGAGCTCTATGTGCTAAAATGCAAATCATAATGGATGGTTTGAAGAAAGGCATAATAGCAATGTTTTTCACTTGCAAACTATCGCGCGTTTGAAGCTTTGACCTTCCAAGCTGAGTCTGGAGTCGCATTAGATACGATTCGCTAAACGGCGCGCAAAGGAACAAATGCTCGCTGCGCTGCAGAACATCTACTAGAAACAGTGGCCAGAACAGACCACACTTTACTAGAATACATATCCACTGATATCACAAGAGTAGCAACGATTCCAGCAAGATCCCAACAAATTCTACCATCCCCGTTTTTCCCCGCGTTTTTGAGCGAGCCAGATCCGATCTAGCCCTATGCTCTGTCGCCTCTAACAATAAGTGGCTTGAGGGCGACATTGGTGTCAAAGCGATGTACAGCCGAGTGTTCACTCTGGCAAGGCCTCCCAGACCGTGAGGGATCGTTCAGACCGCGCCCAAACCCGCCCAAACCCGCCCGAATACGTTCGAATCCACTCGAATATGTCCAAACGCCCAAACCCGCCCAAATAGGTCCGAACCCGCCCGAACTGCCAAAGCGCAGCAGGTTGCATGCAAATTGGCTTATTCGAGCCGCGTGCGACTGATCCTTCTAATATCGGAGTAGTTGCAGAAGAAGATCGGTATGTAACGTCGAGGTACATGTGGCTACGATATACCATCGGCTCCCCAATCCCGCGAGGGCAGACTCGGGCGAGCGTGTCAGCGATGCGGTTGTCCAGTGTTGAAAGATAGCTGATAAACTGATTATCGGTTGACCATCGCAACCCCCCCCCCCCCTCTCAGGTAGGTGCCAGAGTAAGCGAATATTTTGTTCAGGTTGGGATCTCGCGCAGAATGGACGTCACTCACCATGCTGGCGTCAATCCAAGTGACGTCAAATTCTGCGCGGGACCTCAACCTGAACAAAATATTCGCTTACTCTGGCACCTACCTCAGCAATCGGGGAGACGATGGTATGCACTACGCGCGCAGTATTCCACGCGTGCTTCCCGCTGCGCTTTGGCAGTTCTGGTGTTCAGGCGGGTTCGGGCGGATTCGGACGTATTTGGGCGGGTTTGGGAGGATCCCGGCGCGGTCTGAACGATCCCTGAGAATGTTTGACGTCTCCGGTCTCCAATTTCCCGGCTAACTATTTTGCAGAATCGGCGAATTCCCCCGCCGTCTGGCTTCAGGTAAGTGTCACTGGCCGTCCTCGCCCCACATTCCGGGCCCGATGATCTGCCATGGAGGTTAGGAGCATGGCCTACCAAGTCTACTGACCTCCATGGACAATCACCGATGTGATTAAGAATTCAATAGCTCGTTCAGCAGATTTGATAGAAACCCTGCATCTTAGACCCATCTGAGGCGCCGGGTGATATAAAAACCGATGTTAGGTGGCTGAGGGCGTCATTTGGATCATACAAATACGACATATCTGGCCCCGAGTGGTAACAAGAAAGATGTCAGGGTGTTCAGGGCGCCATCTGGCTTGGACAAAAACGACACGTCTACCCGGACGACACGCCATAGAAACTGAGGGTAGGGGACTATCTCAGACAAATTGAGGGAGGGTCGCGGGCTCTGCTCAGCGGGGGTTTGCTACTCGTGTCCGGAGCCCTCCCATTTCACGCGTTTTGGTGCTCCGCGGCTCCTCCAGATCTGGCACCCCCCCTCCCCCGAACAGAGATTTGCGAGCCCCGGGGAGGGGTCCCATTCGCCTTCTTGTGACGTCACGGTGACGTCCACGGCCCCGGAGCACGAAGTGGCATACCCCCGCCATTTGCCCTCCGGAGGTATCCCTTCGACTGTCTGAGGAGATATTACGCCGAAAGAGGGAGGTCCCGCCGGACATCTGCAACAAACACATTCCAATACATGTACAGGCTGAGTATCTGCTGCATTGTCGGCGGACCGCGACACATAATCCTCTACCTGTAACAGGAACGATGTCAGGGTGTTCAGGACGCCACCTGGATCGGACAAAAAATGACACGTCTGCCCAGACGACACGCCGTGGAGACTGCCTCGTGCTATGCACGAGACAGGACGGTCTCCACAAAAACCTACTTCCACGCTCTTCTTGACGCTGCGGAGCAAATCAAGAATGGATTTTTCTAAAACGGTTTAATTCGCTGCATGGAACGAAGACCAGGAAGAACGGCATGCGACAGTCAACTGAAGAACTTCACCATTCTTGGTGAGGAAGTTTCATAACGCAACCTTAGAAGTGGTGGCTTTGGCGCTCATCCATCTATTGTCCATCTTGTCGATCGCATGAGATTCTATCATCTCGAATGCTCATCCTAAGTTTACGTCCTCTACATCAGAAGACCATCAGCTTTATTAGCTACTCTCCATCGTCACCTAATCAGTCAGAACTAGTGCTTCCTAAAGACATGGCGGAAGCGCGAAAATTGGGATGCCACTAGAAGAGAAGTAAGGATTAAGAAGTTTGGATATGGGCTCCGGGATCAAAGCGGAAGTCTCGTGGGATTCTTAGCGGCGCACGACTCTTCCATAGAATCTCCATCTTCATGAAGAGCGAACGACGCCGGTGGACATGGAATCGCTAAATGAAATGCCCAGCGCGGTGGTCGATCGCAACCTCACTAAACAAATGTGGAGCTTGCTCGATGTCTCAACGTTCCAACCTAGTTCAGTGGCTTAATGTCTGATCGGCCAAGGATTGCGGGCAGGAATATGAGCTCCAACGGTAAAACAATTGGAATCTCGAAGACAGCCGAGGAGCTTGAAAGAAGAAGAGCCTTGAGGCAGA